GGATCTAAGCTCACGAGGTGTGCGGAGGTCCTTGGCTGTTGCCGTGCCCCCGACTCCTGCGCCGCCTTCTCCACAATAATCACAGGATTCTAATGGCTACCTCGCTATTCTGAGCTGATGTCCTGAAGCCCTAAATCGGGCTGTGCCCCTACCAACTTCAGAATTTGACAGTCCCTTAAACCAGTCACCTTCTCACTCTGCTTAAGCTACTTCGTTGGGTTTTCCAGCCCCGGCAATTAAGAGAGCCCTAACACAGATCCGGGGCTCTAGCGCAGCGATGCTCAGCCCTTTTCATCTCATGGCGCGCACACACTAATTCCTGAAATTCTGTGGCACACCAAAATAGTTTTTTTTTGCCGACCTCACCAATAAAAGGGTATGACTTCGATTCATTCACACTGGACAGCTATTTTGTTGGCTGTCGTCACTTTTTTTATACTTGACAATCTAAGGGAAAAAAGGCCAGGGGCCCTGACTCAATCGTCAGGTGTTGCATGTTTTAAAACTGTTGACTTAGAGAGATGAGGCTTCAAGAAGTCTCCAGCAGACCGTTTCCCCGTATTTAGAGAATGACAGGCCAATCGCGCCGTAGGTGCCTCTTTCCACGCTTCCCTTAATACCACCTGCCTGCCACAGTCTGTGTGTGTCAAGTCCGGGTGTGTGTTCTCAGCGGACAAGGCGCAGCTGAGCCCAGCCCTACAGAACAGCAGTCACGGGCCGCTCCCAGAAGGCAGCTTCGTCAGCGACCTGCCAGCAGTTAGGGGGCGGCTTTCCTGTTGCCCTGCTCATGCTGTCCTCATTGTTACGCATCTTTGTGCCTCAAGTGCCCTCTTCCCGTATTTATCTCTGGGTTCATCATAAAGCTGCTCTTGACCTCAATTTCCTTATTTTGCCAAGGGGAGACGTTTCTGCTGCAGACATTTACCCGCCGAAAGGACTGGATGAAGCTGGTTGGGCAGGAGCATCTGTTTAAGGGGCCCGCAGGGCCTGTAATGGAGACAATGAACGCATAAAACCACGGCCTGTCCGAAGCATTTAAAACAGCACCTGCAACAGCAGGAATGCTTCATAAATGTCCCTATTGTCGTCATTGTTGTTATTCCCATCGGCTATCGGCAGAGCACATCCTCGAGGGCTTCTAGTCTCCCAGATGCCCCTCTGCTGCCCCCATGAGGCTCGGGGCCCGCTTCCCCCAGAGCTGCTACGTTTGTATCCCTTTTCTGTAGCGGGTGGTTCGATGACATCATGCCTGAAGAGAGGGCTCTGCTGACGGTGCGAAGCGTGGAAGCTGTTACGATCCCCGCAAGTATGAGCTCAGGAATTAGAGTTTGATCACACACTCTTTATTATTTGGCCAAGTTTTACCTGCGCAGGGGCCACCTTTCCCTCGAAAGGAAAAAGGCGCGCCGCTGTAAGGGTACACGGGTTTTTATAAGCAGAGCAAGCAAGCAAGATACAAGGGCGAGAAGTGGCAGTTAGCGATAGGCAGCTTCTTTCTTTTTTTTTTTTTTTTTTGCTGATTGGGTTCAAGGCTGTTACTGGGCCCCCTACTCTGTCTTTCTCTGGTCAGGATGTTTATCTGAGGCAAGGCTCAACTGTTGCCCTATGCCTCCTCCTCATTCTTGTCGACTCTGGCCCAGCTGCATGGGGGCTGCACCCTGATATGTTTTTCTTGGTATTAGTTCCTCCCTTATCCTCAGCTTTGACCCTGCTTTTACGGGCTGTTTATCTGAGTCAAGGCTCAGCCGTTGTCCTATCTTGTTACTAAGGGGGGCTCTAATTCTTCCCTTCATCTTGGGATATTGTTTGTTCTAGTTTCTTGTTTCGGCCCAGACTTGACCTAGTTTTAAAGTTTGGCCCTTTCAGAAGCCACCACTCTGGAAACTCCATTGAAGCCGCAGGTTCCCTGTGTTTCTGATTCGGCACTTCTTGCTACCACCCTGATCACGGCTCGTGGGTTCAGGCAAAGGGGGAAGGAGCCCTCTTTCAAGATGAAAAGACAGGGGAGCCGCGGCCTCACATGGCTTCTTCGAATAGCCCTCCTTTGGAAGTGGAACTAGAAGTTCCTAAAATTGCTCATTTACAACGCACCCTCCATGTCGCCATACACACAGATATGCTCTGACTTGGAGGGTGAACTTTTAGCCATCTTTCTAAGAACAAACATAAAAGTTAATCTTTGTATATATAACATAGCAAACTGAATCTGAATTACCAAAAATATTTTTTAAAAAAATACCCACCATAATCAAGCAATAGAAAAACAACAACACCCAAACCACTTCCTCAGGGCCACAAAGGAGCATGGGCTTCCCAAACAGCTGCCTTCTTGTCAAAGTGTCTGTGAAGCTATATGGACAGTTTCAAAAGTGCTGGGAACAGAAACTTGGGAAGAACAGAATTTCAGGCAACTCTGAGAGCCTTCACAGAATTTGTATAAGCATTTATTGTTCCACTTCAGTGACAGAAACAGCTTTAGCAGGAAGAGCAAGGGGGTCAAAGGGGTCTACAATCATCTGAATGCAGTGGATCCAGCGCCCCTGACCTTACCTTGCATCTGACTGTGAGTCATACAAGTCCGAGTCCTATAGGTTCTGGAGTCATCCTTCCCTGTCAAATCTTACTCTTTGAACGAAGCTCCCCGCCTGCACGGCTGCAGGGAATCCACGTGCCTCCCAAATTCCAGAGGACAGGGCCGGGGAGCCCCTCTGGGCTGCTTGCCTCCCCCAGTGGTCCCTGAGCGTTTTCCTCCAGGGTGCTGCCCACCATGGACGCCGCTCCTTCCTCTACCCCCTTCTCAACATGACGCTGCAGGATAACGAAAGGTTAATATAAACACAGGACAAAAACTTAAAACTGGGGACAGGGGAGCAGCTTGTCTCTACTCCTGGGGTTGCAAGGGGCATCCCTCTACCCATTCCTCTCCTGAGCCCCTGGCCTGCTGCCCCAGCGGTGGGCTTCGTGCCCCTTTATTCAGTTGGCATCCGTGCCAGACAGGTCTCCCACTCCCGACTGCTGGTTCGTCAGCCGGCAAACCCAGGCCCCTGTGTCATCATCGTGATCCCCTCAGAGGTTACTCGGTGCGGCCTGAAGCCAGCCTTTCTGTCACTGAGCAAAGCATCTGGATTGTGCCCAGTGCCTGCTGGCTTGTGTGTCGCCAATACTGGGCCTCCCTACCATGAGGGAACACGGCACGTTCAAGTTCTCTGGCTGACCCTGTGACATGCCAATATCTCCACTGTCCCTACTCACCCATCCCCCCAAAGTAAAAAGGAATAAACACTAAAAAAGAACACACAAACAAGAGACCAGTATTAAACATCTCAGAAACATTGGCATTCCGGTTATTTTCCCTTCATACCCACCCCCACCCCCGCCCAGCAGTGGGGATGTACCTTATATCGACAAGCCTAAAAAGGCGCACCCAAGTGGTCCCACTTAAAGCAGAGATTTCCGGTTTTGGCCTAGAATTCAGAAGCTGCTACAGGTTTTTAACGCCATGCGCCGCCTCATCTGCCGTGTGTGTGATGTGCATCCCAAAGCCCGAGGCTTCAGGGAGAGCTTGGATGCAGGGGGAGGGCAAGGTCTGTCCCATGCTCCTTGTGCCCTCGCAGCTGACACAGAACTTCTCACCGCCGTCCCTGACCTCTGCTTGTGGGTTCAGGCAAAGGTGGGGGAGCCAGGGCATGGCACTTGGTAGACACTCAAGAATGTTTGTTGGATGAATGAGTGAACATCGGTCCTGATACGCTCCCGAGGGTTTCTGTCCAAACCAGACAGAAGACAGAGAAGTATCTTTCTGTCCTAAACGCAAGCAATACCTGGGTGGGTCCTTTGTTTAGAAGTTACTAAACACTCCCTGGCATGGGGTAGTGGTTTGTTAAACAAATAACATCCAGATTGTTTGATTAATAATTAATATGGTCTGTGAATTCAAAGGCAGGTTCAGAGCAAAAGGTTCACTAATACTTGACTGAGTTAGTTCAAAGCTGAAAGGAATATATTTTACAGAATAAAAATTCTTGGTATTTGGTTCTGCTTCCAAGGTAGCCTCACCCTGGGCTGTGTAATGAGGCAAGAGACTGCAGGGACAGACGTGGGGAACTTGATGGATTCTCGGCAGGCGGGGAGGAGGTGGTTATGGGAACTGAGGTCAGTGGATTTGTCCTGGCGAAGATTCACAGAAACGAGGGTGCGCTCTAACTACCAACCAGCACCGGAGCCGAGCAGAGAGAGAGGCTGCTCCGCTGGGGAAGGGCAGAGGGAAGACAATCAAAGACACACCCCCAGACTGCAGTGCCTGAGCTCTAGAAGGAACCAGACAAGGTGGATTGCTAAGAAAAGAATGGAGGGGGGAAAAAAAATCAAAGAGTTTCATTGCGGACCTATTTTCTGCAAATGGGAGAAAGGCTCATGGGCAAACCTAACACATTCTATGGGCTCCATCTTCTCTTTTCCACATTCTTCGCTTTTCCTAGGGATTTCGAGGGCCCTTCCCTAGCTTTCTTGGGTGGTTTTAGCTCCCAACTGGCACTGACAATCCCCACTCATAATTTAAATCTTCTATTGTGTCAACGTTCTTCCAAACAAAAAAAATCACTCCTTCCTTTCCCTCATTCACCCAGCGGAAGTCGTTGATTCAGATATCCTAAACAGTCATCTGAAATCAATGAAAATAGAAATTTCAAATTTGCTGGTACTAATAAGAAGAAAAGCAAGATAAATGGCCCAACTGATTATACTTTAAGTGAGGGTTTTAAACAATAAAGAATAAAGCTGATATATAATTTAAAATTTTTTTTTCCTCGGGCAAGGTGTTCTTAGATTAAGGCACAGCTGGCCGTGAGTCGTGAGTCATAGGTTTTCTCAGACTCCTCCTCCTTCGAACCACACTCTGGGCCAATAGGGCAGGACTAGGGCGATCCAGAAAAGCTAAAGACATTTTAATTCAATGAAAAGAACTTCTGAAAAGAGTTCTTCATTACTGGGAACGTTCCGGCAGAGGTTTCCAAGATATGTCAGATGCTCCTCAAGCATCACAGACTAGGTTCAGCCTAAGAAACAAGTGAGACCCTTTCCTACAAGGAGAAAAGAATGACCAAGTTAGTATATGAGTTGCTTCGCACAGTACCTGGTGCCTGACATTTGCATAATAAATATTAGATTCTTCCCACCCTGCGAGTCCGTGGATCTAATCAATATATTGGATGTATTTCTAAAGGGGTAATTGGATACATTTTAGGTTCTTCCAGAAGCTCACAATTTTCTTACATGGGGCCAGTGAGCAAGGGAGACAAGGGAGCAAAGGAGGAACAGGAGGTCTCCTTGCTGATGTCGGAGCTCCTCTTTCGCGGGGTGTTTTCAGCCCCTCCCGGCGGTCACTGGTTTGGGCCTCATGCTGTCCATGACAGCTGAGATCACGGCTTCCGCAGCCTTTGCACCGTGCATCAGGGCGTGCTCCACCTGCAAAGCCAATCGTTCGCGGGACACTCAGTGCGGACCCTGGGCTTGCACCCTGCCCGCCCCGATCTCGCCACTCCCCTTCAGGAAATGGGCAGCCTGGGGGCTTTTCCTGGAGCAGGAAGCACCCTGTGCCAATAGGGCAGGACTAGGGTGATCCAGAAAAGCTAAAGACATTTTAATTCAATGAAAAGAACTTCTGAAAAGAGTCCTTATTTCCAACAACCCTAGAGCTGCAACAGACCAAGAGAAAGCAGGAGGGCCCGGGATGGACATCTGAGGCCGGCGCGCTCCCTTTCTCCTAGGTGGAGTCGGGGGCACTGGGCTCCTGGCCCCCTTCCTTCCTCGGAGCCATTCAGCCTAGGGTGTGCCTCCAGGGTGGGGCTCCGAGGTAAAGGATCTCAGAGTAGCATAGCCCCTGATGCCCTCATTCTACATCCGGGGAACCAGAGAACCAGGAAGGGGAGCTCACTTGGACCATGTCACACAGTGAATGAGTGTCTGAGCTTAGATCTGGGCCCAGGCTTCTGATGAATGAGGGCCTCTTATAATCCCTTGACCCTTGGGGTCTTTTTTTCATGTCCAAATGCTCATGGGACGGGGAGATCCCTCATATCAGCGCCCACCAAGGCCCTAGTGCAGCATCAGGCCTCACAAGAGGCGGTGCAGGCTACGGGAGGACCAGAGTACAAAGGAGGAGGTGGAAAGTGAGACACGGGCAGGAGGGAGGGAGGGACAGCGTGGGAGGTCGGCTCACGGTCACCGACAGATGGCGTAACCCAGCTGAGAGCAATGTTGGGATTCGCCCAGTGTGTTAAGAAATCATAGGAAACATGGAAAAGAACATAGGAAAACTACGTGCCCCGTTTAATCCTTGATTTAAAAAAATCTATTACAAAGGCAATAATAAATACTCCCTCTGCTCTTCTCGTGGGGTGTTAGTAAGGACCAAATATTAACAAGAGCAGCTCACGGTCACAGATACTTAGCTTTCAAAGCTCTTTCACATGTACTTTACTTCATTTAGTGTGTCACTGCCCTCTGTTAAGGGGGGGGGGGGTCACAAACCCCAATGCGGCAGGGCCAGGCAGGTAATGTGACAAAGCTGGTAGGTAGCATACCTACTCCCCCACCCACCCAAAGGGAGAGCCACGAACGGGCCCCACGGAGCGTCAGCAAGCAGGAACTGACCAGTTGGGTGTCCAGTGAGGCTGGGACTGCAGGTCTTTTTATATAAAATTTCTATATTTTTAAATGTTGGCAAGTAATTAAAAAAATACTAGTCATCCAAGCAAAACATATCTGTGGGCCAGATGTGGCCCACAGGCTGGTAGTTGGCAACTTCAGCAGTAAAGTATCTACCTTGGTTTATCCCCGTTTTCTAAAGGAAGGGGTGGCCTCAGAGATAAAATGACAGGACCAGGGAGACCGGGCCAGCTGATGGCCAAGCTGGACTCCACCAGTGGTCTTACTCTGCAGCCCACTGCCTTTTCTACTCCTTCCCGGCTTAGTAGAGATAAAAAGAACTGTCAAGTCCTATAGAAACAGAAAGCTCCCCTCCCCCTCGCTCCCACTCAGGGCAACAATAACATGGAGCCACTAATCACCATGCTGATGAGATAGGAGCCCCAGACCGCTCCGCGGGAAGCCTTTGCCCAGGCCACGGTGCTGTACCTGCTGGCTCCTGGGCACGCCGTAGCGGAGGTCGTTGACAAAGTGCTCACAGTTCCCTTCGATCAAACTGTACTGCACTATCTTGTTGACCATCTGTTTTGTGCGCTGGATGATCCTGTCCACAGGCAGGGGCAGGTAGGTCCCGTCCAGCTTGTTGTTGACCTTCCAGGAGCAGCCTTGCAGCACGTCCTGCAGGCGGCTGTATTTTACCATGGCCCGGTTGCTAAAGATGGAGGTGATGCTGCCAGCCTCCAATTCCTCGCCTGGAGGCCAAAGGCAAACAGAAGCTGGAGAGCTGCCAGGGACAGCAGGGCCAAGGGGCCGGCTCCCTCCCAGGGGCTGCGAGCTGCTTCCCCTGGGGCCCCGTTGCACCGTCCACAAAAGGTGTGGCTGGGGATGGGGAGCTGGCTTGAATGAACCGCAAGGGACCGGCTTCCCCCAGAAGCCTCCGCCGTGTCCTCCTCTGACCCCCACAGCCATCACTTTCTCATAAAACTCTAAAAGTGCCTTATAGGGTGGCCCCGGACTGTATTCAGTGTTGAACTGGGCTGACCAAGTGACCGAGTCCTACAATTTGAGTCTCGCTTTCCTAACCAGACTTCAGGAATCTTCTCCAACATGGGCCGAGCGCCCTTACGTGTACATGTCAGTGTAAGCAGCGGCTCCTGGGCAAGGGACTAACGTGTGGGTCCTTCCTTAGCCACCGCAGGGGTGCAGGTGGGACCAGGCAGACAGGGCCCGGGATGGGACCCACTCCCATCAGCCTCGCCCACAGCCACTCTGCCCGTCTCTCTACTCAGATATTGGGGTTTTCATGAAGGGTTTATTTGAAAGCAGAGTTCCACAGCTTAGAAACAAGAAACGTTCGAACGCGGCCATATTATCGCATTCAGTCCTTAGAGGAGACAGAGGCTCAGAGAGCATCGGGAACCTGCCCAAGGCAGGTGGCAGTTTAAAGCCAGGGCTGTTTTTCTGCAAATGTGTGCACCCTCCTCCTGTGTAAGCTGTTTGAGGACACGTAATGCCCCTTGCTCTTTTCTTATATATTTGAAGAAAATCTGCCAATTTCACAAAAGCGGGCAGTATGCAATGCAGCTCACGGGAAGAGATGCCAGAAGTGACTGTTCAAGAAGGAACTGACGGAGAGGGTGAGGATGTAACTGTTAACAATCCGTTTGGTTGTACAAGAGGGAGGCTCCTGGAGAGGAGAGACGGAGGGGAATGAAAAGTGAAGCAACTTTTACCTTCTTTGTCCTATGAGTAGGTTCCCAGGCCGGAAGTCGGGGAGGGTGTGAGTGGATGGGGCAGGAAGTGAAGGGTGCCGTGGGGGGCTGCTCTGTGGGAGGTCTCAGCAAGGTGAGGGGCTGGGCCAGAGGGACTGGGCCAACGGAGGCAGACAGGACACAGGACACAGACCTTTGGTGCCAGTGACCTTCCATAATTTGATCTTAAATGGGCAGTATAAACACAGGACACAAATGCAAAAGGCATCAAAGATGTGTGCCCCCTTCTCCCAGCTCCCCCAGGTCCTACCCCCTGGGGTGATTACTGTGACCAGTGGCTCTGGATGGCCAATTTGATATTCTTTCCCATTCTCTGCTGTAACCTTCTGTTACCGCCAACCTCTCATCATCAAACCTGCACCGCAATTTAATCAGCCACCAGTCTAACCTCAGCCTTGTGTTAACACGGCCTTGAGAAACGAAAGGAGTCTACGGCCATACCTCCCTGAACACTCCCGATCTCGTCTGATCCCGGAAGCTAAGCAGGGTCAGGCCTGGTTAGTCCTTGGATGGTAGAAACAAAAGGAGAGCTGTGTCCACGCTGGGGGTGGGGCAGCCTGGGAAGAGCTGGGAGACCAGGTGAGGGTGGAGGTGCCAAAGGTGATGAGGAAGCTCGTAAGCACCCGCACCCCTCCCCCTCCCGGGGAATCCTTCGGATCGTGAGGAAGAATGTGGAACTGTTGTCAATACGGTTGGAGGCTCAGGTTCTTAAATTGTCATTGACAAGAAAGGGTGGTCTAGGCGGTCAGGGGGCTGGGCTCACTCTCTTGCATCTCCCACAGGGCTGGACAGGTAGTGACATTGGGTAGAGACCAAGTTCTATCACACAGTAAAGTCAGGTCTAGTCATGCTTCGGGGTGTTTTATTGCTAAAGTAAGGCAGCAGCTGAGGATACAATAACTAACTATACTTCTTTTTCCTTTGCTAACTCAAATATCAATATTTCAGCAGAGTATCCGCTCTTACTTGGGGGAGCCAGGTGCACCACACGATCGTCCTCCACGTAGATGGCCCAGTGCTCATAGCCAATTCGAAAAATCTCAATCAGGTCTCCAGGTTGGGGTCTTGGTTTGCCCTATAGTGGAAAAAAAAATAGTAATAAACACAAGGCGCATGTCCGGGGGATTCCAGAGATGCTGTTTGGGGATCAGCTACAGCTCAAGCCCAGGCTGGAGAAAGCTCTCTTCACACAAAGAAGTGAAGGCCCGTCCCCCTTCCTGCAGTCACTCTTGTTGCTTCGGGCAGTGAGACTAGCTGTGCCAGTTCCCGAGGTGTTACGCCCTCATACATACGCTGTGTGGAGGACTGATGGGGCCCCTCTAAGGATTTCTCCTTGAAATTGAGCTCCAGGTTAAGCTTTCTCAATAGAGGGCGTTGGAAAGACATTGCAAGAAGTAGGGGCTCTCCTGCAATGTCCCGCCTTGGGTGAGGGGGCCAGGCTCCGTGGCCCTCGTGTGGGGACATCTGGTGGAGATCTGCCTGAGCCCTGATCCCTCCGTCCCCATAACCTTGCAGCCTTTCTGGGGTCCTCTTGACAGACACAATGCCCCAAAGCCTCCTGCCCCTGCTGGCCTCTGGATTCCCTACGCAGGTCCCCCGCATGGCCCTCCTGTGGCCCAGAGGGTCCCCTCCTCTGCATGTCCACACCACCCGCTGCTGAGAGTCAGCTCACCACCTACATCCCAGGAGGTCGCATGTGCCCAGCAGCTGGAGACCAGCTCCAGCCCGGCCACGCCCACTTCCCTGCCATCCACGGGGTGGGCCCTACCTCTCCACGTTTGTCCTTCCTTGAGTGCCCTCCTGGTCCTCAGCCCGGAGAGACCAAATCCAATTTCCTTGTATTTAATAATTCTTTATATTAAACGTCCCCTGTTTAACGTACTGTGTGCTCTCTAGCTCCTGACTGGACCCAGGCTGCCCATACTCTTCAAAGTGGCTGGGGCGGCGGGGGGCGGGGGAGCTGGCTCGTCCCACAGACATTGTGCACATGCACAGCAATTAAGAGGGTGGGTTCAGCTCATGGTTAAGTGTTGTTACCACAATTTTTTTAAAAAAAGAAAGAAAAGAAATCCTAGAGTTTGACCAGTGTAAACCCAAACTTTAAAAAAAACAAAAAACGCCTATCCCATATCTCTCTTACTCCGGTATTGTGCTCGATACCAGGAAGTACAATCTGAGTCCTGATTCCCACACTCCTCATCCTCGCAAACTGTCTCTACGTTTGCCCAGAGCGGGTGCCAGGAAGAAGCCCGGCTCACCCGTAAACTTGATTGTCCCCCCACCCCCAGAAGAAGGCGTGCTGGGCAGCCGTAGCCTGGCAGAGAGGTAGGAGCCGCCCCGCCCCCCCATCAACTTGACAAGAGCGTGGTTGCTGCCCCCGAGTTTGCAGCAAGGTCCCCAGTCCGTCTGGTTTCCTGGAGGCTGCAGCTCTCCTCCCGTCCCCAGCCTTATTTCCCTTGCTGAGGACCAGCATTTCCCAGGGCACAAGTTCATGGAAGTAAAAGGGGGTTTTCACCTGTTTCTTTTGACCCTTTCCTGAGACATCCCATAAAATTCACATAGTTTAGGTACACAGTTCAATGACTATTAGTAAGTTCACAGAGTTTGTGTGAGCTTCCCCAGAGGCCAGTTTTAGAAGATGTCACTATCCAGGAAAGATTTCCCAATCCCTTTGCTATCCCTGGCCCCGGGCAACTTGTGCCCATCAGTAGTCGCTCAACTTTCTTCCCCTAACCTTTCTCCTGGCCCCAGGCAACTGCTAATCTATGTACTTTCTGTCTCTCTACAATAGCCTTTTCTAGGCATTTCATGTAAATGAAACCACATATTTTGTGGTCTCTTGTGTCTGGCTTCTTTCACTCAGCAGAATGCTTTTGAGGTTCATCCATGTTGTACTCCTCTTATGTGAATACACCACGTTTTGTTTAAACAGCTCCGTTCTTTTTCGATATTACTTTGGCTAAAGGAAATTAAAGAAGATTTAAGTAAATGAAAACACATTCCATGTTCATGGATTGGAAAACTATAATATTAGAGTTGCGATGCTCCACATGGATCTATAAATTAAACACAACCCCCCTTGAAATACCAGTAGGCATTTTTTAAAAAATTAAATTGACAAGGCGATCCTAAAATTAACATGGAAAGGCAGATCACGGTGAAGGGGAGGCCTTTCCGGCATGAGCTGGGCAGGAAATGGGAAGCGAGGAACTAGAGACAATAAGGGCAGGCAACCCTTTCAAGACATTGGCTGTGAAAAGGAGCAGAGGCATCAGGTGGGAATGAGGAGGAACAAGGGGTGAAGGGAGGGCATTTTCAAGGAGGGAAAGATGGCGGCGCGTGTTAAGTTCTGCTGGTTGAGGGATGTTGAAGACGACAGAGAAAGAAGAGTGATCAGCAGCCAAGGGGTAGGGGTCCTGACAAAGTGGGAGGGGCCAAGTTCAAAAGCACACCGTTGGCCTTTGCACAGGGGCCTGGGAGGGCCTTTCCTAGGAGAAGACCTGTGTTTATCTGTTGCGGCTGCCATACAAAATGCCACAGACCGGGAGCTTTAAACAACAGAGTTTATTTTCTCGCAGTTCTGGAGGCTGGAAGTCCAAGATCAAGGTGCTGGTAGGGTAGTTTTCATTCTGAGGCCTCTTCTCTTGGCTTGTGTGCAGCTGTCATCTTGCATGTGCTCTTGTGACCTTTTTTTTACATGTGTGGAGAGGGAGAGGGAGCAGGCTCTCTGACGTTTCTGTTTATAAGGGCACTAATCCAATCTTCTTGGATAAGGACCCCACCCTTATGATCTCATTTAACCTTCATCATTTCTTCCAAGACAGCCATGCTGGGGATTAGGGCTTCAATGTATGAATTGGGTGGGGAGACACATATTCAGCCCATAACAACGGTAACTGCAATCTGGTAAGTGCAAAGGCCCTGAGGAAGGGAAGGCCTGGATTCATCAGAAGTACAGAAAGGAGGCTGGAGTTGCTGGTACTGAGTGAGCAGGGAAGAAGAGTGATACATGATGCATTTAAAGATGATGTATGCCCTGGCTGATGTGGCTCAGTGGATTGAGTGCAGGCCTGTGAACCAATGGGTCACTGGTTCGATTCCCAGTCAGGGCACATGCCTGGGTTGAGGGCCAGGTCCCAGTAGGGGGCGCACAAGAGGCAACCACACATTGATATTTCTCTCCCTCTCTTTCTCCCTTCCCCCTCTTTTAAAAAAAAATAAAGATGATGTATGGATACAAAGGAAAAGAGGAGAGAATGTAGGCAGCAGGAGGCTGGACCCAGGTCGATGGCCAGCAATCTCCCAGGCCTCATCTGAGGAAAAGAGCTGGCTGGCGCTCCTTACATGTTAGGACATCAAGATGCAAATATCTCATCCATCCGTCTAATCTTATCATCAGTTCATCCGCTACATAGAGCAGTGAGTAATTCTATGTGTTTTCAACATATACACATACATGTACATGTATGTACATGGCTTGGCAAACACAGAAGAAATAGGAGTTAAGTGACCTCGGAGACGCATCCACCTCCTCAAAACGGCGCAGCAGAACACGCAATCTTCAAGAAGATGAAGAGTAGACACCCTTCAGAGATACATGCGCAGGCCTCAGTTGGGCTAAGAGGAAAACAAAACACCTTAAAGGGACACATCATGGCAGGTTTTTGTCCGAAACCCTAAAACAGGAGAAAGTGAATGGCCCAGGTATCGATGTTATACAAAGTTCCCCAGGGGGAGCGGTGATGCTGCTGTGATGAGATCAGGATGCAGGCTCTTCTCTTCTTCCTCCCCACTGGAGTCCGCGAGGACCGTGAGGGCAAGAATCTCCTCCCAGATCTCTGCTGAACAGAGAACGAATGGTAGGGAAGCAATGCTATACACTCCTGACTTCACTGTTACTGAGTAAAACCCTATTCATCTCTTACCACATTTTTGTCAACAAAGTTATCAAGCAAGGTCCCTGAGCCCAGCCTTAAAAATGCAGGTCTGTACAAATCTCTGTCTGAAAGGACTCTTCTGAAATGTTGAAGGCGACGGCCACCCTGCGCGACGGAGGTGGCGGTAACTTTCCGCCTCAGTGTGCCGAGGCAGGCGATTCCATAAAATGCTAACTGAAAGCATGCGCAAGAGCGTCACCCAGGAGAACGCATACGTCTGTACAAAGACCTGTAGAGAATCGTTCACAACAGCTTTATTTGTAATAACCAAACACTGGAAATAACTCCATGAACGAATAAATAAGTATCCATACCGTGGAATACTGCTCAGTAGTAAAAGGAATGAACTACGTGGCTATAACTCAAAATAATTATGTAAAATTATGTGAAAGAAGACAGATCAAAAAAAAGGGCCCATATGATATGATTCCATTTATATAAATGTTTTAAAAATGCACACGAATCTGTAGTGAGGGAAAGCAGATCAGTGGTTGCCTGGGGATGGAGATGGCGTGGGGAGACGGGGCGGGGGCGGGGTATTTACAAAGGGGAACAGGAAGTTTGCGTTGCGGTGATGGCTTCACCGGTATACACGTATATCAAAAACACATTCAGCGGTATATTCTAAATATGTGCAGTTTATTGTATGCCAGATACAGGAATGTCAGTTATATCTCAATAAAGCTCAATGAAGCTGTTTTTAAAAAATTAAAAAGACAGCCTTGGCTGGTGTGGCTCAGTGGATTGAATGTGGCCTGTGAGCCAAAGGGTCGTTGGTTCGATTCCCAGTCAGAGCACGTGCCTGGGTTGCAGGACACGTCCCCAGTAGGGGGTGCTCGAGAGGCAACCACACATTAATGTTTCTTTCCCTCCCTTTGGCCTTCCTTATCTCTCTCTCTAAAAATAAATAAATACAATCTTTTTAAAAATTAAAAAGACATAGCCAACATCCCAAATCAGCGTGCAGTTCAACCTGCCACACAGTGTAAATAAAGTAAAATACAGCGCGTAGAGAAGACGTCACCAGGACGGCCGTGATTCCTGGGCACACACCTCGGCTGCCGGCTTTGCTAACTTGCCTACTGTCTCAGACTTCAGGGACGAACTCGACTCGGCTCCCTTCTGGTCAGGTGTGGACTCCAAGGTAACTGCTGGCTTCTCCCTAAATGAATTTGGTGATCCCATAGTTAACAAGTAACACTACTTCACAATTATTGCAAATTCTGTATTACTTCAGATTTGTGATTTTAAGATCTCTTTCAGTTTTGAGATTCTAGGAAATTTTTCCCCTCAAGCTTGCTTCTGTGATACCATTAACTGTCACACAAAATAGTGGCCCAGCTACTGCTTTTTCAGACAATTGTTTTAAAATGCTAATGATAGTGATGAGTGGCTTTCAGAATTCTTTTATTTGCTAATAATCTTTTTAAAATGTCTATCAAAGTAATACTTGCATATAGCTTTAAAAAAAAGTAACTTTACATAATGGCTTATAATAACATGCAAGAGGCCTCAGCTCCCTCCCCTGTGACTCTGGGTCCTACTGCCAGAGGCATGCGCCTTGAAGTCCCAAGATGTTTCTTCCAATAATTAGGTCCGTATTTCGGAGGAATCTTGTTGAGCCACAACACTGTAACTGCAAGTAATGTGACAGAAATTGGCATATTTCTCCTTTGATAAAAAACGTTGTAGAAGAAGACTGAAACTGAGACCAAGAATATGCTTTTTGGATAGTGCAGTGAAATATATTGGAGCCAAGGAGGCCTGGGTTCGAAACCTGGCTCTGATACTTGTCTGGCCTTGAGCTTGTAAATTAATCTGTCTGAAATCAGTTTGATTATCTATCAAATAGAGATGGTAATAGTTGTCTCACAGAGTTGCCAAGAGGGTTAAATGAGAAAGCTTATGTTTATATTGGTACATCACCCATCCAACAAGGGCATTTTCTTTATCTTTCTTCAGCTTTAACTCTTCCGTATAGTGTATGGGGGTGGAGGGTGGTTGTGGTTTTAGCCATAGGTCTCCTGGAAACTTTCAGCCCCTCAGCATTTTAAAAAGAAGCAAACCATGTTTTCAATGAATGTGGATTGAGGACATTAGTTGCATCATTTATTAATTACCAACTGGCAATATGGCAAAGGTGTTTCAAAGCAATTCCATTCTCAGAGATCTGGAGAAGGGGCCCTTTAGCTAAAAATCACTGCAAGAGGTACCTCCCGCCAGCAGGTCCCAGGCCTGGTCGCTGTCTGTTGCTAGGACCACACCTGCCTTCTGCCTACAGGTGGGTGGGAAGCTGGTTTGCCCAGAAACCCCGTCAGGATCTGTTTTACAGAACTGCCAGTCAAGCCCATTCTTCAAAAGGCTCTCCCACCCAAAGACCCAGTCCTTCCATGCAAGGAATCTTACCCCTTCTGGAGGCTTCTGCCCACTTCCAATGAACCCTGCTTTGGCTGCTTGGATGAGACCTGGACCAACGCCTGAGATCCCAAGGAATCTTCTATTTGAAGAAAAAAAAAAGCTATTTAAACCACATTTGCCTTCCATGGGGGTGGGGGGACTATAAAACAAGGGTTCAAGCGATCACCTGGACAGTGAAGGTGGGCTTGAAGCTCTAGCCTAGACCCTGGCAGACTCTTTAGACTTGGATCAGTTTTGGGATGAATGAAGGGGATTATAGGACGGGATGCTGGAGGGGGCTCAGCTCCTCCAGGAAGGAGAGGCTGTGGCATCCCTGGGGTCAGAATCTGGGACAGGATGAGGAAGTCAGAGGTGTCTCCCTCCCAGATCGCAGAAGCCTGGGGGCTAAACCCAAGGAGAGAAGCTTCTGCGCAGATACAGCCCTTCTTCACGCCACCTGCCCGGAGCCGCCGCCTCTGGCCCCCTTCCACCGCAAGCGCAGTGGGAGGGTACACACTGGGCGTCTGCCTCTCTTCGATGACATTAACCGTAAACGAGCATTCCGAATTATTCACTGGTTCCGGTTAACGGGTATTTCGCACAACCAACGAACGTCTCCAAGGAGGAGTCTTGCAGGCAAACACGGTGATTTTTGTGGGGCTCCGACGGCCCGCGGACGACGCGGACGGCCCGGAGGGTCCCAGGCCCGGGCGCCGTGGCTCAATGAGGAGGGGCCCCCATTCCTGCTGAATGTCCGGGAGCATGTTGATTGTCATCTGGTCCCATACCTGCCGTTCCCGAGGTCGCTTTGGGGCAGGGCCCATGGAACCTAGAAGAAAGGAACCGGCCCTTCTTCCCGGAGGCGGGGCTCAAACCCATCCCGCTGCTACGGCCGGTGGTCCCCGGGTGGCAGGGGCGTCGCTCCAGACCAGTTCCCCGTGGGCGCGGCCCCACGTCCCCGGAGCCGCGGGGTTCAGTGCGCTGGGGGCAGCGCGCCGCAGAACCGCGTGGGACGCTCACAAACGGCGGACGCACGCGGGGCCGGGGGTCGGGGGGGGGGGCGGCGCGCCTTGCGTGTCGCCGAACAGAGCGGGCACCAGTGGGAAAGGCAGGGAAAGGGGGCCAGGGGGCTGTTCAAGGGACGCAAGGGAACGCCAAAACTGTTGGCTTAAAAGCTCGCAGGTGGCGCTGCTGTGGCTGGAGAAGCTGAATGTCACGGAGCAGACGAGGAGAGAGCGGTTGAGGCCAGATTAGGAGGGCCCGGGGAAGGTCCCGCGGGAGTTAAAATCTTGAGGGATTGAGAGTTTCACACGCATTTTTTCTCACGTATTTTATTATATACTTTAACTTAAATTATAAACTAACCTACACGTCCTCTTTCTTTGAGTCACAGACAGGAGCTGAGGCCGCGATGGGAAGGAGGGAGGTGGCGCGTTGGCCTGAGGCCAGAAGGTTGGGGCAAGAAGCCTGGGAGCAGGTCCCAGGTGGGACTCCCAGGCCGGGGCTCTACCCCCGCCCAGCTGGTTTCTGCACCTGCGGTTTCTCCTCTCCCCGCCCCCAGCCCCACACTGTACAGAGAGGTTTCTACCCGAACACACCTCGGATCAAATTTCTCCACACGCAGCACCATCAGCAGCCCAACTCCACCTACCCAGACGTTTCTGAACACACTCCTTGGCTGCGTGCACCCAGCCCTGCCAGTTAGGACCTAAGTCAGCGCTTCTCAAACATTCTCATGCATCAGAGCCTCCCGGCATGGCGTTGCAATGCAGATTCCTGGGCCCTGCCCCAGGAGCTCCCTCCTCAGGGGGTCTGGGGTTGGGGCCCTAACACTTGCGTTTCTAACAAGCTTTCAGGTGATGCTGAGCTGCCTGCCCTTGCGTAGCAGCTGCGGTGCCTTCCCCTCCCCGCGGGGCCCGCACGAGGGCGCCTCCTTCAAAGCAGCCGCTTGCTCTTCCTCCGCGCCCCCCGCCGCCTCCCCCCCTCGCCCCGCCGCACTCGAGCCTTTGCCGGGCTGGTCCCGCCATGAATTCCCTGCTGCCAAGTCTGACACTGGTCAGGTCCTGGAACCTTCCAACTCAGGACAGAGTTGAGCGGTTGTGCTGCTTTTTAGAGGGAAAGATTTGTTGGAATTTTAAACAAAACTGGATCGCCTCCATCCAAAGCCGGGGTGTCCAACCCGCGGCCCCGGGCCAGGTGCACGCGGGCCGGAAGGCGATGACCGCGGCCCAGCACAGAACTGCAAATTTACTGAAGAAAACATCAGTAAAATAAAAAGGGGACCAAAGATATGGGAAAACATATTTGCCAATGATACCTCAGATAAGCATTTGAGCTCCAAAATACATAAAGAATTCACATGACCCCACACCAGGAAGACAAACAATCCAATTAAAAAATGGGCAAAGGACCTAAACAGACACTTCACCAAGGAGGGCATACATAGGGCCCATAAGCTTATGAAAGGGTGCTCAGCATCACTAGGCATCAGAGAAATGCACATTAAAACCACAACGAGATTCCACTTCACACCAGTCAGAATGGCTATCGTTAACAAATCAACAGAAAACAAGTGCCCGTGAGGATGTGGAGAAAAGGGAACCCCAGTGCACTGTTGGTGGGAATGCGGACTGGTGCAGCCACTGTGGAAAACGGTATGGAGTTTCCTCAAAAAACTAAAAGTGGATCTGCCTTTTGACCCAGTGATTCCACTCCTGGGATTTTACCCTAAGAATCCGGAAACACCACTTCAAAAGAACCTATGCACCCTGCACCCCAATGTTCATAGCAGCACAATTTGCAATAGCCACGTGCTGTAAACAGCCTAAGTGCCCATCAGTAAATGAGTGGATCAAAAAACTGTGGTCCATTTACACACTGGAATACTACACAGCAGAAAGAAAGAAGGAGTTGCTACCCTTCGTGACAGCATGGATGGAACTGGAGAGTATTATGCTAAGTGAAATAAATCAGTTGGCAAAAGACAAATACCATATGACCTCACTTATAACTGGAACCTAATGAACAAAATATACTAATGAGAAAAATAAAGCCAGAGACATGGAGACATGGCAACAAGGAACAGGCTGACCGCTGTAGGAGGGAAAGAGGGAGGAGGATTATGGGGGTGGGGGAAGAAGGGGAAGGGCCAAGTCGAGGAACCTGAACAAAGGACCCATGGACAAGGACAATGGGGTGAGGATTGTCTTTGGGAGCAGAGGTTAGACTGGGCAGGGAAGAGCAATGGTGGGAAGGGGAATGGGGACAGCTGTATCTGAACAACAGTTTTAAAAAACAAACCATCTTTTCTATGCACATCTGTTTTCGTTAGTGTTTTCTATGCACACCAAGACAACTCCTCTTCTTCCGGTGTGGCCCAGAGACGCCGAACGGTTGGACATCCTTGATCTAAAGGGTCGTCGGGGAGCTTGATAAAAATGCAGGCGTCCGAGTCCACCCCCAAATCAAGACCTCCCTCGGAAACACACATGTCTACAGTCACCCTCACTACATGCAGATAAATAGAGGGAGTCCCAGAGAAGGGCAGTGACTTGTCCCAGGGCCCACAGCACGTTAGAACTGTTAGAACCGAGATTGAGCAAGAGCCCAGGTCCCCTTGGGCGCAGCTGCACCCTCCTCCCCACCACCCACTGAACGAAGCTGCTTTTCCTGAGCCTAAGGGGCTATCCTCTCTTCCTGCCCTTTTTTTGCTTCCCTCTACCCCACTTTCTTGTGACAGCAGCTGGACCCTGGCTTTTCCAGCTGAGGCTGAGATGGAGCCCCAGGGAACTAGAAAACTTACAAAACTGAGAAGAGTGGGACAAAGGGCAAGGAAATGAGGCAGAGAGGAAAAGCTTTCCTGGGCGGGCACAGGAGGGGAGGAGGGAACAGGAGGCCAGTCCAAGGGGTCTGGGAAGCTGGGGGCGGGGCCGCCGCCCCTGCCTCTGGCCAAGGGGGACTCAGAGGGCAGCCCCAGAAACCGACAACCTTCCCTGGCCCCCAAAAGAGCCAGGCTCTGCATGCACGCACCTGCCACCACCCCTACGCCCCAGCCAGCCGTGAGCTTCGGGTGCAGGGGGGCTAGTTAGTTAGTGTGAGTTTTCTACACCGGAAGCGGATTTCCGCTCCAGAACCAGTCAAGCAGGTGGGCGGGGAGCGGCGGTGGCCCCAGGGGCAGATGGCTTCCCTCCCAGGCGGCCTCCTCGTGGCACTAGGACTAACAGCTGGAAAGGCTGCTGCAGGCACTGAGGAGCCTCGCTGGGAAAGGAGAGTCAGCCCTGTGGGCGCAGAGCCCTGGATCAGCATCAGCAGCTCCCGTTAGAGGCGCCCCACCCCCATGTCACCTGGAGAGAAACTGGACCCGCTGCCTGACGCCTTCATCCTACAGCCGCCAGTCTTCGACCCGGTGAGCGGCCACTCCGGTCCCGGAGCTCCCCGGACTCAGGGCATCTCCCTTCCAGCTGGGGCCCGGCTCCCAGGTGGTGAGGTGCAGGGGCCCTTGTCTTTGAGCCCAGCTTCCCCATCATAGGCCCAGGGGCTCGGGAAAGGTCCCCTGGGTTTAGCAAAGTGCTGACCAGCTAATTCCCACTGGGGTGCAAATGACGGCTGGGCTCACAGAGTCCTCGCGGTGTAAAGCAGTAGAGCCTGGAGACGCGGCACTGGGCCCTGGCTGCACTCTGGGTGACCAGGAGGACCTGGGGGACAGTCGTGGGGGCACTGAGCACTGAGGAAGGGCAGTCTCGCCTCCAGCCCAGAAGGGGGACAGGCGGACCCTTGCAGCCCAGTCTTGTCTCCAGCCCAGAAGGGGGACAGGAGGACCCTTGCAGCCCAGGGGTGGGGTGGGGCTTCCTGGCTTCTTCCTCCTGCCCGGCACCGAGCGGGGGTTCTGCAGCCTGGCCACGCCTTCCTGATGCTAAGCTGCACCCTCCTGCCAAAGGGCACTAATTACCACTTTCTCCCCACTTGACCCTGTTCTCCCACTAGAGCTGTGTCTGCTCCGAGGGAGGGGCTGCGACGCTGGGCGCAGCGGAGCTGTGGGCACTCTGGCAGCCAACCCTCCCGTGCCTCCCCAGGCGCCTGAGTGATGGGGTGAAGTGGCTGCCCAGGTTACTACTCCTCCTGGCTCTTCAGGATGCAGGCTCCCACCTGGGGGGCAGTGCGGTTGGGCCTCAGCTCTTTCTAGGTGATTTGGGCTCCCAAAGGCTGCTGGGAGTTGGAGGATACCACGGGGAGGCTGGTCTTGTGACCCTGTCTGATGCGTACCTGTGTATGTTCACATTCGTCCCACAAACACCTGTTCAGGGCCCATGCTCTGCCAGGCTGGGCTCTGAGCCTACAGAGAGGGGAGACAGGGCTTCCGCTTCCCGGGGCCTGTGCCTCCCCGGTGAACGGCCTGCCGCACGTCTCCCTGTGAGCCAGCCGGCCGGCCGGGGCCCCGGGGCCTGGGGAGGGGAGAGAGAACTCGGGCACCCAAGTGCGTGGTGTCTGAGAAGGTGTCAGAGGAGACGTCAGGAGCCTTGAAGGTCAAGTCCGATTTCACAGGGTGTAGGGAGCACAGAGGAAGCAGCCCCGGAGAAGGTGGGAAGTTGTGAAAGTGTGTGCTGTGCTTTACAAATGCCCGGCAGCTTCTGTGTGGGGTAAGGTGAGCCTGGGGAGCTGGGCCGGGCCCCTGTTAGGGAGGTATCTCTCCGGGCGTCTGTATCAGGGTCCTCTCACAGGTCCCAACTTGTCCGTCCTTCCGCCCCCAGCTCCCAGGCTCTGGCCAGTGCACAGTCCCAAGGACGCCCGGACGGCAGGCTTCGGGAGGCCCGGGCGGCACCCCATGGGCAGCGAGCCTCGCTGGGGCGAGGGGCTGGGCTGGGCTGGCGCTCCAGGGGGCAGCGGAGCTGTCTCTGGCTTCCCCAGGGCACATGTGGCTTTGACATGTGAAGGTCCAGGAAAGGGGTGTAGACGGAAGACAACATTTGAGAGAGAACTAATTTTTCCCCATAGGACATTTTCTGTTTGGGGCAGGAGAATCAAGTTTTCCTGTTCGTCTTCCCTCCCCACCCCTCTGGCATAGGGGTCCCTTGGCCTTTCCTTCCCCGTGAAAGGATGGGTTTCTCTCCTTGTTCAGGTGGTTCCTTACGTCACAACAATTTTTGGTGGCTTACGCGCAGGCAAGATGGTCATGCTGCAAGGAGAGGTCCCTCTGGACGCGCGCAGGTGAGGGGCTGCCCCCCGGGGGCGCTGCAGCTCAGCCCCAGAGCTGCACGCGGGGAATCCGGGGCTCTCTGGCCGGGAGCGCCCTCGGAGAGCCTCGCCTCCCACCAGGTTCCAGGTGGACTTCCAGTGCGGCTGCAGCCTGCATCCTCGGCCGGACATCGCCATCCACTTCAACCCTCGCTTCCACACCACCCAGCCCCACGTCATCTGCAACACCCTGCACGACGGGCGCTGGCTGGCCGAGGCCCGATGGCCCCGCCTGGCCCTGCAGAGAGGAGGCAGCTTCCTCATCCTCTTCCTCTTCGGACACGAGGAAATGAAGGTGATCCGAAGGGCATCGGGGATCTAGAACATCGGGAGGGGCAAGCACGGAGAGGACCAAGGAGCTGCCCTGGGCCCCTGGGGCCTGATCCACATGACAGCAAGGCTGCTCTGTGGTGCCTGGCCCCAGGGAGGGGCCCCGGCCACAGCCATGGGGTGGGTGGGGCACCGGCGATATGCCTGGCACGGCTCTGATCCCTTAAAAATCAGCTCACGGGGTCCTCCCAGCACCCCCGAGGAAGGTGCTTCCCTTCTCCCATCTCACAACAGAGGGAGAGAGAACTTGGCCTCGAGGCTCTCACCCTGAAGCGACTCCCACCAGAAACAGGAGGGGACCTTCAGATGTCTCGGGGTGGGGGTGGGGGGAGCTGGTAGGAGCCAGCAGTGGACGGAGAGACCCTAGGATAGGAGTGCGCACAGCCTCCCGAGCCTCGGTTTCCTCACCTGTGGACGTGGACAGGGTGCTGCTGCGGCTGCTGGCAGCCTGGGAGAGGCGAGATGCGGGGGGTGTGGGAGGTGCAATCAGGGGCGGGGAGGGGCCCGCAAGGTGCCTTGGCTCTGAGGCCAGCTCGGCCACTGGCCAGCTCTGCAACCTCGTCTGCAAAACGTACCTTCTTCTGAGAGCTGGGATGAAGGTAAATGAGGAGAATTACAGGTAAGAGCACACACCGCTGCCTGGAAGAACCCAACACCCATGAGCTGAGCTGAGCTGAGCTGACCTGAGGGGGCCCCCGTGTGTCCCCAGGTGAGCGTGAACGGACAGCACTTTCTCCACTTCCGCTACCGGCTCCCGCTGTCCCGTGTGGACACGCTGGGCATATTCGGGGACATCTTGGTGAAGGCTGTTGGATTCCTGAACGTCAATGTAAGTTCCCTTGGGACCAAGGCCTGGGTGGCAATGGCCTCTGACTTTCTGTGCACCTGGACAGGCCCGGGGTGCCTCCTGCCCCAGACAAGCCTTGTCACGCCGGTTATGGCCGAGAGCGAGGGTTCCCCTCGAGGCGTCGGCTATGAGTGGGGCGAGGGGAGGAGAAGGTGACTGCAGAAGGGACCCGAGGGCCTGGGACAGACATCCATACTGGGCGTGGGGTCAGTCTACAGGGAGCAGCAATAGCCAGGAGGTGAGTCCTTGGGAGGGTTGAAGCCATGGGGCCCAGACACGGGGCTGGCAGTGTCGCTCTCACCTGAGGAGCTTGTTAAAAATGCAGACCCCTGGGGCCGCCGCCACAGGTGCTGATTCAGCGCCTCGGGGCCTGCGCAGCCACCACACCAGGTGTGAGCCCCATCGCTGAGGCCAATGGCAGAACGAGCAGCTCTCAAGGCCAAAGCAACCTCTGCCAACATCCGCGCACAGGCAGGGCAGGCCGGGGCCAGATAAATGGTCCGCAGCCCCTGCAGCCTCTTGAGTCCTATTGTTGCTTATTCTCTTTCCCAACAGCCATTTGCAGAAGGCAGCAGCGAGTATCCAGTTGGACATGTGAGTCTCTTGGGCGATAGATAGGCAGGCCTTTGTCCCAGGCACATAAGCTGAAGCCCCAGTTCCCCTCCCTAGTGTGACCTGCCCCTCGGTGGCTGGGCTGCTGCTCCCCTTGCACAGGCCCACCTGCCCCTCCCTCACTGCACGGTTGTCCTGGATGCAGCCAGCTCCGCCAGGGTCCCCGAAGAGCCTGGATGGCCTCTCCCAGCTTGTCTAGTCCCCAGGGCCAGCTAGGGAAGAGGGAGGCAAGGGCGGGGAGGAGAGAACGGCTTCCCTGAAGGGGCAGGGCCCGGTGTTCCTATCAGGAGATCCCTTTAGATGGAGCTTTCGGTTCCCCGAACAACCCCCGAGGTAGCCGCGGCTGGCCTGCAGGGCCCAAGGGGAGGTGAGGCCCAGGCACCTGCCCAAGGCCACACGGCGAGTGAATGACAGGCCCTGGGTCTAGCTCTCCCCCTTCTCCAGAGCCGGTGCCCTTCTGAATTCTGGAGGATCCCACCGGGGCTCCAACCATTCATCTGCATTATCTCTGAGAGAGGCAAACCCCAAAGTCCCCAAGTTTTCATAATAATATCAAGGGATTCCTTTTCACTGAGCAAACGTCCCATGACCTCCGCATCTCCTCTTTCTCCCCCTGACAGCCGTTCCTGCTGGGGAGTCCCAGGCTGGTGAGTGATCTCCCCCTCATTCTCGAGGTGGTGGAGCCCCATCCCAGCCCCATCAGGGGTGGGGGGCACCCCCACCTGGTGGGAGATGCCCTCAGCCTCATGATTTGCCCTCCCTTCATTGAAAAGAGCAGACTATGGGTGGGCCGGCAGCTTCAGGCTGAAGCTCCAGCTTCATTTGGCCTTTTCTTCAGTTACTCTGCGCACAGTCACTTGATACCCTTCTGTGGCAGGTCCAGTGCCAGGCTCTAGGACGGAGGGACAAGCCAGTCCTGAGGCCTGCAGTGCTTACAGGCTGGTGGGGCAGGGGACCAGTGAACGGGCCATTGCAAGTCGGGGTGCAGGACGGGAACGTACACTGTGCTCATAGCACAGAGGGGCACCGAGTGCAGTCCAGAGACGCCCGGGGGCAGAGCCTAGGGGCCAGGCCTGCAGTAGGTGCTTCGTAATGAACAGAGCTGAGGGCCCCCCACCGCCACCCGCCGCCTGGCTGCAGGGGCAGAGCCTTACCTGCTCCAGGGGCCCCGCCCCTGAGGGTGGCCCACAGAGCTGCTCCAGGGGGCGGCAGCCCCCCCTCCGCCCCTCTGCGAGTCAGCCGCTCAGTCACCTCCCATGTTCCTTCAGGAGGTGCCCTGCTCACGCCCCCTTCCCCGGGGTCTTTGGCCCGGACAGGTCATCGTGCTGCGGGGGCTGGTCTTGCCAGAGCCAAAGGAGTGAGTATGCAGGTGAAGGGAGGGCACCGCCTGCCTGCGCCTGGCGCCAGCTTGGTGCACATCGCCTCCTCCGTCCTCAAAGCCACCATTTAATTAGTTACGTGTTCGGGGTGGCAGAGCTTGTAAAAGGTGGGCTGGGATAGGGGCCGGGGCTCAGCCTGCTTCGGGGCCCCAGCAGCCCCACTTCCAGAGTATCTTCCATGCCTGTGAACCTGGTCAGGCCCTCCCTGGGGCCTCAGGGAAGGCCCTTTAAAGAGGGGGCTGCTGAGACCCCAACAGAGAATGATACCTCCAACAGCGACACAGTGCATAGTTTAGGAAGCGCAGCTAGGTGGCCCCAGAGGGGAGACCTGGTGCTGGGAAGTGGGGACTTGGACGAACACAATAACCAAGTATACAATAGACGCTGCCTAACTTCACCCCCAGGGGGCGCTCCCACCCTGTTTCCCAAACCTGCAGTTCAAAGCAAGTTAGACAAGGGCCTTATCTTTTTCTTTGCTTTTTACTTTCCTCCCTCACCCCCTCCCTCCTTCTCTTCCTTGTCTCCTTCATGCCTTCCCGCCTTCCCTCCTTGTTTCATTTTTCTGGAACTGCACTGGATTTCATGACTTTTCTGGGCCACATTGCCTACCGGGCTTTGACGTCTGCTGAGGACATGAGCAACTTCAAGCCGTCACTTTTCCTCTGTGTGTCGCAGTTTCTATGCCTGTAAAAAGGGGCGATGATAGTGCTGACTTCAGGGGCGGTGTAAATGCTTACAGTTGCACCAGGCACAGAGCAAGTGCCCCACGGATGGGGCGGTCTCAGCATTCTCTCGGGGGTGGGGCCAGGGGGTAAGGGGCATGCCCCCTGCTGTCCCCCTCTCTCTCCATTTGTTTCGTGACTGTGTTGGAAGTCACTGACCTCACTAAGCTCTTGCCCTGCCTGCTCCTGAATGCTGAGGCGGGCACAACCCCCAGAGCCAGGCACAGCCGGGTCGGATTCCCGATTTTGCTTCTTACAGACTATGTGGTCCCAGGCAAGTCACTATGTCTCTCTTGAGTCAGAAGTCCTGGGTTTCCCCATGGGGGGCGGGGGGGCAGGGGGGCAGGGAAGAGAGGAAAGAGGTGATTCCAATGCTATGGGGAAAATTAAGTGGTTCCCAGTGATAAAAAATACCTTCCCCTGACCCCCCAAAAACTGGGGACATGAGGCCAGGTTCATATCCTAGCTCAAAGTCACATGGTAGCTAGTGACACAGCGAGTAATTTAATACCTCTTTTGCGAGGCCCACGGCTCTCGGTTCTCATGCCCTCGGAGGCCTGACAGGTCACGTAAGCAGTGAGGCACCAGGTTGGGACACTGGTGAAGTGGAAAGGATATTTCCATAGACCCACTCATGACAGATCCGATTATTTTTAAAGAGAAGCTGGAAGCCATCTTTTATATAAACTCTCTCAATTATTGAAAAGGGTGTGACTTTAAAGTGGAAGGATAGTATGAACCAACCAGACCACGTCCTTTCTTTTTTTTAAGATTTTATTTATTAACTTTTAGAGAGAGGGGAAGGGAGGGAGAAAGAGAGGGAGAGAAACATCAGTGTGTGAGAGATACAGCCATCAGTTGCCCCTCACACACCTCCAACTGGGGACCTGGCCTGCAGCCCAGGCCGGTGCCCTGACTGGGAATCGGTTTCCAGGCTGGTGCTCAGTCCACTGGGCCGCACCACCCAGGTCAGCCAGACCATTTCTATAGGCCAATTCGGCCGTGGGCCACCAACATCGAGACTTAGCACAGTGCCTGCAATAAATGCTGGCCATCCCTCCCTCAGGGGAATCGGGTGACATGGCCTCAGGGCTCCGGAACCTGAGCCCCCTCTCGGGCCCTTCCCTCCCCGCAGTTTCACTCTGCGGCTGCTGGACAAGGCCATTCGGGCTGCTGTGACACTCAAGGCTTCCTTTGCGGACAGAACGCTGGCTTGGGTCTCCCCCTGGGGACGGAAGAGTCTGATCTCGGCCCCCTTCCTGTTCTACCCCCAGCGATTCTTTGAGGTGGGTCCGGGTCGAAGTGTTCCAACCCAGGACCCCGGGGGCGGGGGCGTCCTTGGGGGGCCTCCCTGCCAGGGCTCTGAACTCTCTGCCCTGGAGCCAGAGGTCCCCAGCCCAGAGACCCAGGTTTGATCACTCGGGGCGGCTCTGGCACCAGTGTGACTGAATAGCCCCCCAGCGACTCCGGTGTGCATCAGGGCGGGCAGCCTCTCCTCCATGGGAGGGAACCCCTGCTGAGGACAGTGGGACTGCGGCCTGGCGCTGAGAAGATCCTTGTGGGGGGACTGGGGACAGGCCGGGTCCAGTATGAGGGCAGGAGGGGCTCCCTGGGCGGCATCGGGCAGCGGCAGGACTCCATCCAGAAGCCTGCAGGCCTCCCGCCTCCTTCCCCAGGTGCTGCTCCTGGGCCAGAAAGGAGGACTGCAGCTGGCGCTCAACGGGCAGGCGCTGGGGGCCACCAGCCTGGGCCGGCAGGCCCTGGAGCAGCTGCGGGAACTGCAGGTCAGCGGCAGCATCCAGCTGTACTGTGTGCACTGCTGAGGAGGGATCCGGAGACGAGGAGGGCCAGCCCGCGCCCAGGGCCCCGATGGCCTGGCACCCCCGCCCCGCACTGACGTGTCCACCTGGCACCACCAGGCCAGGCCTGGCTCACCTCTGGAGCCCTGAGCCAGAGTCTGCAGGGGCTGTGGGCCCCACGGTGGAGGGAAGGCCCCAGGGTGTGAAGGCTCCTCCAACTCTCGACCTTCGTCCACCAGGAGCCGGGGATGGACCCCACCTTCCTTCAGGACCTAGACAGGGAGGCGGGTCTGCAGCTTAAGACCCTCAAAATACAGTGGCTCAGAGCACTTGGACGCCCATGTCATTCTCGTCTAACAGTCCTGGAGAAAATGGTCCAGGTCAGGGGCAGCTCCGTGTCCCATGGACCTTCAGGGTCGGCCTTGTCACCTTCCCACCACGCCCAGGACGTCAGCGTCACCTGCGTGGCTCTGCTTTCCAGCACTTTCCCACACAGTTCATTCTGTAAGAGCCCGGTGATGTAGGCGGAGAGAGGATGAAGCGTGTGGCAGACGGGTGGACTAGCACAGTGCTTGTCAGCTGTCACAGAGCTGGTCCGCAGGGCGCGGGGGGCAGAACCCGCTCCTCCATCTCCCGGTCAGTCCGCTCGCTCAGGGTTCGCCACGATGGGGCTTGTGAGTCCTGTTCCCACGCACACAGCGCTGATCCAGGAGGAGAAAAGCCGACCCGGGTTCACATCCCGACCCCTCTAGAAGCTCAGATTTCATGGGTTTGGGCAAATTCAGGAGGCCCATACAGAAAGTTAAAATCAATGACATCAACCTACGGGGCGGTTGTGAGAATTCAGGGGTTGAAGTTGCCTCATATGCCTTACGCTGAGTTGGAGCTCAGTAAATGGCGGCTCGTGCTGGTATCGTGAGAAACTATATGTTGGCTCCACTGATGTCCCCCAACACAAGCAGAACCTCAGAAAATAGGCATCGCCCTAAAGGCGGGGGGACAGTATCGCAGGTCGGTGACAGAGTGCTCACCGCTGCTCACGGGTCCCCTTCATCCCTCCACCAAGCTTCTTCGCAGAACGGGTGCTCTCACCCGCAGGCGGGGCCTGTGTCCGAGTCCAGGGGGCCGGACCAGGTTGCTTAAGATCTTCCCTGGGAATCCCAGACAGACAGACTGCAGGGTGACCTTGTCGTGCAAAAAGAACAGGGAAGAAGGACAGGCGGCCCCGTGGCTGGCCCTTTACTGTCCCTGCCCCGTATTCTCTTCCTCTCTTTCTGTGTGGATGACGCAGTGATTCGATGCCTCCTGCTCTATCCATCTGGCCACTCGGGGGGCAGCCATTCCGCGCGCCCTCCTTTGCGCCAGGACCCACGCTGGTGGTGGACCTGGTACATTTCTGCCCGTGTGAGGCTGTCCCCTGAGCTTCAGGGACATTGAGCAGGGTGTCAGCAGAGACGTGGCGGAGCCAGGATTTGGAAGCAGGACTCACACTCCGCAGGCCCTGCTCTGTCCATGGAGCCAGGCTGACACTGCACAGACACTTGACAAATAAGTCCCGTTTGGGACACATGAGAGTCTTTACAAAAAAAAATGGTTCAACTCAACTTACAACAAATTCAATCCAATAGAGAATGAAGGTCCAGAGTCTTTTATTCCCAGAGAATTTAAGGCGCCCTGTAGGAAGGAACACAGAGCTACGAGGCAGCGTGCACATGGTCATGCTTCTAAGCTCAGGGCTGATACTGAAGCAGAAAACCCTTCCCCACTTGCCAGGCAGATAGGAACCACATTCCCGTCTCCCACGTAACGGCCCACTGCTCACAGCCACGCCAACAGATGCCAAACGGCTCCCCAGGCAGGTGATTGGCCTGCCTGCCTCGGAACAGTCAGAGGTACATGAACGTGGGCCCCCCGCCCCCAGAAAGTGGCTTCTTTTGGGGAAGGGGCAATGCTGCATCTTCACGCTTCATGGGAAAGAAGAAACGCCAGCGCGTGTCCTGTGAGGACACCGGGGCCACTCTCACAGACTCCCCTCTGTGCAGACACTGGGGACTGGAACCCAGAAAAGCCCCCACCCACCCAAGACTCTGGATCCAGCGAGTGTCCCAAGACTGAGCCTGCTGAGTACATGCTCATTGAAGCATGAGCCCATGTGCACAGGTTTCTGCACGTGTGTTCTCATGAGACCGCATGTGCCAGCATCTTTCCAGCGTGTCAGCACCAGATCCGTTCAGAACAACCCTGGGAAGTCGGTCAGGCGTCCCTTCCTCGTTGCAGATGGACCCTCGAGCCAAGTGCCCCCGATTGTGGTGCCCAGGGCCACATTGCGCCCCCTCCACGGAGCCCTTAGGCCTCGGGTGCCCTCGTAGCTGATGCCGACAGGGATGCAGGTTAAAGATTTAATTTTTCACACCCCCACGTCCATTGCAGTGTTCTTTACAACAGCTGAGGTTTGGAAGCAGCTCAAGTGCCCATCAGTAGATGAGTGGACAGAAAAGCTGTGGTCCATTTACACAACGGAATACTACTCGGCTGTAAAAACAAAGAAATCTTAGCTTTTGCAACAGTGTGGATGGACCTGGAGACCATCATGCTCTCTGATATAAGCCAGTTGGAGGAAGACAAGTACCATGATTTCATTTATATGTGGAATTTATGAACAAAATAAACAAAATGCAAGCAAACCCATAGATAGAATAGGCTGAGAGCCGTCAGGTGTGAGGGGGTGTTGGGGGCCTGGGGAAAAAGGAAAAAGGAATTAAGGGAAAAACAAACAAACAAACAAAAACAAAGCCTCTTAGACACAGACAATAGTCTGCTGATCACCACAGGGAAAGGGCGGGGCGGGGCTGGTAGAGGAGGTGAAGGGCTTAACGGCCGGGGACAGGGACTCGGCTCGGAGTCCTGACACAGTGCAGCGTGCAGGTCATGTGTTCCAGGCCTGTGCCTCTGAATCTTATAAAATGTTATTAACTAATGTCGCCCCAGTCAATCCACTAAAAGATTTTTAAACAGATAAAAACACATTGTGTTGAAAATGACCGTGCTGCCCTGGCCGGGTGGCTCCGTGGGTCGGAGCATCGTTCCGTAGCGGGCAGGTGCGGCTCGACCTCCGGTGGGCCGAGCGCCATCCCGGGGGCGCCGCGTGCCGGGGCGGGGGCGGGGGCAGCCCACCGATGCTTCTCGCGCGTCAATGCCGCTCTCTCTCTCTTGCTCTCTCTTTAGAGGCATGAAAAGAAAAGTGTCCGTGGGTGAGTATAAAACAAAAAAAGAATAAAATGACTTTCCCGTTGGCAGCTGCTGAAGGCAATGCAAGTCTTCTCCAAGGAAGGATTTTCTGAGAAAAGTTCAAGGGTTATGATATGTCAGACAAAAATTTAAAAGCAAGCGAGCAAAAGGAAACCAAAACAAGAAATCACCACTATTGTTAAGAGACAGTAGGAGAAAAACAGAGCTGAATGAGACGCACAAAGCCCTTCCATTTTGGAACTGAGTATTTGAAAATGCAAAATTGTATAATTGGAATATTTTGCCATGAAGAAAAATGAAAATTTTATAAAGTCAAAGAAATCATTTCTGTTTCCTTTAAAATGACACTTACTAGTTTAAGAGAAGTTTTAGGCTCGTAGAGAAACCGAGGGCCCGGGACACAGCTGTCCCGACACGCCGAGCCCCCTCCCGCACGGCCACCCCGGTGTCCCCAACCCCCGGAGGGTCCGTTTCCGCTACAGTCGATGCACCCACAGGGACACGTCATAATGACCCCAGTCCTTAGTCCACCTCAGGGGCCGCCCTTGCTGCTGCGTCGTCTACGGGTTTGGGCCAATTGTGACGCCAGGCGCCCGCCATCCCCGCCTCACACGGGGCAGGGTCCTGGCCTCCGCGTGGAGGTGGCTGCTGTCCAGCACCAGCCCAGGGGCCGCTGGCGCCTCCCAAGGGGCGCGGAGAGATGCCAGGATTCCCTGGGACAGTCACGGGTGGTGAGGACGAGGCCTTAGAGTGGAAAACGAAAACGGGAACTTCCTGAAAGGGGGGCCGGCTGAGGGGTCCCTGGGAGATGTTCCTGCCGTGTGAAGGGCCGCAGGCACCAGGGGACGGGACTCCGTGGGGGGACAGTTTCGTGTTTGGTGCTTTGCACCCTGAGAGTGAAATGAATAATCTCTAATGACACTAATGGGCAGTCCACCCAGAACCGTGCAGATTGTCCCCAAGCGCCTGCCACAGACCAGAGGGGGACAGGGGTCTCCCGCCCATCATGTCATCTGATTCTCACGCCGTCACCGAGGCGTGGACCACGGCCCATCTCAGAGAAGCAGGAACTGAGGCCCTGAGGGTCAGGAGCGTGACCCAGGGCCACATGGCGGGAACTGGGGGTGGAGAGGGCTGTCCCCAACGGGTGCTGAATTTCTCCCTGTTTGCTTTACAAGTCTAAAAAAATAGAGCAGAACTCTTTTCTGAAGGGTAGACCAATACATTTATTCATCCTTAGCCTTGATACAATCATTCCTTCCTTCAGCCGTGAGAGGGGAAGTGAAGGTCGGACACGCAAGCTGCCCGCCAGCCCGGGCGAGGGGACAGCGCAGCTGTGGGCGGTGGGCTGCACAGCGGCTTCCGAAGGACATTTCAGCTATTTGCTCTGTTTCTAGCTTTGGTATAGATGTCAAATGAAATATATTATGGCAAGCAAAGCCACAAGTAACATAAACCACACGATGAAGTTCCGTACCTGAAAGTGAGCAGCCGTGGTCAGAGGCCACAGCAAGTCCAGGCAGGTCCTCCCCCCGGCCCAGGGCCTGCAGGCCACACCCCCTCTCCTGCCTCCCCAGGGCCTGGCCCTTGGCTCCCCTCCTCTGGCCACCCCAGGGATCTCCCCGACGACGGAGGATGCTGGCTGTGTCCCAATGGCCCCTTTCCCCGGGAAATGAAGTTGAGAACACTTCGCAGTTGGGGGCTTGGCTGGCTTTGTCTTGGCCACAGGCAGGAGGGGCTGAGGGAGCCCTTTGTGTAAACGCCCTGGGCGAGGCAATGTGCTCCCAACTTGGGGCTGGTGGGGAGGAGGCTAGTGCCTGGGGCCCTGCGGCCAGAGCTCTGGGGGTCCCAGTGGGAAGGACTTTGTGGTCTGGGCTCTCCTGGGCCTCCCCCTGCACAGGGATGGTCGTGGCAGGAGCTGAGAAAGACCTTGGGAAACCGTGGCCCCAGGGTTCACGGTGCACCCTGAACTGTTCACAGTGCAGCCTGGAAACTTCTATAATCAGCCCCACCTTAGCCTTGAACCCCAGACTCACATATCCGAGTGCTGCTCAACATGTTCCCCTGGATGTCCAACTGGCCACCGCAAACACCCCACCTCAGCATCAAAGCCTCTCTTTCCCTCCGCTCACCGACCCCTCCTGCCCTCAGTCTCCTCTCACCCAGGTGCCCCCCCCCCCAGTCACCTGGGCCGCCAGCCCTGCAGGCGCTGGGGCTCCGCAGTGAGGAGCTGGCCACTGCGGTGGGAACCCAGCTCCCGTCCTCACTAGCTGTGTGTTTTGGGGCAAGAAACTTGGAAGCGGTGAAGGGGGAGACCGATATATCTTTGCCTAGGTCATACATGAAGATGCCCTGGAGCTCTCACATGGGCCCACTGACCTGGGGCGTCTCTTGCCCGAGTGTCCCTGGGGCCTCAGGAGACCCTCCCTGTCACGGTCCTGGGTGGGCCCAGACATTCTCCAACTACACTCAGGGGCACCGGGAGCTGCATTTAGGGGGCGTCTTCCAGGTGAAGGGTCATAAAAAGACAGAGGTGGCCAGAGCCCCAGAGGTCCTCCAACCACCTGTTCCTCTGCACATGGGGAAACTGAGGCCCAGACAGGAAGTGACCTGCCCAAAGACCCTGAGAGGTTTAGAAGTGGACCTGAGATTTGCTCTCAGACGTCCTGATGCCCCACTAGTGGTACCCCAAGAGGCCCCTTTTGCATCATTCATGTTAATTATTCCCTCTGGGTGCACAGCCTGATCACCCTCGCCTGAAGCAGATCCCCAGGAGAGAAAGGGACCGCCCCGTCAAAGGTCTTACCTGCAGGCTTCTAGCCTTGCCATATCTCAGTTCAGTGACAAAGTGCTCACAGTTCTTCATCAGAATATTGTACTCAGCCTCCTCACCGAGCTTCTTATTAGCAGAACTGATAATCTTGTTCACGGGCAGGGGTTTGTATAAGCCGTCCCATTTGTTGTTGACCCGATAGCCTTGGCCCCTCGCCACATCTTTCAGGAGCTCCTTTCTCACCTTCCCTTTGGTAGTGAATGTGGGATTGATCTTCAAGGAGTCAGCAGTGGAGAACCCACCTGGAATCAGACACTAGGATCAGGTGCTGTGGGGGCTGCGAGGTAGGAGAGAGAAGAGTAAGAGGAGGAAGAAGGGCCAAGGGAATCCACTCTTGAGCTTTGGTGTCCGTCCCTTCACAAATGTGACTGGAAGATTCACTGACTTGGCCCTTTTGACTTAACAAGCCGTGAATATTTTTTCACATTATTAAAGTTGTGATGGTCAATGGCTGCCGTTGTGTTCCATTACATGAATGGACACCATTTAGCTGACCAATATCCCCACCCCCATTATCAAACATATTAGCTGTTCAACAATTTAGCTATTGCAAACAATGATCATATATAATATTTGTTTTCTGTTCATCTTGGTGCACTTGTGGTTTTCAGAAAGGAATCAAAGTAGTTTCAGTGCACAGCGTGTGTCAGACATTCTGCAGTGTAACTTGCCATATATCACCTCACTTATTCTCCTTTTAATTTCATGGTAAATATTATCATCATCATTTTATGACTGATTCTGGACCCCAAGACACATGATCAGACTTCTGTGACAGAGCTGTGGCCCCGTGGAGAGGTCCTCACCGGAGCCGCCGGCTGCGGGGCCCCGATTCCATTCCATATTCAGTCCGGGTTTCGCTTCCTCAGGGGGAGAGAACCTAAGGAGCCCAGGAGTTACGCGGGCCCCTTTCACGGTCAAGTCTGAAGGCCGGGGTTCGCACTTAGCGCCCGTCCCTAAGACAAACCGCCCCCTGCACATCAGACACAGGAAGGACCCTGGGGCTCGCAGCCGAGCTTTCTGCTCCAAGCCTCCTGAAGTGCCGTCTGGGTCTGGATTAGGGAGGTTTCTTTACTATTTTCCATCAGTTCACACATTTTTACCACTATGTCAAGGTAGATGAGAGCTTACGGAAAACGGATAAGCTGCAAAGAGATTATACGGACGACAGTTCCTGTCTGGTGACGATGCGCACGCCTGTGTCCAAGGGTGTGGTGACACCGGGCTGCGGGACGTGGAGCACCGTGCGCCTCCGTCCCTGCCTGACTCCGGCCCCTCCCTCTCAGGGACGGTGCTCACGCCTGCGTCCTGCGCTCCCCTCAGACCTGGTTGGCCACCCGAGTAAACAAAGCGCTCACGGGCTCGCACGGGCGACTGTGGGGGGTTCTCGCTGTGACGTGCAGCCTGAGAGCGGCTTCTGTTAAGCAGCATGAAGTCAACACTCTCAGGACAGCTTTTCTGTGCATCATGCGAGTGCACAGGACATAGCCCCGGGGAACCTTCTGCTTCAGGCGACCACCGACATTCAGAGCCTTCGCTGGCGTGCGAGGCATCAGCCTCTGCCGGCCCAGGCCACCGGCCATTGAGCCGGAGAGCCCCGCGTGCCGAGGCAGCCGGCCTCCCTGGGCGCCCGGGGACCTCTCTCCCTGCCTGCTCAGGACCTGTGGGACCTCAGGACCTGGGGTGACTCAGAGGGACATGGATGTACAGGGAGCTCACGCAGAGCTCAGGAGAAGGCAACTTGAGTTTCCCATGGAGGCATTTGGCTTTGAATTATTCTCATTATGGTAAGAAAAATTTTGTCAATTATATTTTCAACAGTCCTTACTTGCAGGAGCCAGATGGATCACGTAGCCATATCCCGCATAGAGGGCCCAGTGCTTGTAGCCATAACGGTCAATCTCAATCAGGTCTCCTTGTTTTTCTTTACTAAACTGCAAGAGAAAACACCAGGAAGGTGTAGACAGATTTCCAGGCACCGGCAAAGGCCCTGGCTGGGGACCGGATGCTTGGCCTCGGGAACCCTTGCTGATGCTCACCAGCTGATGAGAATGTGATGTGGGGCGGGGGGGCAGCTCATGGCCCCTGTGTGGCCCTGAGCCTGCAGTGGCTTTGAGACATGGCCTTATGGGGAACAGGAAGCCTGGAACCTGGTTTGTCCCAAAGGCTGGAAAGCTTGCAAAATGACCTTGTGCATTGGGAGAGTGAAGATTTGCCCACTGTGTGTGTGTTATGCATGTGTGTGTGTCTATTTAGCATATGTGGGCTGTGTGTGTGTTGCATGCTCACGCACATGCACTAGGGCACAGAGGTGCACAGGCAGGTGTGCTGTGCACGTGTCCGCAGGGTGTTGACCCCACAGCCCGCCTGTGAACCCCTTCCCTGAGGCCGGGCCCCAGCCCACACCCAGCACGTCGGACACCTGGGTCTGGGGCTTCCCTGCCCTTCCCACGGTGACTCTCACGGCCCCATCCCACCTTCAGCCCCGGTCCTCATGGCCGCAACAGGCACCTCCTCACACCCGCCCCCTCCGGCCCCAGGACGCCCCCCCTGGAGATGCCACCCTTGGAGACAGGAGCTGACGGCGCCCCCAGGGGACCTGAGCCTTCCGGGGGGCTGTGCTGGGCGCCGGGGCCTTGCTGGCCCTTCTCCTGCCATCACTGCCGCCCTCCCACTGCCCAGCGGAGGAGGCAGCGCCCATTTGCGCGGGTGGGGATACCGAGGCTCAGAGAGCTGGAAAGACATGCCCAGGAACACGTGGCTGGGAAGCCCCTGCGCTGGGGCTTCTCCGCCACGTGTCCTCCTGGTCCTGTGTGTCCCTGCCGGCCTCCCCTTCAACACCTCCTTCCTGTTCCCCAATGTCCCTGCCCAGGGAATGGCAGCTTCGTGATGGGAGAATTTTTCAGTTTTGCTCTCATTTTGTGCCCAACCTCAGAGGATGACAACCCCCTACAGCTCTCATCCCAGGACGCCTGATCTGAGACCAGGCGCAAGCTTCCCTTTGCCCGCGTTCCATGCCAACATCCACCAACCGGTGTTAACCCTGGAAGCTTCTCCTGAATTCACTTCCCGACCTTTCTCCCAACAAATGACTTTGTTCTGGGCCTCTCAGTTCCCCATTATGTGCCGCCCTTGGTGTCCTGAGCAGCCCCCTGCCTCCTGGCCCTACCACCTCACCTCCAGTCTCCCCAAGGCCCACTGAGGCCGTCCCACAGGGCCCCTCTGGGCATGACTTCCCTCTGGCCTCAGGGCTCAGGCTCCCCCTTGGGCAGCTCGCAGGCCCCCAATGTGACCCTCCCAGGCCACCCTCACCCTCCCAGCGCCCGCCCCCCGGCTGGCTGAAGGGCTTCCTTTCGGACCACACAGCTCACTCTGGCCCGTTGCTTCCCTGCGTACAGCCGGCCTCTGTCCTCACTGTGCCCCACCCGCACACTCCCGGCCTGTGCCCCAGGGTGGGGCAGACCCAGGGGCTCCTCTTAGGAGCCTGTGGCGATTTCCCCTCTGAAACTAATTGTCTAACTCAGGCAAGGCCTGGGCGCCGTCCACAGCAGCGGGGGGCACAGGAAGGTGAGCTTGGGCCTTGTCAGGGTAAGAAATGGTTACCCAGGGAACAGCCTGATTTTATTTTGGCCACAATAAAGCCCCTCCCCGGCAGCAGAGGCCAGACAGACTGGCTCTGGAATGTGCAGTGCGCCTTCCCAGAATCGCCCGATTTCCAGGAAGAGCCCAAGGCCAGCGGCCCTTTCCTGCTGCACACAGGGAGCTGGGCCTGTCCCCTTGGGGACGGGCGCCCGTCTGGACCTCGGGGCTGAGAGGAGGGCGCTGCCCGGTCAGCACGCTAAATCCGAATGGGCGTTACCAGGCAGGACAAGCTGTCTTGGAGCAAAGAGGGGAGAGAGCAGACTGGGGCTGAGAGGCACGGCCCTGCAGCAGCAGCCGAGGCAGACAGGCCGGGGGCCACTCACTCCCCAGGCCCCGGGTCCCCCATCACCCGCCCTTAGCTTCCCCCCCCAGCTCAGGCATGTGCAGCCCATACACCCACGTATCCCCCTACATGGGGGCCCGGGTCCATCCCTGTGCAAGACACAGGGACAAAGCTCACTCTGCCTGAAGACCTCACAGTCCTGCAGAGCCAGTGACTCACCCTGGAGATCACAGGCTGGGGCCTTACAGGAGGGGTCCTGCCCGCCACCTAAAGTCACAGAAAGAAATTTGCAGGGACTTACCCAGGAGCCCATGGTTATATGTGGTGTTCTCTTCCAAGTGAAACAGGTTTTATACCTGTTGAGAATTCCACTTTCGCTTTCCTTCTGACTAAGAATTACCGAACACTAAATATATTTAATTTTTTAAAAATATTTATTGATCAAGAGAGAGAGAAAGAAGCGTTGCTTTGTTCTTCCACTCATCCATGCACCATAGGTTGCTCCTTGTATGTGTGCTGAATGGGAATCGAAACGGCAACCGTGGCACCTCAGGATGGTGCTCTAACCAACAGAGCTACAAGCCAGGGCTCAATGTGCTTTAAGGAGAGACTCGGGTTTTCTCTGAACGGACAGGCCCCCGATCACCTACCTCAAACCATGGAATCACCGGGGCTTGGAAGCCTCCTGGAAGCGGCCCGGGCAGGCGGGAGGACTGGCAATGTGCCCTTGCCCTGGCCAAGTGTCCCAACTCCAGGAAGGGGGGCAGTAGACCACAGAGTTGCCCACCCCTGTGTGCATCGTAGGCCCTTGTCTTGTAGCGGCTCCAGAAAGTACAGAGGCCGCGGGGCAGGCCCGGCAGGTGCACCACTCGCGGGAGGACCTCCAGAAAGCGGGTGCCGTGGCTGTGAAGGCCCAGGAGACATGGCCCTGAGGACGCGTGTGGCCGCGAGAAGCAGAAATGATCTAAAGGGGCTTCACAGCCTGGATGTCACTGTCCCTGGAACAGGGAAGGGGAACCAGGTGACTCAGGCTCAGTTCAGCAGGGCACCAAGGCCACCGAGGACCCAGGCTCGGCCACCATGTTGTGCCTGTGTCTGCTGTGATGGCCGCTCTGGTCGCAGCAGCCTCAAGGGGCGCACTTTCACACAGCAAAGTTCAAAAGCAGTAAGAGAGATATTTTCGTGATTTGTCTACTTTTGTGTAGGGAGGAAAACTTTCCCATAGTCCTCTGCTCTCTTGCTCCCCTTTGTCCCTGGCCAGGACTGGGTCTATTTGCATTGCAAACCATTGGTGGGCAAAGGGGAGGTGCTTCCCTGCCAGGTTCAGGCCATGCAGCCAGTCTGGGTGGGGGCACGGCTCGAGCTGCCCAATGAGGAGCAGGGATCTGCGAGCCTGGGCAAAGGTGAGAAATGGAAGTGAACGTGCAGGATGGCTACACGAGGCTGTCAGAGACAGGTGCTGGCTGAGCGACCAGCCCGTGATATGCCCCCCTACTTCCATCCGCGGTGACACTCAGCTTTGCTGCAAGGCTGCAGGCAGGCTGGGCCCGCTCTCCAACAACACGAGCCCCTGGCCCCCAGGTCCCCTGAGCAGACAGAGTCCCATGCACAGCGGTGCAACGGTCCTTGGCGCCTGGGGCCAGGACGACAGAATGGCAGTTCAGGCACCAGCCATTCTGCTTCCAAGTAGCTTTATTTCTAAAAGGAGGATGAGAGTCGCTGACCCTTCATCTCTCTGCTTAAGCTCGTGTTCAAAAAGGTTGAAAGATAGTGAGCTTCAAGGTCTTGTCTCCGTCAAGGAGTGTCCTTTGAGCCCCTGCCCACTGTCATCCCGTCTCCGTGACCAACTGGTTAAGAGGGAGGGCTTCCCCTGCGTCGGCCAAGAGGCAGTGGGTCTGTGGCCCTGGGGCCCAGAAGGGGCGTGACCCTGGTCATCGCGGGCTGGCCGCAGCTGCCTGGGTCATGGCTTCAGTTTCTGAGCCACGTCTTCGGGTTAAAAGGCGTCAGCCCGAGTCGGCAGCCAAGGACCTTTCCTCCCCCGTCTCTGAAAACCCTGTGGCTTGGCACGTGAGGCCCGGCTCCTGCACAGCGGCCTGACCCGCTCCCTCTCCAAGGCCTCTGCTGAAGGGAGGGACAGTTTCTGTTTCCTATTAACTTGTATAGTTTGTGCTTCCCCCCCCCCCCCCACTAAATAGCAGGCGGGGTGCTGTTTTATTGAAACTACCAACGTCTTTACCAGTGAAACACCACACTTTATCGCACACAGGCAGGGAGGCAGCTTCCGCCAAATCTCTGAGAGGCCATTCAGGAACACGGACTTAGGCTGTTGTCCTTTGCCAAAGCTTCGTATGCTTTATAAATGATTACCCATCTGGCTTAACTGACAATCTTCGGTAATAGTGTCTTTGATATGCAAGATGGACAAGAACGCCTTTTCAATCCAGAAAGACTTCTAGCCCCGTTTTAAAAGCAGACGTCAGAGCCCAGCTGTGACAGCAACAGAGGGAGGGAGGGAGGGAGGACAGAGAGCCTGAAATAGGCAGCATGGACGCATCCACAGCGCCTTCTCCAGGGGAGCAGCTGGCTGTGCCCCCAGGAGACCGGGCCCTGGAGCTCCTCTGGGGGAACTGGTGATCCTATCTCTCCCTGAAAATTTATGGGACTTTGCAGGACCCGCCTTCAGAGCTGAGCTCGGAGGTAGAGGATTGCCTTGGGTAGCCCAGCCGGGCCTCCTCCGAGGTCCTCTGTCCAGCCCTCCATTGTGCGCACGAGGACACTGAGTCCGAGAGGGGAGGTAACCCGCCCGGAACCCTCAGTGCGCTGGAAGCTGAGCTGGGATTTGAGCTCAGGTGTCCTGTATTTACAGGCAGCTCAGTGCTTGGAAGGGACCCAGACAGCCGAGGGCACGGAGGCCTGGACGAGGAGCTGCCGAGGAATTAGGGACCAGGGGACCCTAGTGCATCGCAGCGGCGGGCAGGAGAACACACTATATGACAGCTTTGGGGTCACAGGGTCGATGTTGTATAGCTTCAGGTAAACCACGTGACTTCCTGGAGTTCCTCTTCTGTAGAAAGGACAGGAAATACTTGCCCGATCACCCCACGGGTTTGTGGGAGGAGCAGCTGCCAGCCCCAGTGGCTGACCTTTGAGCTGAGCTTCGCGACGGTCACAGCACCTGCCTGATCATTTAACGTTCACAACAAACTCTGATGTGGAAGGGACAGAGGCCCCTGCCCATTTCGGAATGAGAAAGCCAAGTCTAGTCAGCAAAGCGACCCTGTACCAGATCTCCTGGCTGGTCGGCGGTGGTGCCGGCATCTGAGTCGCTGTTCCTGACTTGCAGGGAATGAGCCCTCCCGGGATGCACTGTGACCCTTGAAAAAGATTTTCCCACTGAAAACTGCTCTTCAAAGAAAAAAAGCAGTGGGTTTCAGTGGAAGAAATCCTGGTTTTGTAGCCAAAGCTATCGGCTCACATTCTGACGTGTGCTCTTAGCTTTGGTGACCAAGGATGAGTAAGGCACTTGCTTCTTTGTAACGTGGAGCCACCTGCGGCATGGTGGGCGCGTGGGGGGTGAGCCACCGCCGGGTCACCACCCGTCCCCTGTCTGGGCAGCAAATGCCGCGGTGGGGGGGCAAAGCGCATCGCGGGGAACAGGGCAGTCCGGGATCTGAGGGTTACCGTCTGGAGCCGCTGAGAGGGAAGTGGGGACTCTGAATCCCCCGAGCCCATCCCGGAGGTGTCACAGACAGGGGAGTAAACACGAGTCGTCACAAACACTTCTCTGTTTACCAGGAGAGGGGATGTGGCACATCCCCCTAGTGGGGAAGGCCCAGAGTCCCTTTGTTCAAAGGCTTTTATTGGAAAGGTTATCAGTGGGGCTAGGTAATAGGAAGGCACAGGTCATCTCATTACATCCATATGTTATGTTCACAGAGAATAGGTGATGCTTTGAAGAAAACAAATGGCAGGAACACACCGATTTACTTGGGTCCAAGAGGAGACTAGTAAACAAGAGAGATGACTAACCATGAGAGCGCTGCAAACATAAGAGCGTCTAAGGGTATAGGGTTAGGGTCTGTGTATAATGTGAATTTCCTTCCCAGCATGAGCTGGCTAGAACTTCTGAGGGAAAAACAAAGCGCACTTTAAAAAATTTACTTTTAGGTCTGATTTCCCTGGGAACTGCCAGATCTGGTTTAGGACTATCTCGGGTATTGTTTCGAGCCTGAGCCAGGCGGGGGAAGGGAGCCACCAAGAGACAAGGAGACTGAATTCGGATAGAATGAGGACTCCGGCCATGTCCAAGCCGAGCCGAGGGGTGCGGGCCTTTTGGCCCTCTCTCCGTGTCCCCCAATTTCTTGTCTGCTGCCCGTACCCAATTGATACCTGGCTTAGGTTGTCATCTCTGCATGAGATAACTTTCCCATCGTGGATTACCGACCATCACAGGGCCAAGCAGAGAGGCAGGAGTTGGGACCCTGCCAGGGGGGACAGGTTCTGTCTCCTCAGGAGCGTGTTTCTCCACGGCCTCCCTGATTATTTCCAGGCTTGCCCCCCGACCCCACCTGTCGGCAGCGTTACAGTTCCTGAAACCAGACAGGGCGTTTCCCAACACTCCTTCAGCGTTTGGGTGAGAGGCGTCAGGAGGGCCCCTCTGATGTTTACCAACAGCTGCCCCACAGCTTCCTGTGAACAGAACTCCAAAGAGAATCACCACGCAGTGCACGCAAACGCAGGTCCGGCTGCTTCACAATCCAGCGCTTGGGAGGCAGGGGCTGATGTATAGGAAAGTGGTTTTCAGGTGCTGGCACCCTGGAAGGCGAGAGGCTCTCGTCTCAAAGCCCATCTCAGCCTCTCAGTGCGGCAGGGGTGCTTACGAGGAGGGAGGGGAGAGTGGAACAAAGAGATGAGGGGAGCGGCTGCGGATGGGCTGCCGGTGTCCTTGCTGGTTCCCGTGCCGTTCCCGTGCCGTCCCCGAGTGCCAGCGCCCTGGAGCTGGTCAGTGCCAGCCGAACTCCTGTCGTTGGGGCCAACTGCGGAAGTCGTGGCCAAACTGCTGGCACCCGCAACACGCCTTCAAAGGAACTGTGAGTGTGTGAGTTCTTTCAGCAGTGTGTCAGTACACGTTATTCCAGTTCCGTTTCACCGCGGGTCAGCGCAGAGGAAAGTTTTCCTTCCCTGTTACATTAGGGGTCTTACCTGTTGGCTACAGGGCGGCCCATAGCTCAGTTTATTGACAAAGTGCTCACAATTTGACAACAAAAAGTAGTAGGTCCAGATTTCCTGAATTTTTTATGAGTGTGAATTTTTACGGAGTTAATTTAATTCAATTCTTGGTCAGGTGTCCAACAGTTGGAGACATTTAAATAATTTTGAAACAAATTGGTGTTTTTAAATTACATGTTAGTGCTTATGCTATTACAGTTGCCCCCATCGCTCCCCAGCCCCACCGACTCCCTCAGGCAATGCCCACAATGCTGCCCACACCCATGGGTCCTGCCTGTATGTTCTTTGGCTGCTCCATTTCCTGTGCTGTACTTCACACCCCCATGAATATTCTGTGACTACCAGTTTGTACTCCTAATCCCTCTGCCCGGTTTGCTCATCCCCTAACACCCCTCCCATCTGGCAGAGAGCTATCAAAACGCTCTCCGAATCTGTGATTCTCTTTCTGTTCTGCTTGTTTGCTAACTCTGTTTCTTATTTTTCGATTCAATTGTTGATAGATATGTATTTATTGCCATTCTGTTACTCATACTTTGATCTTTTTCTTAAAGAAGTCCCTTTAACATGTCATAAAATAACAGTCTGGTGATGATGGACTTTTTCTCATCTGGGAAGTCCTTTATCTTCTGCTCTTTGATTCTTTTAAAAAAAAATTTCTAAAGGATTTTATTTACTTATTGCTAGAAAGAGGGGAAGGGAGGGAGAAAAGAGGGAGAGGAACATCAGTGTGTGGTTGCTTCTCGCTCGCCCCCTATGGGGGCCTGGCTCACAGCCCAGCCATGGGCCCTAGGCTAGGAATCCAAGGGGCGACCCTTTGGTTCCCAGGCCAGCACGCGATCTGTTGAGCACACCAGCCAGGGCTGCCCTTCAATTCTACACGACAGCTTTGCTGGGTAGAGTAGTCTTGGTTGTTAAGTTTTTGCTTTTCATCACTTTAAATATTTCTTCCGAATCTCTTCAAGCCTGTAAAGTTTCTTTGAGAAATCAGCTGACAGTCTTATAGGAATGCCCCTGTAGGTCACGAACTGCTTTCCTCTTGCTGCTTTTAAGATCTTCTCTTTGTCTTTTGCCTCTTTGGCATTTTAATCATGATGTGTCTCGGTGTGGGCCTCTTTGGGTTCATCTGTTTGGAACTCTCTGCTTCCTGGACTTGTATGTCTATTGCATTTCCTTCACCAAGTTAGGGAAGTTTTCTGTCATGTTTTCAAATAGGTTTGCAGTTTCTGGCTCTCTCTCTCTCCCTTCTGGCACCCCCATGGTGCCAATGTTGGAATGCTTGCAGTTGTCCCAGAGGTTCCACACCTAGCCTCATGTTTCTGGATTCTTTTTTTCCTCTTGCTGTTCTGATTGGAAGAGTTTTGCTTTCTTATATTCCAAATCACTGACTTGATTCTCAGCTCCATCCACTCTGCTATTGATTGCTCCCTGTAAATAGTTCTTCATTTCAGTTAGTGTAACCTTTATTTCTGAGTGGTTCTTTTTTTTATGGTCTCCAGGTCCTTTTTTATGCTGTTGAAGTTCTGTCTGAGCTCGCCTGCTCTCCCCCTAAGCTCATGGAGCATCCTTACCACCAGTGTTTTGAACTCTGCCTCTGGTAGACTGCTTGTGTCCATTTCATTTGGTTCTTTTTCTGGAGTTTTGTTCTGTTCATTCATTTCAGTAATTTGTCCTTGTCTCCTCATTTTGGCAGCCTCCCTATGTTTCTGTGTATTAAGTAGAGCTGCTTTGACTCCCTGACATAGGTGGGCTAATATAGTAGGTGTTCTTAGGGTCCTGTGGCACAGACTTCCCTATCACCCAAGCCAGGTACTTGAGGTGCACCCACTGTGCACGCTGTGTACACCTTCCCCTTGTAGTTGAGCCTTGATTGCTGTAGGCACGTCACAGGGAGGAATTTACCCAGGCTGATCAGCTGCTGGTATTGGCTGTGACCTCTGACCATCACCTCTGATCTCTGAAGAGGATCAGCTGTGCAGAGGCCCGTTCCACAGAGCAGGACTTACGTCAGAGGGCACTTGGGCCCACTGAGCCCACAGCTTGAGTGTGTTGCCTGAGGAGGCAGTGTGGCGGTGGTGTTCTGTAGCTGCCCATGGGGTACGCAGGCCCTGGGGCCTCCCGGGAGCTGCAGGCCAAGTTCAGCCACCACCTGTGTTCTTTCCGAGGACACCTGGCATAAGCCACAAAGCAATCTGCAGACGGCTGCTGATAGTGCTGGGCCTGGGGCCATGACAGGTTAACGGGACAGTGAGAATCCCCGTTTGTGCCCAAGCCGTGACCTTATGGTAATGAAATACAGGTGCGCTCTCTCCCAGAGGAAATGGCCCTTCCCCTGGGAGGATATCCTTTCCATATTTAACTGTTCCTTCAGGAAGATTGGGCCCTTCTCCCAGCGGGACCTGTTGGGTAGCTAGGTCACGCAAGGCCCTTGGCACAGCCACTTTTGTCTAAAACATGTGTAATCAGAGTCCCCAAACCGAGATTCTGGAAACTCACTCAAGAGGAAGACGCTTCGCTCGGACCTCTCCCAGTCAGACCCCGAATGGTGCCTGCTGGACGGCCCAGCATCTGTGTTTGGGTGCTGGTGCATTCCTGTCTGGTGATGCATGCTCTTGATTCTTGCTTTCGCTTTGCTCTTGCTTCATAAAGTGCTTAGTTATTCATGTCTGACTTGGGTTTTTATTGTCTGCAAATCGGAACCATGACATCAAGTGCCCAGAGAATCTTACGTGCCCCTTCACGGCACAGACCGCAAAGCAAGAGGTAAGGGGTTCACCAAGGCCGGGGGCTGGTTGTCCGAGATGAGACTTGCATATGGAAAAGCCACTGGAAACAGCTTGGGTGGTCCACAAAGTTGCATGGGGCAGAGCCTCAGGGAATCACCAGGGTGATGCAAAGTGTGTGAGCCAGGTTGATGGGGCCTCAGATATGGTGTCCGTCTGCCTGCTCTTTTTGAGGGCTCAGTAAAGGAACAGTGGCCTCTGCCAGCATTCTGTTTGGGAGAAAGCTTCCCCCAGCTCTGGCCTTAATGCCAGACACTTCAGTTCCCCCTTGTGGGCCTCTGCTGCCTTTTAAGCTGCTGCCCTGGTATAATGGGGCACAGCCATGGCCCCCCACAAAGGATATTTGTAATGGGGTCCAGAAATTGGGATGTTCTCGCCGTCGCCCCCCCCTCCCCACCGCCCCGTCAGACTGGCCGCCATGGGGGATGCGAGACCTGGAGCAGGGTCATTGAGAGGTACTTTGTGTATCAGTATCAGGCCAGCTTCCTACCTGAAGTGGAGCAGGGCCATTGAGAGTCATTGTGCATGTCAGTAACAGGATAGCTTCAGACCTTATATGCAAAGAAAGTTGTTTACATCTCAACAAGGCTAACCAGGAAGGTTTAAAAGACTTAATACAGAATGTAAATTGGAGAGGAAGGAGGAGAGACAGGGGCCTGCGGAAGAGACAAAGGGACAGACTCTGGGGAACAATGTGAAGACCATGCCGGATGAAAAAGGGAGAAAGGACACTTGCTAATGGGCCATGAGAAGGTGCCACATGGTTTTGGATTAAGAGCTAGAGATCGCCGCAACCCGTCTGAGAACCACGAGAGGCCTGCCTAGCCGAGCCCCGGACTTCCATTCTTTTTCTTCTGAAGGACGGTGCCCCTGACCGGCCTGATCGGGCAAAGTGGGGGAAGGCAGGACTGTGTGTGTTGGTGGGTGTTTTAAATAGTAGGTGTTTTGAAGGGATTTTCAAATGTAAGGATGACATTTAGCCATTAATCAAACCTGTATAACTTTTCAATAAGTAGTTCCTTTCCTTTTCACCGGACTCTGACATTGTGAGCCATAATTCCAAGGACAGTGGGCAAAGGACCTACAACTGAGGGGCCCCGGGGCAGCAGGGTGGCGTTGTTTCGATAATAGCATCTGGGTACCCTGCCACGGGTCCATTGCTCGGTAACACTGGTGCTGGATCTCAGAGGAAGTGAGTCTGAGTAAGTCCGTGTGGGGGACATTTAAGAGAAAGTGCCTGAGGATTCAGCAGTTTCTGTCTTCTACAGCCTCAGTCCCCACTGGTGTTTACAACCAGAAGTTATGGGTCCCTGTTTTCCTGACGCTGGATCCGGAGCTGGAGGCTGGGACCCCTCATTCTCAAGATGTCCCTCCTGATTTTCATCAGCCACACATGGGTGTGGGACCAGCTCATCCGCATTTCCATCCCTCCTACCAGTCTCGATGTGGTTTCTTCTTTAATTCTGCAGATTCAGGACTTCCATTGGGCTCGATTTCTGGCAGTTCTATAGTTTACTTGAATGGTTGTTCTGTAGTTTCTTGCATTCTGTTGTGGTGGTGTGAGGAGGCGAGCTGTGTTTACCTACGCCACCATCTTAGCTTTCTTTTCCTGAATTTTCTTCCTCAAATCAACAATGTCATGCACAGGCTTGGTCGGTGCTTGTCCATGCAGTTGCTGACCCTGCACTTGCTTTTCCCCTACACCTACTTCAGAGGTTCACACCTCACCATGACTTTTTTATTGGCATCCTCACTGTTGTCGGAAGAGTTAGGCCCGGAGAGCTCCCTGGGATCACAGGGAGTCAGTCACTCTTAAGATGCTGCCATGCTCTGCGGTGCAAGGCTAGAAAAGGCGGGGAAGAAGGAAAGGCAGAAATTCTGCTTGACCTCTGAGGACCACTGTCCCTTCCCTCTGCTCTCACTCCTTCATCTGAGGTTAAATTGACCGGCAGTGCAATTCTTTGATCCATAACTTTTGTAACTTACATACTTAACCATATGCTGAAAAGATGTCCCCATAGCAATGAACGTGGAACCACGCCCTAACTTGGAATGGCTGCCACGGTATTCCATTGATGTCATGCTTTCATTTAGCTGGCAAATCCCAGTTGTCAGGCATTCAGGTTGTTTCAGCTTGCTCTTGACTATTGACAATGGCACCATAGAAATCCTTGCAGATCTTGCACTTTGGGCATGGGTCTGAGATGGACACGTTTTGAGGTTTTTGGAGTGTCCCCCAGTAAGAAACAGATCTCATTTGATCTTCATACAATCGTCCCCGTTGAAAATGTCTGTCTCCATTTCACAGACAAATCTGGAGCCAGAGAACTTGAGCAACACGCCCTAGAGACAGGGGTGGGTCACATAACTAGGAACTGGGGGGGACCCTGAACCAAGTCATTTGTTAGGAGAACAAGGAAGTGAATGCAGGAGAAACTTCCAGGGTCAACACGGGTTGTGGGATACTGGCATGAACAAGGGCAAGAGGAAGCTCCCCGCGGGCCTCCGATTTGGTGCCCTGGGGGGAGGGTTGTGGGAGGCTTTGCCATTTCCTGAGGTGAAGCATAAGAGCAGAGGAAAACTGAAAAATTCTCCCATCACGAAGCTGCCATTCCCTGGGCAGGGACATTGGGGGACAGGAAGGAGGTGTTGAAGGGGAGGCCGGCAGGGACACACAGGACCAGGAAGACATGTGGCAGAGAAGCCCCAGCGCAGGTGCTTCCCAGCCACGTGTTCTTGGGCATTTCCTTCTTCCTCGCTGAGCCTCGGTTATTTAACCAGGGCAAATGGTGACCCCATCCACATTTGCACCAGGTGATGGGCATCACCAAGGGGTGCCCAGCCCAAAAGGCAGATCCCCAGCCAGGGCCTTAGCTGGTGCCTGGGAATCTGCCTACACGTTTCTGGCATTTTCTGTTACAGTTTAGTAGTGGACACAGCCCTGGAGACCTGATTGAGACCTCCCGTACCGGCTGCCAGCACTGGGCTCTCTACGTGGAAAACGGCTACGTGATCCATCTGCCTCCTGCAAGTAAGCACTGTGAAAGTGTAATTTTCAAAAGTTTTCTTAACATAACGAGAAAAATTAAAAGCCAAATGCCACCATGGGACACCCAAGTTGTGTTTGTCCCTGAGCTCTGCCTGAGCTCCCTGTACATCCATGTCCCTCTGAGTCACCCCAGCAGGTCCCACAGGTCCTGAGCAGGCAGGGAGAGAGGTCCCCGGGCGCCCAGGGAGGCCGGCTGCCTCGGCACGCGGGGCTCTCCGGCTCAATGGCCCGTGGCCTGGGCCGGCAGAGGCTGATGCCTCGCACGCCAGCGAAGGCTCTGAATGTCGGTGGTCGCCTGAAGCAGAAGGTTCCCCGGGGCTATGTCCTGTGCACTCGCATGATGCACAGAAAAGCTGTCCTGAGAGTGTTGACTTCATGCTGCTTAACAGAAGCCGCTCTCAGGCTGCACGTCACAGCGAGAACCCCCCACAGTCGCCCGTGCGAGCCCGTGAGCGCTTTGTTTACTCGGGTGGCCAACCAGGTCCCAGGGGAGCGCAGGACGCAGGCGTGAGCACCGTCCCTGAGAGGGAGGGGCCGGAGTCAGGCAGGGACGGAGGCGCACGGTGCTCCACGTCCCGCAGTGCGGTGTCACCACACCCTTGGACACAGGCGTGCGCATCGTCACCAGACAGGAACTGTCGTCCGTATAATCTCTTTGCAGCTTATCCGTTTTCCGTAAGCTCTCATCTACCTTGACATAGTGGTAAAAATGTGTGAACTGATGGAAAATAGTAAAGAAACCTCCCTAATCCAGACCCAGACGGCACTTCAGGAGGCTTGGAGCAGAAAGCTCGGCTGCGAGCCCCAGGGTCCTTCCTGTGTCTGATGTGCAGGGGGCGGTTTGTCTTAGGGACGGGCGCTAAGTGCGAACCCCGGCCTTCAGACTTGACCGTGAAAGGGGCCCGCGTAACTCCTGGGCTCCTTAGGTTCTCTCCCCCTGAGGAAGCGAAACCCGGACTGAATATGGAATGGAATCGGGGCCCCGCAGCCGGCGGCTCCGGTGAGGACCTCTCCACGGGGCCACAGCTCTGTCAGGAAAATCTGACCATGTGTCTCTTGGTCCAATATTGATTTACAAGGGGGGACCCAAAACCCCAGAATTTATTTATATAAAAATGTATAGTTATTCTTACATGTCTAAACTTTAGTCACTTCAAAGTACTCTCTGTTTGATGCAGTACAACTATTGAGACATTCTTTCTAGGGCTCAAACCCATTTTTGACTTGTCAATTGGGATGCCTTTTAGTGCTTCTGCGTTTTTTGTTTCACCTCTTCCACATCAGCAAAGTATTTCCCTTTGAGGACTTCTTTCATCCAGGTAAACAAAACATGTTGCTCAGGGCGAGATCAGGTGAATAGGGAGGGCGAGGGCGGGGTTTACCTGTTTTTGGTCAGAAACTCCTGAAGACTCAGTGTATGTGGGCATCACCCATCAGGAAGTGGGCAAATGTGTTGAAAGAGTCTTCCAAAAAAATTCACTGAAGCCAAATGCAGCCTCTCACAACAACGCCAGCTGGGGCACCGATACAGATGCGTTCCTAGGACACTCGCCTAGCAGGGAAACCTGTACTACAAGGGGCCCGCCCTCCAGAAGATAATTCTGGTTTTGGGGGGGTCCCTCTCATAAAATGACAATGATAATGTTTACTATGAATTTAAACAGGAGAATGAATGAGGAAATACATGAAAAGTTGCACAGCAGAGCGTCTGACACACAGTGGGCGCTGAAACAACTTTGATCTCTTTCTGAAATACACAGGTGCACCAAAGTGAATGAAGAATATGATTTACGAACATTGTGTTGAACAGCCAATATGCACATTAACAGAGGGGGGTTGGTCAACAAGATGGAGTCCGTTCATGTAACGGAACACAATGGCAGCCACTGACTCTCACAACTTCAATAAGACGGAATAATATTCACGGCTTGTTAAGTCAAAAGAGCAAAGTTCATGAATCCTCCGGTCACATCTGCGACTTCACATCTGTGAATGGAAAGACACCAAAAGCTCAGTAGTGGGTGCCCTTCACCCTCCTTTCTCCTCTTATTCTCTCTGTCCTGACTTTGTCCCCCAGCCCCGCCGCTGCGCCTGATCCTACTGCCTCTGATTCCAGGCGAGGCCCGGTGGTCAAGCATCCCCATCGTCCGCTCCTTTCTGAGCCGCACAGCAGAGGTGAAAAAGGAGCTCCTCACCGATGGGGTGGGGGGTTGCAGGTATCAGGTCAACAACTGCTTGGACCACGAGTACAACCCGCAGCCTGTGCACAAGATTCTCAGTTCGGCCAAGGGGATGATTGGTAAGAAGTTGGAGTACGATGCTGTGAAGAAAAATAGTAAGCACTTTGTCACCAAACTGAGATATGGCGAGGCCATCCACCTATAGGTAAGACCCTCTCTGGGGCAGTCCCTTTCGCTCCTGGAGGTCTGCTTCAGGTGCGGGCGACCGGGCTGTGCGCCCAGAGGGAATGATGACCCTGAATGATGCAAAGCAGACTCTCAGGGGCCCCACTAGTGGGGAGCCCGGACGTCTGAGAGCAAGTCTCAGGTCTGGTTCTAGTCCTCTCGGAGTCTTTGGGCACGTCACTTCCTCTCTGGGCCTCAGTTTCCCCATGTGCAGAGGAACAGGTGGTTGGAGGACCTCTGGGGCTCTGGCCACCTCTGTCCCTTTAGGATTCTTCACCTTTCAGATCCCCCCTAAAGGCAGCTCCTAGTGCTCCTGTGTGGTTGGGGAAAGTCTGGGCCCACCCAGGACCGTGACAGGGCAGGTTTCCTAAGGCCCCAGGGACACGCGGGCAAGAGACGCCCCAGGTGAGTGGGCCCAAGTTGACGCTCCTGCCGTGTGGCCCTGGGTGACGCTCTTGACCCTCATACCCTCATTCTGCTTCTCTGAGATGGGCCGTGGTCCACGCCTCGGTGACGGCGTGAGAATCAGATGACATGATGGGCGGGAGACCCCTGTCCCCCTCTGGTCTGTGGCAGGCGCTTGGGGACAATCTGCACGGTTCTGGGTGGACTGCCCATTAGTGTCATTAGAGATTATTCATTTCACTCTCAGGGTGCAAAGCACCAAACACGAAACTGTCCCCCCACGGAGTCCCGTCCCCTGGTGCCTGCGGCCCCTCACACGGCAGGAACATCTCCCAGGGACCCCTCAGCCGGCCCCCCTTTCAGGAAGTTCCCGTTTTCGTTTTCCACTCTAAGGCCTCGTCCTCACCACCCGTGACTGTCCCAGGGAATCCTGGCATCTCTCCGCGCCCCTTGGGAGGCGCCAGCGGCCCCTGGGCTGGTGCTGGACAGCAGCCACCTCCACGCGGAGGCCAGGACCCTGCCCCGTGTGACGCGGGGATGGCGGGCGCCTGGCGTCACAATTGGCCCAAACCCGTAGACGGCGCAGCAGCAAGGGCGGCCCCTGAGGTGGACTAAGGACTGGGGTCATTATGACGTGTCCCTGTGGGTGCATCGACTGTAGTGGAAACGGACCCTCTGGGGGTTGGGGACACCGGGGCGGCCGTGCGGGAGGGGGCTCGGCGTGTCGGGACAGCTGTGTCCCGGGCCCTCGGTTTCTCTTTGAGCCTAAAACTTCTCTTTAAAAAAGTGTGCCTCTTTTATAACGTAACAGAAATGATGGATTTGACATTACCAAAATTTTTATATTTTATGGCAAAATATTCCAGTTATACTATTTTGAATTCCCAAATACTCACTGGTTTCTTTTATCAGACCTACTTGATCATTTAAAAATATTCTTTCTCCTCATTCAACTAATTTATAAGTCCAATCCCTTTCATTTAAATATATATTAAATATATTTATTTTATAATCTGTGTCTAATAACTTTACTATGGAAAGGCTTTGTGACTCTATTCAGCTCTATTTTTCTCCTACTGTCTCTTACTCATAATGGCTTGTTTTTTGTTTTGGTTTCCTTTTGCTCCTTTGCCTTTAAAGTTTTGATGTGATATCATATTCCTTGAACCTCCTGAGAAAACCCTCCATTAGAGAAGCTTTGCATTCCCCTCAGCAGCTGCCCAGGAGGCACACTCATTTTATTATTTTTTTGTCCCCATAGAAGGTCATTGATTTGAGAGAAACACATCGACCAGCTGCGTTCCATACTCACCTGGACCAAGGGTTGCGCACACGCTGACTACAGAGTCTTCCACGCCCGAACCAGGAATCGTATCTACAACCTAGATGTGTGCCCTGACCGGGAACCCAACCATCAGCCATTCTGTGATGGGATGACGCTGCAACCAACTGAGCCACAGCACCCAGAGTAGGCACATTTTTAAACAAATATTCTTTCTTTTTAAGAGAATTTTATTGAATTTATTGGCAGGACATTAGTTAATAAAATTATATACCGGGGTACAATTCTATAACACATCACCTGTGTATTGTATTGTGTATTCACCACGCCAGTGTGAGTCCCCTTCCTTCCCCATTTATCCCCCTTTTCTCTCCTTGGCCGGCCCCCACGCCCCTTTCCCGCGGCTGATCACCATGCTGTCGTCTGCATCTGAGTGTTGTTTTTTGTTTTTGTTTTTGGCTTAATCCCTTCCCCTCTTACTGGCACCCAGCCCTTCCTAGTTCCTCCATTCTTACAGCTCTCAGCCTGTTCTATGAGTCTGTTTCTATTTTGTTTATTTTGCTCCTTAGATTCCACATATAAGTGAAATCAAGGTGTTTGTCTTCTTCCGACTGGCTTATCTCACTTCATATAGGACTCTCCAGGTCCACGCTGCCCCAAAAGGTAAGAGTTCTTTCTTTTTGACGGCTGAGCAGTATTCCATTATATAAATGTACCATTACTTTTATATCCACTCATATACTGATGGGCGCTTAGACTGCTTCCAAAACTTAGCTTTTGTAAATAACACTTCCATGAACAGAGAGGTACAAAAATAAACGTTTAAAAAACTTAACCACTTCAGGCCTGGCCAGATGGCTCAGTTGGTTGCAGCTTCATCCCGCCACCGAAAGGTTTCAGGTTTGGTTCCCAGTCAAGGTACGTACCTAGGTTATGTGTTTGATTCCCTAGTCAGGTGAGTATGGGAGGCAATTGATTGATGTTTCTCTCTCTCTCTTTGTTCCTCTCTCCCTCTTCCTCCTTTCCTCTCTCCCTGAGGGTGGAAAAAATGAGTAAATATACCCTTGGGTGAGGCTTAAAAAAACCCTTAACCACCTCAGAATTACCCCCCGCTACTCCCTAGCGTGCCCTGGGTGAGTCTCAGAAGGCTCGGTCCCCACGTCTCGCTCTTCCTCCCTGGGCTCTGCCACCAGTGACCCTACTGAGTGGCCACTCCATCTGGCCATCACCACAGCCACTAACACTCTGACTTGAGAATCTGGGACGTCATCTCCCCGGGCCGTCCCTGCCCACGCAGGAGGAAGCTGGCGGCTGCCCTGACCCCGTCCGCACAGCAGGGACCAGGCTGGAACCATGCACGGGGCTCCCCTGGAAGCTCAGGCTCTCAGAAGGGTGAGGGACAAGAGAATAACTTGTCCTGGATGCTCCCAAAGAGGCGTTGGGCCAACTCCCAGGCTGAAGTGTCAGCCTCGCCTCCTCGTGGGGGTTCCAGAAGGGTCCGTGCCTGCCTTGCTCCCAGGCGGCGTCTGGGCCAGAGGCCCTGCTGCTCCGTGAGGCCCAATAGCCAGGAGGCTGAGAGGCAGGGGAGGTTGCTCACTCCCTGCCGTCTGAGGCTCCCCCACAGGACAGGGAGCTTGGGGATCAGACTTTACAAAAGTTGTGACCTCCAGCCTCGACTCCCAGGCAGCAAATCTTCCCTGGGACAAGACCCAGGCTGTCAGCAGCTCTGTAGGGACCAAAGGTCAGTGCCAGCTCCACCGCCTCCCCTAAGTGCCCAGTAGCGGGGGTGCCAAACCCTGGGGCGAGGCTCACCCACAGTCCCTCCAAGTGATCCTCTGCAGTCAGGTTTAAGCCCTGGGACTGGCCCCGTCGGCAGAGCTGATTGGCCTACTGATGTCACCTGACCCAACAGCCGCCAATCACCCTGCAGAGCCAGACTGTGCTGAGATTCCCTCTCAGGAACTTGTACGGGGTACTCAGCGCTGCAGGTGTTGCAGGGACCCCCGGTTGAGCTAATGCACGGGAAAAGCCACGGCGGGGTGGGGGCGAGCTTGATACTAAGTGTTTCTGGAACCAAGAGGAGCAGAGAGTAACAGGAGGAACGGGGACCCTCCACCCCTGGGGTCTGGATCACTTGCGTGGCCCGGAATCTCCCCCACAGTCCGGCCGCGCAGGTCCCAGGCCCCTCAGGCCAGCGCTTCCCGGTCTTGTCCACCACAGGTGTGTCTGCCCTGCCCCTCGTGCATCCTCCACCATGAAAAGAGCACAGCCCCCCAAGAGGAACCCCGAGAAAAGCACCGAGTGGCCAGGACGCACCTCAGTGCAGCTGGGAAGGAGCCCCTGTGAGTCCGCTCGGGCGGCCGTGACAGCGCCCCACCGCCGGGGGCTCCAGTGCAGACACTGGTTTCTCACAGAGTCGGACGCTGAGAAAGGCGAGACGAATGTGCGGGGCAGATTCCGTTCCCGGCGAAACCCTCTTCTGGCTTCCAGATGGCACCTTCTCACAGTGTCCTCGCGTGGGGGAGAGCGTTCTGGTCTCTTCTTCTAATAAGGACCCTAATCCCATCAGGCCCACCTTTGCCCCGCCCCACTGCCCCAGGACCTCCTGTAACCTAATCTCCTCCCGAAGGCTCACCTCCAGGTGCCATCACTTCGGGGTTGAAGGCTTCAACATGATTGGGGGGGTGGGAGACATGAACATTCAGTCCGCAACAGAGCCCAAGTGTGACTTTTATAGAATTCACGCTAGGCTGTGATGCCCCAAATAAAATCTTCTCGTGTTTTTATTTAGCTCCAATAAAATCAGCTTAAATGATTACAAAACAATGAAATCCACAAACCAATCCCCACACCTGCTGGCTAAGCAAGATTTCCCCGTTCTGAGTGGTTGCCCTTAGGACGATTCCTTGGAGTCACTGCTTTTCCCGCCAGGTTGGCTTCCGTCCCTCGAGAACCAGGCGAAGCCCGCGAGGACCACGCCCACTCCTAGGACCACTGCTGTCCCGCCCACTGCCATGAGCACAGGGGTGACCTGCGGCAGGCCAGACGGGGCATCGCGCTTAATGTCAGGGGCCCGATCACAGTGCATGCACCAGAATCCTGGGCTCAGGAAAGACACCCATCTGGCCTTTGACCTCTTCCATGGAACCACGGAAGGAGCGATTGATGACAGGGAGGAAGGATCCCTGGAGAGCCGGTCACCCAGGACGGCGGGGAAGAGGGGCCAGGTGGGGAAGAATGAGTGGAAGAGGAGCTGTAGGTCTGAGGGAACAACAGCCCTTAACAGGTACGTGCAGTATAATAAAGGCACAGAGGGTGGCCAAAGATATGTCAGAGGACAGTGGCTGCATGTTCCAGGTCAGGGCTGGCCAACTGGGAACCTGGAAGCATGTGTAGAGTTGGGGAAACCACCGCTGTGAACTCCCGTGACCCAGACCCTGAGGGCAGGCAGCTCCCCGTTCCAGTCCTGGGTCCCCGGAGCTCAGCCCGCCTCCAGGCACAGCCTAGGCGCCCATGACTGACCTGCTGGACACACGGGGTGACTGCAAGCGGCACTTCATGCAATGAGGTCACCTCACTTCCGCGCTGCTAGGGAAGGGTTCAGGGCAAGGAGGCGCGTACTCTGGAAGCACAGACTGACACGGTAGAGACGCGAGGCTGAGGGTCGCGCACTCAGCAAAGCTGGTGTGAGCCAGCCCTGCCCACACCACTGTGCTGGCCGAGGCGGATGAGGACCACGAGAGTGGATGCTGTCCAGGTGTCAACACTGGGCGGGGACGTCACGGGTCCTGTATTTGTCTTAATCTGCCCCAAAGCCCTACTTACACACTTTACAGGGACAAAGCCCCACCACCGGCAAGTGACGGGGCCCAGACTGCCTGACACCCTAGCAAGCCCGCTAAGCTCTCCACAGCCAGAAGAAAAAATACCCAAACCAGAGACCAGATAGCAGATTTCTCTAGAATATCATGATTTGAGCCGTGTGAGAGGCTGGGTAAAGAAAAAGAAACACGCTTTCCCTTTCATTCAGAAACACTGAGAAACGTTTCCAAGCGTCAAAGATAGACAAGCAGGACAGGAGTTCAAGAGGTGATAACTTGTCACTCAGCTCCATTCCAATCTGCACAGGGTGACGGGGTGTTGGAGAAGGCACCCCGGGGAGGGGACAGGCGGTGGGGGGAGAGGGCCCAGCAGTAAGCAAAGCGAAAAATTGCAAAGGTGTTGGGCCGGGTGTCAGCCAGCTGGACAGGATGGAAGCCAGGCTTCTGCCTCCCCGGAGAGTGGACACTGTGGCCCCGCCTTCCTGGGGAGGGCATTTCCCAGGTTGGCTCCCAGGTGCAGGCGCCACACCTCCATGCCCGGGGCAGAGGAAGGACTCACGACCACAGCCCTCTCAGTAAATGCTCTCAGGAAGGGGCCGGCCTGTCTCAGGGGCTGGCTGGAGCCAGCAGTGGCTTCTCCGCAGCCAGCGCTGAGCTTTTTCAGGCAGGCAGCGCAGGGGACTGGGTTGGACCTCAGACATGGCCTCAGGACAAAAGCGCTGCAGGAGTCTGGACGGATTCCTTTGGGACCCTGAGCTCTGCAGTTCTCCGCAGCCCTTTTTTATGGAGAGAGACACAGAGGAGAAGGAAGGAGGGGGAGGGAGGCGGGCAGGCAAGGTAATGTGTTGCCTGCCCTGGAGGGAGTTCAGAGAGAGAGGCCCAGGGGCAAAGGGCAGGAAGAACAGACCTCCTGCCAGTCCCCAGAAGCTCAGCAGAGAGCCAACCACTCTTGAAAAGTGGGGTCACCCAAACCAGCACGGATGTGTGATAAGGCAGCACGGCCCCTCCCCACCCCTCCCTGCCAGAAAGGGCTTGAAGGAGGGAGACCCACCAGCAGGGTCGATGCCTGGCACCACGGAGAAGCTCCCAGGGGGCCCGGAGCAGCTGGGGCTCCATCCAGCGGCCCCATTCCCAGAGGGCGTAGGTTCCCTGCCCAGCCCCCTGCACCACAGCTTTTCTCCCCCCGCCCCCCAAGAGAGGAGCTTCATCCCGGCCCCTCCTGCACTGCAGTGCACGGCCTAAGGCGGGAACATTCCAGGAAGCCAAGGAGGACTGCAGGGCGCCCTGCTGCTGCTCAGATTGGACTTCCGGGAGCAAGGACTGACCACAAACCCACCTCCAGGGAGGCCCCTCCATGTCTGTCTCCGGCTTTACAGTACAGCGCTGGAGTGAGGCCGTTGCCATGGAAACAGGCGTTAATTCGTTTATTTGAGTTGAGAAGAAATGCCAGCTTTTTCCTTAAGAAAATCAAGTCTGTCTTGGCTAGTTGGTCTAACAATAACATCTGGCCTGACTATTTAAATTACATGGCAGACATTTTTCATTGACTAAATGAGCTAAATATGCAAATCCAAGGATGTAAAGAAAATAGGTGCATGTGTATGGAATGCATTGTGTACCAAAAGTTCCATCCTTCACAACTTTTTGTATTTATGATTTTTTACATATTCGATGTCACCTAAAAATGTATTCAGGGGTGTGTGGTGTGTGTGTTTTTTAAAATGATTTGAGACCGGGCGTCAGCAAGCTATGGGATATGGGTCACATGCAGCCCACCACTTGTTTTTATAGAAAACTTGTTGGGAACACAGCCTTACCCATTCCACCAGGGACTGTCCACGACTGCTTCTGTGCTACGGAGCTAGGACGACAGAGCCGGGTGGGGAGACCGGACCCCCGGGTCACAGGGCCCGAAAGCGCCACTCCCTGCCCTCCACAGAAACACTCGCCTGACCTGGCGGGGCTCTCCTGCCCCCTGGCTCACACTGTTCCCTCGGCCTGCGGTACTTGTCGCCCCTACTCCCTGGTCATCTCCAGCTCATTTTCCAGTTTCAGAGCAGTTGAAGGACTAAATCACACTCAGCTCAGGCGTCACCTCTTCTGTGCTGCCTTCCCTGAGCAGGCGCCCAAGTCCAAATCCCACCTCTGCGCAGTGGCGGTCAGGGCCTGGAGGCTCCAAAGCTAATTGTTGAATGGGTTTGGATCAGCCTCTGAAGCACTGTGCGCCTCGGTCTCCCCATCTGCAAAGCGGGGGCAGTACAACCCGCCTCTCGCCTTGCGGGAAGGGGCCATCGCAAGGCCGGGCAGCCACGGAGGGCTTGGCATGGGGGCGACCGCATGGCTGTGGCAGCGCCCCCCAAACGCACGGGTCTGCACTGTCCGCTGGCAGGTCTGCCCACTCTCGTTCCTCCCCGGCTGCGGTCACACCCGCGAGGGCAGGGAGTCTGCCTCTGCCGCTTTGTCTCCTTCGTGCCTCTGTCTGCACCCTGGCCCGGCCCAGCCCAGGCAGATGTCCAGCCACTGTCAGCTGGGGGAAGGGTCTGTTCTGGTTCCTGGGGACAGGGACACAGGCTAAGGACGCACCTGGTTGCTGCAGGGAACTCCATAGCGCATCTCGTTCACAAAGTTCTCACAGTTGGCGCTGGTCAGACTATAGGGCACCTCCCACCCCACCAGCTCCTCCGCCCGCTGGACGATCTTGCTGGGAGGCAGCAGTGAGTACTTGTCATCATGTTTGTTGTTGACATGGTACCTGTCTGTCCCGGCCACCACAGACAGCAGTTCCTTCTTCACTATGGCCTTGTCCTCCAGGGCGGACATGAAGCTGGCTGCGCCGGCCCCAGCGATCTCACCTGCGTGTCACAAAGAGGAAACGGGGCGGGGGCGGGGGGGATGGGCCTGGGCCGGCCCGACCCGGAGTGCGGAGTGCGGAAGCAGGCAGCCCCCTGCCCTTGGCGCCCTCAGTGAGGATGCGCTGAGGGAGGGCCTGGCCCGCCCGCTGGCCTCAGCCTCACAAACAGGGCAGCCCCAAGCCTGGGTGACAATGGAGCCGTCCCCAGGCGCTGGCTTCCTCCTTTCCAAACCAAAGGACGTGAGTTCTTCTAAAGGGCCACGTGAGTTCAGATGTCCCTGCAAGATTCAGGATGGGGCAGAGGGGGGCAGGGCAAGGACACCCAGGTCCGAGTCCCAGCTTCCCCTCGCGAGCTTGTGGTCCAGGGACGGTCACTGGTCCTCCCTGAGCCAGAGCGGGCGAACTCTGCAGTCTAGGGTGACATTTTAAAAGAGCAGGAAAGGAAGCCATTGAGCGAGATGAGGCCTGACCTGCAAATCCAGCGGCCCCCTCCCCTTGTGCCCTCAGGCAAGGCCCCCTCTTCTTACGGCTTTTATCGGTTACAAATTGAAGGCATTGGATCAGGTGACCTCCACACTCTCCCGGCTCTAAATTCTCTGATTTGCCTCTAGAGCAGACCTCGGCCTCCTGCCTCCCCCAGGCTCCCAGGGAAGCTGGAAAGAGAAGGCAACGCGATGGCCCCTGCGTCCCTCAGGGAGGGGCCGATGCACCTGCCGCGTGAGGCTGGGCTCCCAGAGCCGGTAGCTGTGGCATCAGCCTCTGAACAGCCAAGTCACCTAATGACCAGCTCCTAATGTCACCTGTTCGTGTGAGTGTGTGTGTGTGTGTGTGTGTTTACACTTGAGTTCACCAGTTCGCTTTTTCTTTTGTAAAAGGGCATTTTGTAAAACATCTGCCCCAGGTATTCCGCTGCAGGAGGGGGGACCCAGCAGGGGGAGCCTGTGCCAGGAAACACCAGGAGAGACTGCGCCCGGCTTGGCCTGGGCTGCGGATCCCGAAGAGAAGGACAGAAGAAGGAACCACAATTAATACAGGCGTAAAAACATGTCACCAAGAATTTATTCTTCTTCATGAGGAACACACATTGTCCCCATCCTTCTCTGTCCCTCCAGCCCTCCAGCCCTGAGTATCTCCTCTCTGCTAGTAATTTTTCTTTTTTTGCCCCTTAGTCTCCCCATCTCTCTCCTACACACACACCCCCTCCCTCTTCCTCAGTCTCCCCAAGTTCCCCATCTTCCCCCTCTCTCCCCATCCCTGCCCTCAGCCTCCGCGCCTACCATGCGTTTCTTCCTTTCCCCAGTAGAGGGCGGCCTCTCCTAAACGGCTGTGAGCTACTTGGACATTTCAGCAATTTACTTTAGGACGCCTAGATGTTTACCTAAAGAAATGAAAACTTGTGTTCACAGGTATAAAACAGGCCTGTATGGGAATATTTACACTGGTTCTAATAACTGCTGTCAAAAATTAAAAACTGGAGTTCTGGCCAAGATGGAGGCACAGATATGCTTCACTTCCTCGCACAACCGAAAGAAGGATAACAACTAATTTAAAAACAAAAATCAGCCCTGGCTGGTGTGGCTCAGTGGACTGAGCGCCAGCCTGTGAAGCAAAGGGCTGCAGGTTTGATTCCCAGTCAGAGCACCTGCCTAGCTTGAGGGTCGGGTCCCCAGTAGGGGGACGCATGAGAGACAATTGCACATTGATGTCTCTCTCCCTCTTTCTCTTCCTCCTTTCCCCTCTATCTAAAAATAAATAAATAAAATCTTAAGAAAATTATTCCTCCACTCTAATTTTTTAAAGCCTGAATTTGGAAACTATATATATGCATATATAGACATGTGTATACACACACCTGCAGGACAGCTGCTTTTAACGGTGCTAAGTGCGCCGTGAAATGCAGGTATCTATTTTATTTGGCCAATGCCCTGCTGTCGAGTGGTTTCCAGGGTTTTGACATTTTCTTAAATGCCGTGATGCTCTGGAAGGGAAGGGAGGTTGGCTCAGCAGCCGCGAGGCCCCACACCAGGGCTCCAGCCGGGGGTTCTCGTCTGCTCTACAGAGGGCACAGCTGAACTTGGGAGGTGAAGTCACACATGCAAGGCACAAGTCGGTAGGCAGAGGCCCCCGGATTCCAAACCGGTTCTGTCTCACTGGGAAGCCCACGCCCCTTCCATTACACTGCGCGGCCAGCTGTACATTATTTCCCACTCTTCTGCCCTCCAGTCCACATGGAGGGGTCTTCCCTAGGACAGTGGGTTGGCTGGAACTGAACCCCAACCTGCTCTGGAATAAAGGCCAACAGTCTCTGCACCAGCTTGCTGCGAAGGAAGAGCAGCAGTGGATATACCTACCAGGGAATATCCCTTGGCCAGTGGTCACGGCGTGCCCACTGCGCCAGGCACAGCGGTGAGAAGAGGCAGCCTAGTGTGCCACTGTTCACACTCACCGCCTCCTCCCTTGTGCCTAAGCAGGGAACCCATCCTTACCTGGAGGAGCCAGATGGACCATGTAGCCATCTCCCACATAGAGGGCCCAGTACTCGTAGCCAGGGCGAAAAATCTCAATCAGGTCTCCAGGTTTTAGTCTGGCCTGTGACAGAACATCCAGAGACAGGCTGAGGTCAGTCCTAGCAGGGCACGTTCTAGTTCTAGAGCTTGACCTGCACGGAGCCCCAGCCCAGCCTGCAGACTCCCTCTGATCATGCCCTGCAGAAAACAAAGGAGGGAGCTCTCCTGGCACAGGTGGAATGTCCCTCCCTTGCTGGGGCTGCCGGGCTGGAAATGAGCTCTTCAGGTGCCAAAGGGGAGGTGGAGAGGGTGTCCAGAGGGGCTGCGTGGGCAGGTGTGCAGCACAGGGGTGTGGCGGAGAGGCGTGCGCAAGTGGGCGTGAGGGCACTTCATGCCAGAGTATGTTTGTGTCAGTGAGTGAGTATATGATGCCCAGGAAGTCTACAATGCCTCATAAAGTGCCCAGGTCTGTGTGGCTCGGTTGGTTGGAGTGTCGCCCCGGGGACCGAGGGGCTGCAGGTTCAGTCCCCAGCTGGGGCGTGTGCGAGAGGCAACCAACTGATGCTTCTCTCTCTCTCTCCACACCCCCCCACCCCGCCATGCAGGAATAAATAAATAAATAAATAAATAAATAAATAAATAAATAAAACGCCTCCTAAAGGGCCCCCATCTTGTGCCTGGCCTCAGTGATTAGAGTTGCAGAGCTCCGACTCTGAAAGCCCAAACACAGTGCTCAACATGACCCACGTTTGATATCCATCATTCCTTTGACTAAGAACTATCATTACCCCACTAGGCAGATGAGAAGACTGAGTCTCAGGAAGGTTAGATAATTTGACAAAAAGATTCTTAACTACAGAGTAGGAGAGCAAGATTGATAACTAGGTGGGCATATTTCCAACATTCTGTCCTTAACACTCCCAGAGCATCCCAGGCAGATGGGGGAAGGGCGCGCAGGGGGCTGGGGGGTGGGGGTGCCGGCACTGAAGGCTGAGCTCCAGGCTGAGTCCCCGGCCAGGATCTCAGGGTGTGACTCGAGTTGTCATGGCCCTTTCAGAGTTTACGTGAGCAGGAGGTATGTTGCCCTGGTCACACTTGGAATTTGAGATACGCCCTTATCACAAAAGTTCTATTTAAGGGTGGCTCTGAGGTCAGCCAGCATCCCTCCTCCCCTGCCTCAGCTGAGCGCTCAGGAGAAGGGACTGTTAGGAAGCCAGAAGGAAGGAGCAGCCCATGGGAGGGGAAGAAAGCGGTGGAAGCAAAAGTAGATGGGAAAAGAGAAGCTGTTTGGAGACGAGGGGTGGACAAGGGCGCCTCCCTGGCACCCCGCTCGGCCCCATACCACCCTGATCCGTTTCCCTGGTCCCTCCGTCCTAGCTCATCCCACCCACCCAGGACAGGGTGACAAAGGAGGTGGCCCGGGCAGTGGGCAGGGGCTGCCCTCCCTGAGCCCACCATTCTTCCCCCTCAGGACGGCCCTGGGGAGCCCTTCCCACCCCCTACCCGAGCCCCACCTCCAACCCGAGGCCCCGTGCCTGCACTGCAGACCAACAAGGAAACCCACACACCACCACTAACGGAGTTACGGTGCGTAACATAAGAGCTGCCTGGGGACTTACAAAAGCCATCCCTCGGTGGAGATGGTGTCTTGTGTCTTGCCACCTGTGTGTCTTTAAGAGTTTCGTTTTCCCTTTGATCCTGCCCAGGAAGAGATACCTATATTTAAGTCCATGAATCACGTGAAATGCTCCTCTGTAAGACATTTGTCCAGGAGACCTGAGGGCTTATGATCCAGTAAGAAAAGATTCATATTTAGATTTAACATGTATTACAGAATAACAATGATAGTAAATATGTTCTGTAAAATTAAATAAAAACCTGAGTCAAAGTTCACGTAAACCCTGCTCTTTCTTCAAGCAGGGTCTGGGTGCACACCAGGGAGACGGGGAGAGGAGAGGAACAGGCAGTCAGGCGGGTGTGGGGTCAAGGCAAGATGGAGACCCAGAAGCCAAAGTGGGGGGCTTCTGAGAAGAAGGGAGGAGCTCCAAGGAGACCCGACCACGGGGACTGACCCTGACCGGGACACGCCAGCATTGCCACCCACCTCAAAGCCAACGGACCTCGACAAAACGTGTCCTCAGAGGCTCGCTGCCCCCACACCAAAAACTGTGAGCCCGCTCTGCCGGGCCTGTGAGCCCGCTCTCGCCCTCTGGACCACAGTTCAGAAGCACACATTCTAGACGAAATGGAAACCCGAATCCACGACTGTCCGGGTGCGGAAGGGCTGCTTTCCAGGCACCAGCATGCCGCCCCAGCCAAAGCCCTGAATGAGTCTCTCGTTGGACAGCCCTGTGGGCTGTAACCTCCGAGGCAAACCGGGGAGGGCCCTCAGCACCCTGCCGCGGGCACACAAAGAGCCTCCCTGCCGGGAGACAGGTGGGTTGGGGCTGAGCCTGGACAGCTCCTCAGGATGCACAGCAGCTCTGCCCGCCAGCGGTCTCACAGCCACGCGGCCTTGCTCCCTCAGAGCCTGGGCTCCCCAACATCTCCGCTCCACCCTCCTCTGGTATCAGCCGGACAGTCCTGGAAGTAACCCCCACCCTCGATTCTGCGGGGAGACAGTGGGGTCGGTAGAGCTAATTCCCTCCTGCCCCGCTGGCCAGAGCCCGTTGGGCGAGCCGCCACTTGATGCTGGACACCTTCGGAGTGGCTGGCCTAGACTCAGGTGACATCAGTTCGTCCAATCAGTACCATCCCCTTGCGCCACCACAGCCCTAGTTCCCCGGGGCAGGAGGACTTCGCTGGTCACTGTCAGAGACCGCAGGCCAGGGGACAGGGGTTGGCTGAGCCGCTATGGGCAGAGCGGGAAGGAAGGGCGCTGTCTCCGTTCTGGGACCTGTCGCTTTCCACCTAATCCAATCTGTTCACAGAGCCAGGAGATCTGGCCCCAGAGGCACAGGAAAAGAGTCATCTGTTTGTCCCATTAGCTTCTGTGTGGAAAGGTCAAAGTGCTTCCAACGGGACAGAGAGTAGGACAGGGGCAGGCCACACAGCCAGCCTGCTGGCGACCTAGCACCGCAGCCGGGGGTACAGGCACTCCTGGTCTTACATGTGTGCTCATATACATATTTTTTAATTATATAAGAGGCCATAAAGGGCAAGATGAGCCTCCACATGCCCCGCCCCGCCCCCAGCCACTCAGTTCCCCTCCATAGAGGCAACCTTATCAGTTCCTCGGTATCCTTCCAGGATTACGATAGACTACATATACTTTTTAACGATTTTTATTAAATCTTATACCTATAGAGAAGAACATTGATAAGTGTGAGGTATAAGAAATAACAATGGTGCTGCCAGGTCAGTACTGGAAATACCGAGGGAACATTTTGTAAAGTGTGTGATTAACCGCTGAGCTGTACACCTGAGGCTAACACAAAACTATGTTGGCTGTAAATGTAAACTGTGATGGAGAAGTAAAATTTCAAGTTCTTTTAAAAAAGAGAGAGAAATTAAAATATTCAACTTTATTTATAGCAGCCAGGGCAGTGACTAACACATAGCAGAGGTTCAAAAACTATTTGCTGAATGAGCAAATTGGGGTAATAATTTAAGGAAAATAAAAATACCTATTTGCTAGGAGGGAAAAAAGAATAACAATAAAATATCCATGCGCCAATAACCTAGTTGAAGAAATAACCATGACCACTCTGGCTGGTGACTCAGCAGCTTGGAGCGTCATCCAGTTACACCGAAACGTTGCAGGTTCGATTCCCGGTCAGGGCACATGCCTAGGTTTCAGGTTCGATCTCCAGTCGGGATACATATGGGAAGCAACCGATTGATGTTCATCACTCACATCAACATTTTTCTCTCTAAAATCAATAAACATTCTCAAGTGAGGATTAAAAAACAACAACCAATATTTTAAATAAGCTTCATAACACAAAAAAGTCTGTATATACGTTTATATCAGCATTATTCATAATGCCGAAAGGTGCACACAACCCAAACATCCATCACCTGATGAATGGATAACCAGAATGGGGTAGATCCATAAAATGGAATATTACTCATCCATAAAAAGGAAGGAAGTATCGACACGTGCTTCTACTGGGAGGAACCTTGGCGGCACGCTGGTGTGAGAAATCGGTCCCAGAGCCACAAACGGTAGGATTCTATTTATATGTAATGTCCAGAATGGGAAAATAGAGAGACAAAAAGCAGATTAGTGATTGTTTAGGGCTGGGGTGGGGGGGGGGCGGGCGGGTGGGGAGGTGGTAGCTAAGGAGTATAGGGTTTCTTTCTGAGGTGATGAAATTTTCTAAACGTGACTGTGGTCATGGTTTCACAGCTCCGTGAATACACTAAAAACCACTGAATTAGACACTTTAAATGGGTGAACTGTATGGTATGTGAATTAAATCTCAATAAAGCTGTTATTTTGAAAACTTCATGTGCCTCTCCTAATGGAGTTGTAACCAACTTCCTGAATTTTCTGTCTATGATTGTCTTGCTGTTTAAAAATATTTTCCACATATAAATGTATGCCTTAACTATATATGTTTGGTTTTCATTTTTTTAATTTTGTAACATCAAAATCCAGCATCTCACGTCGTACGACTTGATTCTTTTGGTTCACTATTAGGCTCCACGTTCACATTCACAGAGAACGTAGCACAGTTCAATTGTCTTGTCTCCTGCCCGTGGCCATCGGGGTGTGCCCAGGGTCTCCAGGCGCACATGAGCACCCTCACGCTCGCCCCCAGCTGCACCGGGAGTCCTCTGTAAGCAGAGGCTTTCAAACCTTTTTTAACCAAGATCCACAGTTAAAATTACATTTTCTAATGTATCGGCGTATATATAGACTTGAGGTATATAAATAAAAGTCTTACCAAAATCTAGATGAGATGCACTCTGATAAACTTCTTTCTCAATCATTGTGTTTCATTTGTTTTTTCTAACACTGACTGTGGCCACTGAACTGAAGTTCTCACTCACTAACTGGTCGCGAAGCAGAGTTGCTGGGTTGTGTGGTGTGATCTTCCTCAGCTTTATGAGAGGAAGAACGCAATGCTGGGCTTCCCACAGGTGGTGCTCTGGAGTCACCGCTGCTCAACGTCCTTTAAAATCTTTTTCAGCGTGGTAGTGATAGCATGAGATCTTTTCTCACATTTCTATGTTTATTGGACATTTGCAGTCATTCCTGTGAATGACCCATTGATATATTTGTCCACTTTTCTCTTGGGTTATTTGTCTTTTTTCTATTGATATGTACGGGTACTGTATACATTCTGAATAGGAATCCTTTGTCAGTTTTTGTCTACAAACATCCCTCCCAATGTTGGTCTGTCTATTCACTTCCACTACAGTATGTTTTCATAAACAGATAAATAGATGTCCCTATCTGATGTAATCAAATTTATCTTTTTGTGTTTTACTTTTTTTTTATCCTTGGTGTGTATATAAACTACAGCGAGACCATGAAGTTCTTCTCTTATATTTCCTTCTAACAATTTTGTATTTTCGCTGATGGTGGTGAATTTTATGAGTCAACTTGACTGCGTTAAGGGGCGCTCAGGTAGCTGGTAAAGTGTGTCTGGGTGTGTCTGTGAGGGTGTTTGGAGAAGAGATTAGCCTTGGAATTAGTGAACTGAGTAAAGAAGACCCCTTCACCCTTGTGGGCAGGGATGATTCCAATCCGTTAAGGGCCCAAAGAGAACAAAAAGGTGAAGAAAAGACAATCTGTGTCTTCTTGTGTTAGGCTGTGTGTCTTCTGTGCTTGAACATCATCATTCCTGTTTCTCCATCCTTTGAACTCCAGGCTTAGAGCAGCGGCCCCTTCCACCTTCTTTTCGGTCCTTTAGCCTCTGACCAAATTACAGCACCACTTTGCTGGCCCGTGGCTCGCAGATGGCAGATTGTAAGACTGTTTGGCCTCCACAGGCATGCAAGCCAGGTGCTGTAATAAATCTCATACATCTATATCCATATCTATGCCTGTATCCTATTGGCTCTTTTTCTCTGGAGAACCCTGATGAATACATTGCCTTTCTCATTTGTTAAAAAACAAAATTCACCCTAGTAAACTTGAATCTCTACTTGGCTTTATTAAGCAATTTATGAATCTGGTAAAATCTCATCTATCAAGTACAAGGGCACTCTGAGGGGTTGAACAAAATGGAAGGTCTTCTATAGGTAGAAAGGTAGGGCAAGAGAGCTATTAACAAAAGAAAAAAGGATTCGTTTTAGACCAGTACCTCTGGTTTTGGGGAGAAGGGAACTTGCAGATTGCCCCTTCTTTCTATGGGGTGGTGAGGAGGGGGCGGACTCCGTCCTGCAGAGGCTGCTCCGGGTCTTCACGGGGAGGGAAATAAAATAAGTCATCCCAGACATTTCTCTGTCTGCCAGGAGAAGGGGGGGTGGTGATTCCCTCTAGTGGAGAAGGCCCCGAGCTCCTGTGTCCAATGGCTTTTATTGGAAGGGTTATCAATGGGGGCCAGAAGTAGGAATGTACAGGTGACCTCATTACATCAGTATGTTAATGTTTACAGAGAAGAGATGATGTTTTGAAGAAAACAAAGGGCAGGAACACACCAATTTACATGGGTCCAAGACGAGAGGAGTAAACATAAGAGCATAAACATAATAATGCCAAAGGGTTCAGGGTGGGGTCTGTGAATAATGTAAATTTCTTTCCCAGCATGAGCTGGTTATCACCCTTTGAGGGAAAAACAAAGCATGCTTCCAGGGATTTACTTCTAGGCCTGACTTCCCCCGGGAACAGCCCAATCCAACTCAGGGCTGTCTCCAGTGTGGTTCCAAGCCTGAGCCAGGTGCGGGGAGGAGAGCCGCCAAGAGATGAGGAGACTTCTTTCAGACAGAATGAGGACACTGGCCATATCAAAGCCAAGGGGTGAGGGTCTTTTGCCCTTTCTCCATGTCCCCCAAGTCCTTCCCTGATGCCCATGTGGCTGTGCCGGTCTTAGGTTGCCCCTGCCATCAAGGGGTCTTACATGTCACTGACTAACCAGCCATCCTTCAGGGCCAAACAGGGTGATGTGAGGAAAGCAAGCTGCGCCCCTGCCAGGGGGACAGGTTTTGTCTCCTCAGTGGCCTATTTTCCCAAGGCCTCCTTGCTTAGCTCCAGCCTTGGGGGCCTTCTCGCCTGTCGGGGAGGCCACAGTTCCTGAAACCAGATGGACAGTTCCCAACAGGGTCGGAGCCGGGGGAGGGGGATGTGGTGGATAGAGAGGGCCCACCAGAGAGGCCGCCTTACTGGTATTTGGCCAGAAAGCTCCAAACTAGTTGATTACATTTCTGGGGAAGTTGAAACTGCGATTAGATCAGGTTGTAAAATTGAGGTTTGGGGTCATGGGCTGCTAGCGGGACCGATGCCATTTGGAGCCTGTGGTTTCCCCTCTAACCCAGGAGAGAGTGATGCAAGGATCTTCCATACCCTCGTACACATGCCAGACCCGCAGCGCCTCTACCTGGCCATTAACTCAGAGGTTCATCAAGTCTCCTGGTTTAGGGGTTTTTATAGAGCGGCATCTTCAGCACCCCACCCCCGCCCCTTTGCAGAGATCAGCAGGTGGGGCTCAAAGAGACAACCCTCTAATCCCTTGGTCTTTCCGAGGACCAGCCTCCTCCTGACACTGTCTGGCGTCTCTATCCTCAATCAGCACGAACTCAAAAGGGGCTCATTATGAACAATAGAAGATCCTCCAATCAGTCAGGAAATTCTGAGGGTTTTAGGAGCGCTGACCAGGACCCCAGGACACAGAACAAACATATTTCTTATCATGCCACACTCTTTATCTTCTGTCTAGTAATCATTTTTGCCTTAAAGCCTGTATTGTCTGATATCTGTCGCACTTCATGGCCGGCTATAGGGGACACGCCGCCACGGGGGAGCGCCGCAGAGAGCTCAGTGCTCCCTGCAACCTGAGGGAAACCGGCTGGGGCCAGCGGAGGTGGGAGCAGGGCTCTGAAACCCGCAGAGCCCGGCCCGGGGTCGTCACGGATGAGGGGGCCAAACACAAACGCACAAACGCGTCTCTGTTTGCCGGGAGAGCCGTCGGGGGCACCTCTCTCCTACCAGAGAAGGCCGTGGTGCATCCCCGTAATGGGAAAGGCCCCGTTGCCCCTCCTTCCGAGGCTTTTATTGAAAATCTTATCAGTGGGGTATAACAGGAAAGCGTACGTATACTCAGTACATTCGCAAGATAAGTTTCACAGAGAAGAGATACCTTTAGGAAAACAAGTGACAGGAAATCAGTGATTTACATGGTCTGAGAGGGAACAAGAATCAACAATAGAGGCTACTGATAAAGGGGAGAGTAGACTTAAAGGTGTCTTAAAGATACAGGGTAAAAGGTGTAAATAAAGCAAATGTCTTGACAAGGAAAGGGATGTAAATAATGTGAATGTCCTTTGCAGCACAAGCTGACCAGAGATCTGAGGGAGGAACAGAGCACACTCTATAGAATTTATTTTCAGGCCTGATTACCCGGGACCCGCCCGATCTGATTTAGGGCTGTTTCCGCGCCCCCCCCCCAACCCCCGCCATTGTTTCAAGCCCGAGCCAGGCCGGGGAAAGAACCACCAAGAGATAAGGAGACTGTTTCTCGGCTGCAATGAGGACTCTGGCCGTGTCCAAGCCAAGCCAAGGGGTGTGGGGGCCTTTCCGCCCCTTCTCCGTGTCCCCCAATTTCTCATCCGCTGCCAAAATCAGGCCAACACCTGTCTTAGGTTGTAAACCTCAGCGCGAGGTCCCTTACCCGTCATGGGCTAATGGACCAGCCATGGCAAAGCAGTAGGGGACAGGCCGAGTCTCCTCAGGAGCCTGTTTCCCCAAGGCCTCCTCATCATCTCCAGCCTTGGGGCCCTCCAGCCTGTCGGCAGGGTGACAGCTTCTGAAACCAGGCCTGGCGTTTCCCAACAGGTATCAATATAGTTATACCTGCTTTTATTTAGTATACCATTTTAGTTACATTTGACTAGTATATCTGTTCATTCTATTAATTTTTAAGTTATATAACTTATTGAAGTAAATTCAAAAGTCCCATTGTAACAGGACACAGCCAGGTGCCCCCAAAGGGCATTTGTAACGGGATCCAGAAATTGGGGTGTCCAAGAAAAGTGTAGAATACTCTCACCTCCCCCCTCCAGGCGCGCTGCCTAGGAGACAGGAAGCAGGGCCATTGACAGTCATTTTGCAGGGCAATGACAGGATAGCTTCACATTTCATAGGCAAAGGTATTTATTTTGCATATCAACAAGGCTAAATAGGAAGGTTTGCATAAATTTAAGCCAGGAGGGAACTGGAAAGCAGCTCCCCAGCTACGGCACTTGCAGGAGTCGGAGCTGGGGTTGGAAACCCAGGCGCGAGGCCATGCGAGAGGCTTTTGGACCTCACGGCCTAGGAAGCAGGATGTAACCGGGAAGGGGAGACAGGGCCCCGCAGGAGAGACAAAGGGACACTGACTCTGGGGAACAACGTGAAGACCACGAGGGAAGAAAAAGGGAGAAAGGACTCTTGCTCGTGGGCCATGAGAGGGTGCCACGCGGTTTTGGATTAAGAGCTGGAGATGGCGGCGCCGCAGCGGATGGTGCCGGGGGACGCGAGAGGCCTGCCGAGCCGAGCCCCGGACTTCTGCTCCTTTTCTCCTGAAGGACGGAGCCCTGACGGGCCTGACTGGGCAAAGCGGGGAAGGCAGGACTGTGTGTGTCGGTGGGCGTTTTAAATGGTAGGTGTTTTGAAGGGATTTTGAGATTTAAGGGCGACATTTAGCCATTAGTCAAAACCCGTATAACTTTTGAACAAGTGGTTCCTTTCCTTTTCACCACACTCTGCCACTGACAGCCATTATTTCAAAGGTGACGGGCAAAGGACCTGCAACCGAGGGACCCCAGAGAAGGGGCGCTGGGGGCGCGGGGCGGGGGGGGACGTTTCGGTAACAGCCTCTGGGCACCCCCCCCCCCGCGGGTCCATTATTTGGTAACATTATTTGATTTAAACTTTCACGTTCAAAATTCAGATAATTTTAAGATGCTTACATTTAGGGAGGTCAGTGACCAGGCTGTGAAAGAATTCACAAAAACAAGAAAGTGCGAAGAGTAAAGGTTTTGTTTTACTTTCCCGAGGGAGGGCCAGGGCCGGGTGCCGAAAGGCGCGCCGGCACCGCACCGAGCAGTTTCGGCGGCGAGTTTTTATCGGCAACGGGGCGGTTGGCGAGCCGGGCGTTTCAGCCGGGCCGCAAGGTATTTCGATGCCATCTGTGGGTGCAGGGTCCGGTGGTCGTTGTGGTCTGGCCTGTCCTGTTTCACAAGTTCCCGGGTCCCCTGCGCCTTCAGGGAGCTTCCGGTGATTTCCTAGTCCTGAGATTTAAGCCGCAGAAAACAATTCGGTCCGTCGCGCTTTGTGGGGCCCAGCCGGCTCTGGGAAAGGGGGCCTCAGAAAGTGGCTTTGGTCCTCTTACTTACTATGTGAATTTTTTAACATACAGGAAATGCTAGAAAGACTAGTACAATGGCCACCCATTTACCTCCAACTAGATTAAAACCTTATCGTTTTGTCGTATTTGCTTTAACTGCATCTATTTTTTTTAATTAGGTCATGTGTTTACATAAGCGTAATACCATTATCACACTTAATAAAATTAATGATTCCTTCATATTATTTAATACCCTGGCAACATAAAAACCATCCAAACCTGGAAGAATTTTTTTATGAGTTTATTTGAGCCAAAATGATGACAATTGCCAGGAAGCAAAATCTCAACAGATTCAGAAAATGCTCCGGGAAATGGCAGTTTTACCACTTACTTTATGTATCAGAATCCAAGGGGAAGCCGTAAGAGGGTTACATGAAATCCACTGGTGATGGATTAGGGAGGCAGGCAAAAAGCAAAGGGGGGAAGGTGTGGGATTAGATCAAAAGTAAAACAGACACATGCTTCTCTCGCACAGGTGGGTGAGTACAGGGTCGCCAACAATTAACAGGATATCAACAGCAATGGGTGGTGTATGGCCCCCTTCTGGTGCACGCCTGTGCTCCGAGATCCCAAAGGACAATGTTATCAGCTACATTATGGTACATGCGAAAAAAGGCAAAAGACAGGCTCAGTTAAGGCAAAGACTGACCTTTGTTTGGGAAAAATACAGGCCTAGGACATCACAACCTGCTTTTAGTTAGAAACTTAATTCCAGACCATCCCACGTGGTCACTCAAGGTCCCTGAGCTTGTCAGGGTTTAGTGTGCGGCCCCTTTTTCGACCACATCCAGCCTGCATTCGGATTTCCCCAAATAGCCCAAATTGCTTTTATGGTTGTTTCTTTTTTTACATTTAGCTGGTTTGTCTCCGGCGTGTCTTTCAGTCTCAGTCTTCACACACCCTCGTTTTTCTCCTTGAGAACATTATCTTTTTTAAAACCACACCAGTTATATAAAATGCTCATCCTTTTCATTTTAATCTTTGTGTCCTTAGGTTTGAAGTGTATCCCATGTACAGTTTGTCTTTTACTTGGCAAGAGTAGCTCATTTGTATTTATGGTGATTACCAATATACCGGGAGTGCGTTCTTCCATCTTATTTGGTTATTTATATGCATTCCACATTTTGTACGTAATTTGTTCATTTATTTTTTAATTGAACTGGGAGTTTCAGTTTTGCTTTCTTGTGTTTTGAGAATGGAGAAGATAAAATGGAATAAGTTTTGCTATGCAAGTCACTGTGGAGGGAGTCGAGAGGCCAGAGAGGAAATGGGGCCCCTGTCTCGGCTTTTGGGATCACTGGTAAGCTCTGACCTGTGCTAACCTCAGCTCGAGGCCCAACAAGCAGCTCTCCGGATCCATGGCTGCTACGTAGCCATACGTAGACCCTACTTCCTTGTCATGGTGACCGGACCATCTGCATTCTTCGCCTAGAAAGGAACCAATCCATTTCCACAGCCAGCATCCCTCATTTGCATAATGCCTAACCCATCCCAAGTGCCCCAGCAAACATCCTCTATTTTCACGGAGGACCTTAATGGGAATTGCTCTTACGGTTTTGCCCTTTGTAAATAATTCTGCTTTTCTCTGTTTCCTTCAGAGCGCAATTTAAATTATTACCCGAATCTGTGCCCCAGATTACAATCCCTCCTTTGCTCAAATCAATGTTTTCTTTTTTTAAAAAAGATTTTATTTATTTATTTTTAGAGAGAGAGAGGGGAAGAGAGGGAAAAAAAACATCAATGTGCGGTTGCCTCACACGCCCCCCAATGGGGAACTGGCCTGCAACCCAGGCATGTGCCCTGACTGGGAATCAAACCTGCGACCCTTTGTTTGCAGGCTGGCACTCAGTCCACTGAACCACACCAGCCAGGGCGTTTATTCTTTATTACAATCTGAACTTTTCTTTAGTTTGGTAAGAGTTTATTTTTCCTCATTCCTTTTTTTTTCTGTAATTGTGGGCAGTTTCGCTCCATGTGTGCCCAGCACCTTTGCCATGTGGGTGAGGGGGTTTCAAGAGACTGTCCCTCTGAGTCTGGCTTGTGTCCCTTGGGTTTGGGGAGCTTGCACAATAGAGTTCAGACAAGAAAGGAAACTGCTCTGGGAGAGAACAATTTTAATGTCAACACAGGGTCATGGTTTGCACCATGTGAAGAACGGAATGGTAGTAAGGCTGGTTTTAAGATTGGCAAGAACATGTGTTTACCCGGGAGCAATGTGGGCCCAGCAGCAGGCAGCTGGCCTGGAGCCACTTGTAAGCCCTGGGGACAGTGAAGGGCACCTCAACTCCCCCGACAAAATCAGCAACAAAGAAAGGACAATGAGCCTAACTACAGTTCTTTACTACGGCAACCGTGGGGGCTAGTCACACATAGACCATGTTTAACAATAAAGGACGATGATTACCAGGAAGAGTGTCTGTTCTTTCTATAACCTGATCAAAGACTCAAGAGCCTCAAAGTAATTGGATGGTTTTCACACCAGGAGGTTCAGCAGCAACTCAGCCTTATCTTTTCTGTGCGTCCTTTCAATTTGGTGTTACTATAATACAACCATTGAAGCCTATGTACCCAAATTGTAACTTCTAGTATCAAATGTACTTTCACTTACTCTTCTGCCTATATAAGTCCCTCACACTTCCCCCAAGTCAGAGCACTCTTTCAAGGCTAGCCCTCAACAAGTCCTAAGTAAAACTCTTAAATTCACAGAGGTTCAGTTTTCTTTTCCTTGACAGTCCTGTCAGGGATTCCAACGGACAGATGGTCCCTGCCCCTGACCACCAAGGCTAATGAAGGAAATATTCACAGTCCCAGCAAGGTATTTCTGGAGAATCCATAAAAGCCTCTTTCTGAAAAATGGCCGCGTCGAACATCTGCCAAGCCCAGAAAGCAGCAGCAGACCTCAAGGGACTAGCCAGGGGAGGTCATTCCTTCCCCCAACCTCTCCCTGGAGGGCTGGGCAGCAGGGAGGTCGGGCATGGGCGTGGGGCCTGCCACACTCCCAACGCAGAAGCTGTGAGGCTACCTTGCACCATGTGACCCGGCCCCACCAGGGCAGAGCTGATTGGCCTAGTGTGGTCATCTGACCCAATGGCAGCCAATCGGCAGGCCACGCTGGGATGTGGTGAGCTGAGCCAATTAGATTCTCTCTTGGGAACTGGAACTGGGAACACCCAGTAGGCAGTGGGAGGAATGGAGCTGAGCTGCTGCAGGAAGAAGGGGACACAGGAGGGAATCAGAGATTTGGGGGTGGTCACCAGCCCAAGTGGTGAGGGAGCAATAGTCCTGGGGCAGGGGGTGGTGAGTGTGGAAGCAACACGGCCGCAGAAAGATGTGAAGAACAGAATGGTAGTAAGGCCGGTTTTAAGATTGGCAAGAACATATACTGAATTTCCTTATGGCAAAGGTTTGGGTTCAGTTTCCTTTTAACTCCAATGAACATCTACAGACTCCAGCTGCTGAATCAAGAAGCCACCCTGGGTCTGGTTCCGGGCCAAGGTCCTGGCTATGCCATGGTTCCTGTTCTTGTATATCAATCAGGTCTACCTCCCCTGCAGCCCACGGAGATCCTCGCAGCCAGAAATGCCCGTTACTTGACACGACAGGAGTTGGACTCTGTTACCTGCAAGGCAAAGAGCATAGCCCACAAGGAGAAAGCGAGAGAAAGGCACCGAAGGGCCAGGGCACACTCCGGCATCACCAGGGACAGAGCCGGGCTGTGCCCTCAACGGACTTCACACCAGGCAGTTCGTGCTACATTTTCCCCAATAAAAAACCTCCTTTATTGGGCTTTATTTAATTCTGTGAAAATAAGCCTTATTATAAAAACAGAATGAAACCCATAAACCAAACCTCAAAACCACTAGCCTAACAAGATCCTTAATGTATAGAGTCACTGCTGTCACGACACTCCCTTCAACTCATTGCTTTTGTTGCTTGTTTCTTGAGAACATGACTCCAATGAGGCCCAGGGCTGCCATGCCCACTCCAGCGATGCCGGCCGCCATGATAGCGTCTCTGACCTGCGAGAGAGAGGAGTGTGGTCAGACTGGGTCGGGAACCGAGGACAGGCTGTCCATGCAACAAGGACGTTCTGCTCAGAGAGCCGCCCATGCCCCTTGGTCTCCTTAACAAACTCACAAGTCAACAAACATTGGCGAGGAAATGGGGAGAAGAGGGCTGGATGGGGAAAGACTTGATGGATGGAGCCAGCTGGCCAGGAATGTACTTGGACTTGAAGAGGGAAATTCAATTCACCTTGTGGGCATTTAAAGCGCATAAATCCCCAGAGGGTGACTTTGCAGAGGACAGGGAGAGGATGCCACGATGGCTGAGGCCCTGGCTGGCCAACGGGGAGCCCTTGAAGCCAGCACGAAGTCAAGGAGGAACGCTCTTGAGTGCTCGGTAGACCATGACCTCGTGAGAGCAAGGACCTCACTTGTCTTGTTTATCACTGTATCCCCAGCGCCCAGCCAGGCACAGAGGTTCTCTCTACATGTTCTTACATAAAGGACTCCACTATAAATAGTAGCAATGTTATACTTTAAATGATCGGCCTATATAACTGGTACTGCTTGCCCTAGAGAAAAAAGTTGCAAAAGGAAGAGTAAGGTTCTAGGTAAAAACTGGACATGTGTTGAATTTCACTCCTCCCTGAAACCCAGCTAAAGGTGAAGCAGGCCATTGTTTTAGGGGTCGCTCCACAAGGACACAGAGCACTGAACCTTAAGGCAGCGGTGGGGAAAGCCGAGGGTCGATCAAACGGCACGCGCCAGAAGTAGGTATACGAGTGTAGGTGTGAGTACGTGGAACACAGAGCTTATTCCTTTATTATTATTAATTAGTTATTGTATCAGTTTTCTATAAAAACAACTGCAATCTACCTTTGCCCCACCCTGTGCTCATACAACAGGATCCTTGAAAAAGATCACTTTTTGGTGACACCAAGTCCCTAAGAAATGGGAAAGAGAGAGAGGCCTTGGCTAGGTCCCGTGATGTTCTCCCTAAACCACAGCTGAAGTCTCAAGTTTATTCCCTGGAGCAGGGAAAACAGAAGATGTGGGGTCTGGAAACCTAGAAGCACATGTGAGGATGCGGGTATCATGTCAAAAACGGGGGGCTGAGAGACCATAAACTTGCTCAGAGGAGGGCTCCTGGCCCCCTAACCCTCTCGGCCTCTAGAACTTGACTCTCTAGAAGAGTCAGGCAAACTTTGCAGAATCTGACCAGCCCAAGGGGAAACAGGTGTCAATACTGAGGACTCCCAAAGAGCCCACCCAGACCACCCAAAAGTGGCTGCTTTTTGCTCGGTAAGCTGCTGCTCCCTCCCAGCTCACTCAGAGCTTCGGTTCGCTGCAAACCCCACCCTTAATCACGGGCATACAACCAACGTGCCCAACACCTGAGGAAGACCTCGAACATAGAAGAAAGAGCGCAAAACAAACAGAGTAAAAGCACTCTGGAGAAAGAGAAACCATGGGTATAAAAGAAAGCATCTTTGTAAAGCTGTCATTAAAGAATAAGAGAACACTGTATCCTATAAATAAAAATAGAGTGCTATAAAAAAATTAAATATTAAGAGATGAAAACAGTCCTTAAGAAATAAAGTACAACAGAAAACTCAATAAAAAATGTTAAAGTTGAGGCCATCTCTCAAGAATAAAGAGCAAAACGATCAAGATATGGAAAACAGAAGCCAAAGGCAAAAAATACGGAACAATCTAGGCAATCTAGCATCTGAAAAATAGCCGTTTCAGAAAGAGATAATAGAGGAAACACAGAGGAGGGAAATCAAATGAAATAAGTCATGAAAATGCATTAGGGCCAAAGGATATACGCTTTTAGGTTGAAATGGTACTCCAAAGCCCATCTCAATGGATGAAAGCAAATCTACACAAAGGCATATTACTGTGTAATTTTAGAATACTGGATAAAGAAAAGATATTACAACTGCTAGAACAAGGGAGGAAAACAGGAATCAGAGAAAGGATTAAGAGTCAGATTAGGCTTGGCCCCTGGCTAGTGTGGCCCAGTGGGTTGAGCACTGGTCTACAAACCAAAAGGTTGCAGGTTGATTCCCAGTCAGGATACATGCCTGGGTTGCAGGCCAGGTCTCCCACGGGGACATGTGAGAGCGAGAGGCAATCAATCAATGTATCCCTCACACATTGATGTTTCTTATTCTCTCTTTCTTCCTCCCTTCCCCTCTCTCTAAAGGTAAATAATTTTTTTTTTTTAAGTCAGGCTTGGAAGCAAGAAGACAGTGGAACAATGCCTCCAAAATCCAAAAGTAAAACTTTCTAACCTAGAGTTCTATACCCAGGCAAACTATCAAATCAAGTAGGAGTGTAAAATAAAAATAATTGAAACATACAGGGTCTCAAAAAAACTTACCTTTCATGGGCTTTTGCAAGAAGTTGCTGAAGGAGATTGCACCAAAACAAGCAAGTAAATTAAGAAAGAAAACATGAGGTCCAGAAGATGGATACTCTAGTACAGGAGAGAATAGAAGGAAATTTCTCTAAAATGATGGTGAGGGGAGATCCCAGGACAACAGCTTTGTACCAGGCGTAGAGAGTAGCTGGTAAGCAGAATAATAGCCCCTTAAGGATGTCCATGTCCTAATTCCAGGGACCTGTAAGTATATTATGCTACATGGTGAGGAGGAATTAAAGTTGCAGATGAATTAAGGTTGCTAATCAGTTTATCTTAAAATAGGAAGATTATCCTGGATTATCCAGGTAGGCCCAATGTAACCACAAAGTTCCTTAAAGGATATAAGGGAGAAAGGGAGGCAGAAGAGTCTGTGTCACGGTGATTCAATGTAAAAAATACTCGACCAGCCATAGCTGGCTTTGAAGATGGAAGGGGCCACCAGCCAAGGATTGCAGGCAGCCACTAGAGGCTGAAAAAGGCAAGAAAATGGATTCTCCCCTTGAACCTCCAGGAGAGAACACAGCCCTGCTGGCACATTGATTTTAGCCCAGTGAAACCTATTTCAGACTTCTGACCTCCAGAACGAAAAGGCACTAAATTTGTGTTGCTTTAAACCACTAAATTTGTGGTCACTTGTTCAGCAACCACAGGAAGCTCATGCAGTAACCAATCCAGATTAGAGTGGTGTGACTCAAGAAGCCTGGCTTGCTGAGTTCACCATCGTCACCGTTATCCCATGTACTGTCTTTCTAACTTAAAGCAACTTCTGGGGGACATGGTCCACCTAAATAAGAGAAAGAGCAAAGAAATAAGGAACTGAGAGATCATGGAACCAGGGAATCCAATCAAAGAAAAAGGCCAAGGAAATCCCGAGGCTGACAGGAAGGGGAGGTCCCCGGCTGAAGCACGCCTTCAGCCAGGGTGCGACCAGCACACAGGGCACAGCGGCCATGTGTCCAAGGGAAACGTAGAACTGATAGGTTACTTGACATGATTTCCTTTGTGGAAAACTACTGAGATCTAACTGGATGGTGGCAGAAGAACTGACAATAGGTACAAGGAAAACTAAGCAATGAAAGGAGGTAATAACGATCTTTAAGAAACACCCCCCCCCCCCCGCAAAGAAAGGAAGGGAACTATCATAGTACAGCACGGCACCCATCTGTGAACAAAACCTGCATAGGCATAAAACAAACCCTGAGCCATGATTGAATAAAAACGTGTAACGTGAAACTGCTGAGAGAATCGGGGAGGGAGAAGGGGTGCTGGGATTAAATAGCTTCGTCTTCACTTACCATAAAAGGAAGTCGAAAGAACATATCTAAAATGTTTGCATAAAAAGATAGCAGTATACACATCTTGTTTAGAAATTCAGAAATAGGTAAACGTCAAAATTAGTAACTAAGGAGGAGGAAAGCGGCCGCCCGTGGGACGGGGACGGAGAGCAGCGGAGGCGGTGGGGCAGGGGACCCTGTGTTTTGCGATGGCTTTGAGTGCTCGTTGTCTTTTCAAATTGTGTGTGTTACTTGGGAAAAACTACAAGGTAAGTTTTAAAAACTTGTCCAGAAAAAAAAAGAACAAAAATGAAAGTAATAGAGATACGTATAGTAAGCTGATACAAAACCTTACTGTGCCTACTAACTTCAAACGTTAACACCCTGTCTACAGACTTGAAAGGCAAGGTAATGATGAAACGGTCCCGTAGTTGAGGCAAGGACTACAGGCTGTTTTAGAAAGACAAGGAGGCATCCTAGAAAACAGCCACCAGAAAATGTTTCTAATATATTTCACAGACAACTGTGCTGCCCCAGATATGACAAAAACCATTGATTTCTGATATTTTGGTTTTGTCCAGTGAAGGGTCATTGCGCTAAGAGGACACATGCACAAGTCAGATTCATCCTTCACTTCGTGTGAAACGTTCCCCTTTACCTTTGACCTTTGATCCTCAACCTAGTTTATCTCAAGCGCCTAACAGAACACTGAATGAACATTGCTATTGATGTTTCAGATTTTAGGGATCTATTTTCAGTGAGCTTTAAGGAGTTAGAGTTGATATGGCCAACACTTCTTTCACCTCACCATTCAAGCATATTTGATGTACACAACTATTCATATACAACTCAGGGACCCGACAGTCTGCCCCTGAACTGAAACACGGTAGCCATGGACCTCACCTCCAATGGCATCAAGAGCTTCAGATTCTGTATGGATAAAGAGCCTCTGTTGGTGCATGTTGAGGATGCCCTCTGCAGCTTAGAAACCATTCCCATTACAGAGGTCTGTTGCCCTAATTTCTGCCCAGCTGGAAGGCCAGTGTCTCCGATGGCCCTTTCCCCAGCTTCCTTCCCAGAGTCCTGTCTTAGCCATGATGTCCTCACACCCGCCAGTCCAGCCCTTCGTGTTCTATCAGGTGTGGCAGCAGCACCACCAAAGATAACAAAACTGCACGGCAATGACACGGATCAGCAAGCAGAAGCAAGAAAGCTGGGCCTCTTCCTGTTTCCAGCATTATCCAGGGCCCTGCTCTGGGGCCACCAGGTCCTGTGACAATGCAAAGGGAGAACAAACTCTCTCCTCAGCTTGTAGCCACTGTCCCCAGCGCACACAGCCAAGTCAGCAAAACCGTGCCTGTTCCCACAAAGGCATGAAAGACTGTCATGAACGTAGCTCAAGAAATCCCACCCCGAAACCAGGCCAGGCACTGAAGCAGAATCGGGAACAGCAGAGAAAAAGATTCTTCATCATTTTATGCCAAGACGTCCAATGAAGACAGGATTCCAAAAATCCCAGGAATGAAAAGGATAAAAATGTGGACTCGGTACCCAAACCCCACATCCTTACATGACTGGGTCCACATAGCCCTTGCTACTGCAAGTGTGGAGCTTGCCGAGGCTGTATATGTGTGGCTGCCGCAACCCCTCAGGGATCGAGGCAGAGAAGAATCTGGAAGCCTTCAAGAAATGTGCTCAGCAGAGCTCTGTGAGACGTCAGTGTCCCTAACACCGCAAGCCACCCATCGCTGATTGCCGCGACCCGCGCGGAGTGGTGGGCCCTGAGTGGGAGTGATGGGAGATTGAGAAGGGACAACACAACACAAAGACACAACACAAGACACGTTAGAGAGACGCGGGGGCCAGGTGGGGCATTGTCCTCTGAGGGAGAGACAATGACAATGACCATAGTCTCTGCTTTTATTTTATAGGGGTTGGTTAAGCAAAGCTCAAGGGAGTTTTGAAGCCTTAGGGGAAGGCTGTGGGCACGGATTGTTCCGTTCCCAGGCTACCTACATGAAAAGGCTTTCTACCGCAGAGGCTGCAGTCTTCAGGGGAAGCTTGTGGTTATCTACTCCCTTCTCAACCACCCCTCCCCCGGCCCCCAGGGCTTAGGCTGTCGCCAGCTGCCAGCTTGCTCTACCTTGCAGATAACAAGCGGCTGAGCGTGGCCTTGCCAAGCGTTTAACCTGGCTTTTGACGTCAGCCTTCACCGTCCTCCACACTGATATCCTTAGCAGCCAAAACACGTGATGCCAACATTGGATGAAGCTACTGATCCGAGGTTTGACTGCTGTTCAGTTTTTAAACCTTCCCTCTAAAAGGCAATTGGGCACAACTTTGTGGCAGCCATGGTTCTGTTGGGTTAACTTGCTCAGAAACCTGCAGGAATCCACTTGCACCCAACACTGTCCTGGTGAGGCTCTGGGACAGCGTGGGAGACGAAGGGAAGCTAAAGGAGTGCATCACCAACAAACCAGCATAACATGAAAGGTTAAAGGGTCCTCTTTAAAAACACGAAGAAGGAAAAAATCAGAAGTATGAACAATAAAATGGCAATAAATACATATCTATTTATTTAAAACATATGTATCTTAAAAACAAAATAAATGAAGAAGCAGAACAGAAACAGTCTCACAGACACAGAGAATATTTTGACAGTTGCCAGATGGGAGGGGGGTTGCCGAGATGGGTGAGAAAGGCGAAGGGATTAAGAAGTACAAATTGGCTGTCACAGAACCGCCATGGGGATGTAAAGTACGGCACAGCGAATACAGTCGGTAACACTGCACTAACTCCATATGGTGTCAGATGGTACCAGCTTCATCAGGATGCCCACTTAGTAAGTGATGTAATGTCTAATCGCTGGGGGGTATGCATGAAACTAATATAATACTGTATGTCAACAGGAATTGAAAAATTAAAAATGATTTAAAATTTTAAAAATATAAATAAATAAACTATTCAGCATGAAGGCTTATTTACAAAAGCCTACTAAATGTACCTTTTGTGAAGCTCAAGTATTTCAAGGTAGGTGGAAAGTCAGGGAATCTTGTTTTAGAAATTCTTAGGCATGTAAAGGGTGAACTGCATTTTAATCTAAACTCATTGCTTCCCTTTCTAACTGGTGAGTTAAATGAGTCATAACCATTCCGTTGAAGGAAAACCTAATCTGCTTGAAAGAGAGCAGCACAAATAAACATAATGACTGATCAGATTAGTAAAGACAAACAAAAATGTCCTCCTGAGTTAAATGAAAAGGAGAGGTGGCATTTTGACAGCATTTACAGAGAAAATCACTGCTGAGCATTTCCAGCATATGCTAAATCCACCATCTCTCATGACATGGAAGACGCGTGGAAGTTGCATTTCAGTTTGTCCACACCCTGGATCATGACCATTACTCACTCAGGCTGGTGACAGTTTTGACCTCTGGGGGAAACTTGACACTATCTGCAGACATTGTGGTTCTTAGACCTAGAGGTGGGGGAGCGCTGCTGGTACCTGGCAGGTAGAGGCCACTGATGCTGCTAACCATTTTGCAATTCACAGGGCAAGTCAGGCCAATGAATGAAGAATTATCTTCGCATGACCCAAAATGTCAACGGAGCTGAGGGTGAGAAACCCTCATCCTAGGCCAAGAAATAAAAGAGGAATCTTTGGCCCTGGCTCAATTAGTTTGGTGTCATCCTGCAGACAAAAGGTCAGGGGTTTGATTCCCAGTCAGGGCACATGCCTGGGATGCAGGTTCAGTCCCCAGTCAGGGCGTGTGCAAGAGGCAACCAATTGATGCTTCTCTCTCACATTGATATTTTTCTCCCTTTCTTCCTCCATCCCTTCCTCTCTCGCTAGAATCAAAAGGAAAAAATTAAAAGAAAAAAAGGGAATCTTTGGATACAGTATAGATGGTAGCTCTTTTTGTTTTGTAGTATGTCCTGGTTTCATCTTCTGTGAGGGAGTCCAATAGAATTGTTTACACTGTTTCATTGTTGTGTTGTCACTGTGTTTGCCCTTCCAGATGGATGGGCAGTGCGCAGGGCTAAAGCCACAGGGAGAAAGTGTGATGTGTCCAGTTTGCATTGTTTCATTTTGCAAGAAGAGCTGAATTATTATTTATATAAAAAGAGTAAATGATAAAAAAAAAAAAACTGTTCCCTATGTATTTCACCATGTCACAGTTGGAATTGTATTTAATTGCTCTAAATAGTATTCGTGTCTAGTGACATGCCATATTTTGCCATGTATAATGAGCACTTTTTTTGCCCAAATTTCTGAGGGAAATATAAGGGTGAGCACTATACATGGGTAGCATCTGAAATACCTTGTTATCTGTTGTTGTGTTTTGCAATTATTTGTTACATAAAATTTCTTGCATCATAATATGTTCAAAAGTAGATGCTAAAATTCCTTTATAATACAAAAAATAAGTACTTAAATATAAATAAATAAATAAATAATTGAATTAAAAAATTAAAATGAAAGATTGTCTTCTGAAAATTTAGGCCAAAAATGTGGCTGCACATTATACATGGCAAAATACAGTATGTATTTTACTAAATTATGTAACCACTTTGTATTGACACATAATTCTTTATTTATAGAAACCTGTGACTTGGTTCTTTAGTCTATTAATAATCAATGAAGAATAACTAAAAGTGAGATGGCTGAGATATTTTATAAATCTACCAAATCTTCCTAAAGTAGCACCCTGAGTTTCCTAGAGTATCTTAGTGCTTTAAAGTTTCTGAAGTAAGCTTTACTTGAACTTTATTGCTGCATAGGAGTGTGTACATTTACCTGAAGCAGAAGCCATGTGTGAATGGGGACTTCAATTGTTATGCAGCATCTCCAATAGTGAAAATAGATTTGTTCATCATCAGTCTCTCTTTTTTTATGCTCATATCATCATTGCTACTTTGTAAAAAAACTTCTATTATACCCCAGTCTATTCAGAGATGTTAGTTTTCTAATTAAAAATAAATAAGTAAATAAATGGAAAGCATGACAGGGAAGATAAGAAAATCAGAGAAGTCTAGGGTCCAACATCCAAATGACTGGAGTTCCAGAAGGAGAGAAGAGAAAATAGAAAAGTTCCCATCGCTGAAGGAATGGGGTTTCCAGATTGAAAGGAGTCATCGAGTGCCCAGCATAATGCACTAAAACAGATCCTCATGGGTGCAGCACAGTGAGATTTCAGAGCACTGAAGACACAGAGAAGGTTCTATAAGCTTCTGGGAAGAAAAAATAGATCATATACAAAGGATCAAAAATCTGAACCATTTAAGACTCTTCAACAACAACACCATTAGCTAGATGACAAGGAAGTAATGCCTTCAACTTTTTGAAAAAATATATACTCTTTCGCTTTAACAAGCATCTAAGGATTTTTCTAATTGTTCACACACACGCAAAATGGTACTGAAGGTGCAAAAGAGCAGAGGAGGGAATGAGAGAGAATAAGAAGGAAGCTAGTGACCCAGGAAAAGAGATTCAAAAAAGAGGGGTCACAACCAAACTCAAACTTAGTGAAAGAACTGGACTTCATCCCCTGGGACCTCCTGGACCACCCCTCAGGCAGCGTCAGGCTGAGGATAGTGCTTTGCATAAGAATGAAGAGCCTGTCAGGCAGACCCGGGCCCCTCCTCCCTCCCTCCCTCCGCTACATATCAGCACAGCTGCAGACTCCCAGGAACAGACAAGGACCAGGTGTGGGGACTCGACACAGATTTGTTTGATAAAATAAGCGGTCATCGGCATCACCAGTTACTGAAGCACTGTGCGCCTGGGTCTCCCCATCTGCAAAGTGGGGGCAGTACAACCCGCCTCTGGCCTTGTGGGAAGCGGCCATCGCAAGGCCGGGCAGCCAGGGAAGACTTGGCACGGGGGCGACCGCATGGCTGTGGCAGCGCCCCCCAAACCACACGGGTCTGCACTGTCCACTGGCAGGTCTGCCCACCCTCGTCCCTCCCCGGCTTCGGTCACACCCACGAGGGCAGGGAGTCTGCCTCTGCCGCTTTGTCTCCTTCGTGCCTCTGTCTGCACCCTGGCCCGGCCCATGCAGATGCCCAGCCACTGTCAGCGGGGGAAGGGTCTGGTCTGGTTCCTGGGGACAGGATGCAGGCTGAGGACGCACCTGGTCACTGCGGGCGACTCCGTAGCGCAGCTCGTTCACGAAGTGCTCACAGTTGTCGCTCGTCAGCTTGTAGAGCACCTCCCTCCCCACCTGCTCCTCCGCCCGCTGGACGATTTTGCTGGGAGGCAGCGGTGAGTACTTGTCATCATGTTTGTTGTTGACATGGTACCTGTCTCTCCCGGCCACATGATAGAGCAGTTCCTTCTTCACTATGGCCTTGTCCGCCAGGGCAGACATGAGGCTGGCCGCGCCGGCCCCGGCGATCTCACCTGCGGGTCACAAAGAGGAAACGGGGATGGTCCCCACTGGGCAACACCCCTGGCACCATCCACAAGAGGATGAGAAGATGGGAGGGAAAAGAGCGGAGGGTCAGGCACGTGGGGAGTGGCTTTGGAGAAGGTGCTTGTCGTCTCTGAGCCCTGGTTTCTTTATCTGAAACGAAGCCCAGTGAGACTCTATGGTTCATCGTGTTTTTTTTAACCTGGAGAAGCTAGCCTCCTACACCCTGTGCCACCTCAGTGGCCCTCTGGTTACACAGATGTGGGTCCTGAGCCCGCCCATCCCCCGGGGCGAACAGAGCGTGACCTTCTGTGTTTCTATCCCGGCTACACATCCTGGGCACAGAAAAAGCTGACTACTGCAGGAAAGGCAGATGGATTTCCGGAGCTGGTTCCCGCCCTTCTGGGAACAAAGGGACCAAAATCCCACAGCTGCGCCGAGTTGTGATACCAGGGAGGCCCCGAGGGTACACGCACAGCCCTGGCCAGGGCTGAGGGGCTAGAGCGGGCAACATAGCCCAGGAGTGAAACTGCTTCAAAGAAAGGAAGTATGGGGTCCATATAATGACCAGGATGGTGGGGAGGGAGAGCTGAGCCCCGCCAGAGCCTGGGCGCCCTTCCCAAGGCCGTGACCCTGCCCTGTGCGGGCGGGGCACTCGTGAGTACGGTGGCTGAAAGCCTGAGTGTGTACCTAAGGGGCAGACCCAGGAGAAGAGCCGCCCTCTCCCTCAGAGAGCCGCTGCGGCCCTGCCAGGTCAAGACCCCCAGGTTCTCCCCAGCAGGGGAGGCAGCCCATTAGGCTGGGCAGAGGTCTTCCACTGTGACACCCACCGTGGACAGCAGCAAGCAGTGGCAGGAGGGATCAGATCCCCGGCCCTCCGCTGCTTGGCTTCCCAGAAGGGACTACACCCCTTTGCCCTGAGAATAATCCTGAGATTTTAGAAAATCAAGAGGCTCCTGACTTGCTACCAATAGGGCAGCAGATGCTTGAGCGGTTCCCTGGAGTAAATAAAAGAGGTGGCACTGTGTGTCCGCCCAGGGCATGTGAAGAGGCTGTGGGGACCGGACCCGGCCCGCTTCAGCCCTTTGGTGGGGGGCAGGGCTGAGACCGGGGCGAGGCGAGCATGGTGCACACAGCACGAAGTTCCAGGAGGTAGCAATTCTCAGGACCAAGTTGTGTTCTTTGGAAGTCAACCCCTGGGCGCCACCTGGTGGTGGCACAATGGTGCACGGGCCGCTGATCAGAAGCTCTGGGTTCCCATCGGGACTCTTTCACTGGGTGGTCCTGACACGTCACTTAACCTTGCTAACACTGTAGGACTCCCCAAATACAAGCTAAAATTGATGCACGAGCACACATCAGTATAGCAATCTCAAGCTCCTTTGAAAAAATGATTTCAGTTCTTAAAATTAGTCTATTAAATAAAATACAGAACAATTGCAGAAAGGGCTAACAACTGAAGGCTGAACTCTGGGGAACATCAGACTGGGCAGTTAAAGCCACAGAATCACGAGTCGGACAGCCAGGGTTCACATCCCGCCTTCACCATTTGCCTGCTATGATACTGGGAGATTTGTTTACCTTCTCTGAGTCCCAGATTCCTTGAAGAACAGGGACAACAACAGTGCCCCCATTCCTACCGTACTGCACGGGTACTGCAAGGACTGAAGCAGCTGGCCACGGGAGGTGCCTCCGCCAGTGCCTGGCACCCGTGGAGCGCCCAGCAAGTGTGAGCTGTTGCTATCCTTGAGGCTGTTCGCCAAGCTGCCATCCAGTTCTCATTTCTACCATTTCCTCAGTCGCCTGAGGTCCACATAATGACCAGGATGGTGGGGAGGGAGAGCTGAGCCCCGCCAGAGCCTACCTTGCAAGACTCCCGTGAAGCTAGAATGAGAAGATGCATGTAGAGGCATCTTTTTCCATTCAGGAGCATCACTCACCCAGTGATCTATGGCACCCGTGTCCCCCCAGGTCCCTGCCACGCCTTCCTCTGGCTCCTGTCCACCAGCATCAGCCACTCAGAGCAGCCAGGAGCCCACTCTGAGGCCCTGCTCTGTGCCAGGCCCTGTCCACAGTGCTGGAGACAGCGGCATGAACACCGCCCGCCTGCCCTCAAGCAGCTCACATTCTAGTGAGCGGACGCTGACTTCGAACACGCAGATGAGATACGGTACTTTCAGCCACTGAAAATGCTATGGATTAGAATAAGTGACTCAGGGTGGCTGTTCTGGCTCAGATCGGGGAGGGCCACCCCGGGAACGGGCACTTGAATTGAGACTTAAGGATGAAGAGGACGCAGCTGATCTCCAGGGAAGAGCGCCACAGGCAGAAGGACAAGCAAGAGCAAAGACGCCGGGAAGGAAAAAGCGTGGCATTTGCGAGGAGGCCAAAGTGGCTGAAGCCTAGAGGCCCGAGAGGCAAGCGGCAGGAGGTGAGAGAGGTGGAGGCCAGACCACGCCAGGCCCCACAGGCCACAGTGCAGACTTAGAATCTTATTCTGCAGGGGATGCAAAGGCCAAGTAAGAATATTAAGGAAAAGAACGATGCGATCAGATTTATAAGCAGCGGTGTCCAACCCACAGCTGCTGGGCGGCATGAGCCCCAGGATGGCTATGAACGCAGCCCAACACAAAACCCCAAATTTACTTAAAACCTCTTTTTTTTTGCTCATCAGTTTTCGTTAGTGTTTGTCTATTTAATGTGCAGCCCAAGACAACTCTTCTTCTCCCAGCGTGGCCCAGAAAAATGTTGGACACCCTGTTCATAGCGATCACGCTGGCTGCCCGGAGAAGGAGGGACTGATCGTAAGTGGGCAAGAGGCAGAAACACCAACCAGGAGCTGCAGCAGCATCAGGAGAGAGGGGGCAGGGGCTGGCACCAGGACGCAGCAGTGGGGGGGGTGGCCGGTGATGGGATCCGGGGTCTGTTCTGCAGATAAAGCCACCGCGACTTCCTGATGGATTAGTTATGGGGTGAAAAGGACCAAGGGTGACCGCTAGCCTTGGGGCCTGCGCAGCTGGCTGGGGACACCCTTGGGAGCGTTCCATCCAGGGCATGTTGTGGACACCCACATGGAGAGGCCAAGGAGCCATGGGGTCAGGGAAGTCTGCAGCTGTGTGGGGTCACCTAAACTGAGGGTGTAGGCTCAGGACACATCAACAAATAGAAGGTATGGGAAGTCAGATGACTTGATGAGGTCACCTGGGGACAGTAAGGATTAGGGGTGTGGGAGAGGAGGAGCCCACATAGGAGACTAAGAAGGAAGGGCCCAGAGGGGAGGGAGAAAGACAGGTGCCCAGCGAAGAGAGGAAAGAGGTCAAGGAAGCTGGGACCAGAACACTGACCTTTGTCAAGATGCGGAAGGCCTTTCGGTGGCCTTGCTAAGTGCTGTTCCAGGAGAGGAGTGGGAGAGCGAGCCCGGGGTGGGGAGGTGGGGGCAGGGAGAACGGTCAGTGAGGAGGCAGCAACAGCCACCACACAGATTTGCTCCACGGTGAGTCAGAGGGGGGACGTGAAGTGCAGGGGTGTTTGTTTTGTCGACAGGAGACCTTAGATTGGTTTCTACGCCAATAGGGATAGCCCCGCAGGACAACAATACAGAGAAGGCAGGAAATGAGAGGGGCAAAGAGACTATGAAATAGGAGGAGGGGGTCCAGGACCCACACACAGGGGCTGGCTTTTTAAATACAGGCAGGGACATGTGTTGCATTTTAACAGAAGGAAAGGCAGGTTCTGTGGGTGCAGGTATTGGTGGTTTGGGTAATCAGGGGTGGGGAAGATGACATCTTCCCCAGTGACTTCTGATTCCTCTGCAAGTACAGGGCAAAAGGCACGTCCAAGAAGGGCCACGGCAGCTGCCCTCAGAGCAGCCCACTGCCGGAACCAACCCGACGTCCATCAGCAGAAGGACGGAAAACAAACTGAGGTGTAGCCACAGAACGGAAACCCTGCAGAAATGAAAGTGTAAGAGCTACCGCCACTCACGACACGACAGCTCTCACAGGCCTCACGCAAGAAGCGATTGCTCTTACGGGAAGTTCCAGAACAGGCAAAACTGATTTACGGCAAGAGAAGCTGGAATAGCAGCTGCCTCTCAAGAGGGTAAGGGATACTGAGGGAGTGCCCGGGAACGGAAATGACCTGCATCCTCATCTGGGTCATTGTCACAGGGATGGATAGTTTCTTAAAATTCATGGACCATACATCTTACTCTAGTTGTGCACTTACATACAATGCTATACCTCCATTTAAATAAAAAGTTTAAGAAAGGGGCGCGGGGGGGCGATTCTCACGGTGATCCTCCAAGTTCAGTGCTCTTAGCCTCATTTACAGATAAAGAAACCAAGACTGGGAAGCAGAAACCGGGTTCCTGGCCAGGTCTGCTGCCCCAAACCCGTGCTCTCCCCTACTTAAATGCTGAACGTGTTTTAGTCAAAGCCACAGCATATGACACCAGAAAGGCAGAGCTGCCCCCCTTGGAAGCCCACCTCAGCCCACCTATAGAACCCCTGGGGTTCCAAGCAGCAGAGTTTGAAAACCATGGCCCCTCACTGACCTGCCTTCTTACAGAACTCAGGAGCCAGCTGCCAGTCAGGGAGCAAGGAGAACATTAGGGTCCCCCCGCCCACCGCTCCCCCGCCTCCCTCTCCCCGCAGCCCCAGCGCAGTGGAGGTGCTGGGCATCCTTACTTGGAGGAGCCAGGTGGATCACATAGCCATCGCCAACGTAGATGGCCCAGTGTCTGTAGAGTGGGCGGAAAATCTCAATCAGGTCTCCCAGATTGGGCTCGGGCTGCAAAACCAGAAAAAGGGATGTTAGAGATGGTAGGAGCGAGTGAGACCTTGGAACCCTGGGGCAAAGGCTGGGGCCCTGCCAGAAGCTGTCAAATCAGAAGCATGTCCCACGGACGCTCTCCAACCTGGCCTAGGGCCTGACCAAGAAATGGTATCAGCCTCTGGCAAGAATGTCCTCCTGGCTGCTCACCCCATGATAAGCGGTGTGTGTGTGTGTGTGTGTGTGTGTGTGTGTGTGTGTGTGAGAGAGAGAGAGAGAGAGAGAGAGAGAGAAAGAAAACCCTCCTCTCTACTGTACCCACACCAACGCACCAACATGTGTGGGCTTTCCATGCCAAGCAATTCAGCCTTCAGTGAACACTAACCACCCTGAGTTAACACAGACCCCACAGGCCAAAGGCTCAGTCCCACAAGGCTGCGCTCACAATCCAGGTGCCCATCCCAGGTCCACGTTGTCACCTGTGCTTCTGACCAGCCAGCTGTAAACCGGGAGTTCGCACAGTCCACACGGTCGGTTAGATCACTGGCCACAAGCGACTGACTCCGCCCCAGGCCTCTGACAGCAGCAGTGCCCTGGCTCCGAGCCGGCGCGGCCGCATGAGCACCAGCTCAGGTGGGGTTGCAGAGGGCCCCTCGTGGAAAAGGAAGCAAAACCCTGCTCTCACCCAATCACTTAGGAAATGGCAAGGGTTTTAGAAGCTCTGTGCCAGGCACTGGGGACAAAGACCAAATACCTACTTCTGATTAAATCGCGATGAAGTGTGTGTAGGAGTGAGAGAGTGGGAGTGTGTGCAGGGGAAGACGGGGAAGGCACCGCCACCCTGCTCAGGGCCCCGCCCCGTCGGGAAGCTTGGGGCCAAGCTGGAGAAGTGCTAAGAGGTTCAAGGTCGCTTTCATTCAACTTTATTGAGGTGCCACTAACACCAGTGTGCTGAGTGCTGGGGGTGGAGACATACCGACTGGGACCAGAATCAGGGGTGAGAGCCTCTCTGGTGCACACCGCCCTTAACCCTCTCCTGTGAGCAAGGAAACCCTCGCTGCGCAGTAAAGGGGAGGGCAGGGATTTGCCCACATGCCAGCCCCAAGCTCTGTGGATCTGCCTGAGAGATTCCATCAAAGATGGGGGTGGGGGAGGAGTCACCCTTGGGTGGACTCCTTTGCGAGAAAAAAGACAGACTCTGTAACACTAAACACCAAAGGTAAGGGGGTGGTAAATGCATGATGCCAAGTGGAAGAAGCCATACCCCAAAAGCAACACATGATCCCCTTACATGTCATTCCAGAATAGGCACCGCGATAGGCCAGATAAGTGAGCCATGGTTGCCAGGGGCTAGTAGTGACGAGAGGGGCTGACAACCAAAGGCCGCGAGGGACTGTGAGGACAGTTCAACTTTCTGCACTCTTCTGTATCTTGACGGTGGTCGTAGCTATGCAACTGTACGTGTCTATCAACCTTTGTAGGACCGAACACTGAAAGGGGTAAATTAGACCTTAATTTTTTCAAAAGCACAAATTTTTTAAAATAAATGAATTTTTAAGATATTTTTATATTGCCCTGGCTAGGTAGCTCAGTGGATTAGAGCATCATCCCCATACGCCAAGGCTGCAGGTTTGATCCCTGGTCAGAGCACATACATGAGGCAACCAATGAATGGTAAATAAGTAGAACAACAAATTGATGTTTCTCTTTCTCTCTCCCTTCCTCTCTCTCTCTCAAATCAATATATTAAAATTTTTAAAAACATTTTAAAATGGGTATCTACAGTTTGAAAGAAAAAAGTTGTGTGCGTGTGTGTTTTTTTAATACTCAAATTGCCTGTCTCTTGTAAAGGCCAAAACACACGTATTTCCAAATCCACACAAGCTCAAAACATGATACCACTCAAGGAAACTTCGTTTTAAAAAGGAAGTAAAAGGCGGTGGACATGCCCAGGGAGCCTGTGCACTAGTTAGAAGCAAGGGCTGGCTGTCCACACGCAGCAGAGCGGAGGCACTTCCACCACAGGGCTGAGTGGAAATGCGAGAATGAGTCTGCAATACAATACGCTCACATAAATTAAGGATGTCCACACAGAACCCGCTCCTGCACGTCTTAGGAGAACCATCCCCGAAAAAATAAATGTAAAAAAGCAACAACAACCAGAAAAGAATCACACAGACTAAAGCACTGCCCATGAAACGCACTAGGACGCTGGCCATCGGGAAGATGGAGCCAGGGGTGACGATAAAAGGGAACCAAAAGAGAAAAAAAAAACCCGTAAGACAGCGGGCCTTGCAGTGAGGACAGGGTGTAATGAACGAAGGATAATACTCCCCTTTCTAGCGCTAACACCTAACTAGAGGAATAATGACTTAATGATATACATACACAAGCCAACTCAGCTGAATCAAAATTAAGAACTCAAGAAATCCTGTTTTAGAATTAGAAGTACAAGTACTATAATCCACAGGTCAAATTTGTGCCTCCGCCTATTTTTGCATGCAAGCCAAGAAGCATTTTCACATTTTTTCACTGGTTGAAGGAAATGTTAAAAGAATAATACCCGGTAACACAGGAAATTCAAACTTCAGTGTCCACCAAGTGTTACTAGCACGCAGCCACGCCGCGACACTTAACATTTTGTCCACGGCTGCTTTCTGCATGAGCAGAGCTTAGTCAGTGCGGTAGAGATCATGGGACCTGCAAGACCTAAAGCCTTCAGCACCTGGCCCTCTACAGAAAAGTTTGTGACTCCTGTTATCAAAGGATCAGCAGTGATGCCTCCCTCACTCAGCTTGTCCCCAGTCCCGGCTCGGACCAGGTTGCCAGGTGGTCCTTCCCCCAGGAACCGTGGGGACCGTGGGGACCGGCGGAAGCAGCAGGAGGGAGCTGCCTCTCCAGGGCAGGGCCGGTCCAGGCAGGACGGGCACCAGGGCCCTCCTACACGACACAGGCCGTAACAATGGCAACGCTGAAACTCTGCAACCACGGGATCTGGGAACAAAAAGCCTTTATTCTCCCCACAAAAGCAGAGTTACAAAGAGCGGGGTCACAGCCATTTCCCTTAGTAAGCAAATTAAGGAACAATTGCTGACCTCCAAACTTCACACTGGAAAAAACGACCTGAACAGCCATGAATAAAAATCACTTTAATAAGTTATTCTACATCCATAGGTAGATACAGCCATTAGAGAAAACACGGTGGGCTTATAGGAAATAATCAAAACCAGTAAGTTGAAAAACATGACCCCCATTCTTTGCTTAAAATACATTTTTATACATTTATAAAGCAAAATGTATGATAGACTCTGTATGATTTGAGGAAAATACACTGAACTGTTGTATGTTGCATATGGAGGGGCTTTGGACTCAGGGACTTGCACATTTTATGTTACATGATTTAATTAGCTTTTTACCAATATGAATTACTTTCATAATAAAAATGTTTTTAAGATTTTTAGATGGGCAAAATTCTCTCATGTTGATGAATTTGGGTTTTTAAATTGGAAAAGGTGGGCGTTATCTATCACCTTGAAACTAGGTGATAGAATTGGGGGTACTTTGTTTTTCATTCTTTTCTAGTTTTCCAAAATGTTTAAATATACATATATTTGTTTTAGAATCAGAAAAAAGAACTTAAGACTTGACAAACATCAGTATGTTCAATTTTGCAGTAATTCATATAATTACTATTATGGAGCAAAATAAATACGCACAGCAAAAAGACCAGAAGGGTGCACACCAGCATCCTAACAGAGACTCCCTCTGGGTGCTCAGACAAAGGTGGCATTGTGATTTATTTTGCTTCCTTCTATTTTTCTGTATTTCCCAGATTTTCTGAAATGAGCATTTTTAAGTTCATAGCATGCTTCCCAATATTTTATTATGAAAAGTTTTTTAAACACACAGTTTGATTTTTCAAACGTTCAAAATTGAAAGCATTTTTAGTGAACGTCTGAATACCTACCCCCTAGATGTTACTATTACGTTAATATATTTGCTTTATCACAAATAGGTCCACCTAGTCACTCCTCCTGAATAGCCCTTGAAACTCTCCTTGTAAAGTTCAGCGATGGGTCTTCTGAGAGGCAGAGGTAAAGCGCTGAGGGAGCCCAGGACAATGACAACAGCGACAATGGCAATGAAACAAGCATGCCCCGTGCTGCATCTCGATGCTCTAGACCTCCCTGGTTCCTGCCTCCCAGCCCGCAGCCTTGAACCCTGGCTGTGGTTCGCAGACAGGAGCCTGCACACAAATTACCGGATGGGGTTGCTGGCGTGCACATAGAACCACACACACACCCCGCCGACCTCCTGGAAATGGTGGAAGTGGCCAGAGACACCCCTCGAGAGCCCCTTCACCTGGGGGAGCCCCGACTCATTTGCTTATTCACTCAACAGATGCCCAGAGCTGGGCCAGGCGGCGGGCACCACCCTAGGCTCTGTCTATGAACAAAGCAAAAACTCCTGCCCACGGGGAACCTTTGTTCATCATCAGGGAGAGAGACACCCAAAAAGGCAGTAGTAAGTAAGTCAATCATCTGGAATATTAGAAGAGATACCAAATAAAAACAATAACAAAGGAAGAAAGGAAGGAAGGGAGGAAGAGAGGGAGGGAGGAAGGGAAGGGAAGGGAAGGGAAGGGAAGGGAAGGGAAGGGAAGGGAAGGGAAGGGAAGGGAAGGGAAGGGAAGGAGGGAGAGGTAGCAAGGAGGTGGGGGAGGGAAGGGAGAGTGGTGTCACTGGGGCTGGAAGGCGCTGGGATGGAGGCAGGGGGTGCAATATTAAAGGAGGGGTCAGAGAAGACAGACAGTGGGGCCTGCAGATGTCTAGAACATTCTTTTGTGGACACAGCCTGAGCAAAGGCCCCTGGGTAGGAAGGTGTTTGAGGAGCAGCCCAGAGGCCAGGGCGGCTGACATGGAGGGGCCAGTGAGGGCAGGGACAGGGGAGGGGGAGTAACAGGTTCTAGATTTCTTTGAAGGTAGAAAGCTGACTGAACGATGGGGGCGTGGAGGAGA